GGACATGGGAGTCTCCCGGTGGACGATTCCACAACGAAATAGACCACATCATATTCAATCGACGGTTTTGCCTGACTGATGTCGCTGTTGTCCCAAAATTTCTAACGGGATCGGACCACCGTCTCCTTCGTGCAAAATTCTACTTCACAGAGCGGGGAGAAAAGGCTGCAAAGTTCAAAAAGAGAACTCCCAGAATGACCACCAACTGGGAACTCTTTGGTACTATTGCGGCAACATGGGAAGATGCCATTGTTGACAACATTGACGAGGAATACGATCGACTGGTTCAGCACCTCCATGAATGTGCGAGGAACGCTAAGAGAGAGATAGCCACAAAAAATCGCCTATCTTCGAAAACTCTTGAGCTAATTCGCCAGCGTGGTTTGGCGCATGCCTCAGGCAACCGCAAGCTAACGTCCGAGCTCGCAAAGCAGTGCAGAGATGCGATCAAGGAAGACCTCAAAGAGAGAAGAGCAGAAGTACTGATAGATGCGGCAGAAGCCAGGAAAAGTATTCGTAACGCCCACCTGTCCTTCGCCAACTATAAGACCAAGATGACTGCCCTCCGACATCCTGATGGATCCATCACATCCTCCAGAACGGCAATAAAGAAGATTATCCATGACTTCTACTCAAATCTCTTCGATAGCCATGTCCACTTGCCGACATACCAAATTCCACAGGATGGGTATGTCGTTCCCAACGTTCTCCCTTCCGAAATCCGACACGCCATTTCGTCGGTAAAGAAACAAACAGCACCCGGCCCAGACAAGGTCAGACCTGAACACCTGAAGAACCTGCCGTCAGTACTCATCAATACACTGGCTCGGCTCTTCACTCGCTACCTGTCTGAATGCAAGGTTCCGTCCCAATGGAAAACCAGCAGGACCATACTACTGTTCAAGAAGGGAGACATCCATGACATTGGCAACTATCGCCCGATCTGCCTATTGTCTGTCATCTACAAGTTGTTCACTCGAGTCATCCTAAATAGGATTGGCAGAACACTAGATGAAGGACAACCATGCAAGCAAGCCGGGTTCCGCAAAGGATTCAGCACCATCGACCATATCCACACGATAACCAAGCTCATTGAGGTTTCTCGGGAGTTCAAGATGCCGCTCTGTTTAACGTTCATTGATTTAAAGAAGGCCTTTGATTCTGTTGAGACAGAAGCAGTCATTGAAGCCCTAGCCAATCAGGGCATTCAAGCCCAATACATCAGGATCCTCCGTGAGCTGTATTGCGGATTCACTACCAGGATCTCACCATTCTACAAAGAAGTGATCGTTGATGTCAAGAGAGGGGTGCGGCAGGGTGATACCATTTCACCAAAACTCTTCAGTGCCACCCTCGAGAACATCATGCGACGACTGGAATGGGAAGGAATGGGAGTGACGATAGATGGTCGGCAACTACACCACCTCCGCTTTGCTGATGACATTGTTTTAATAACACCAAACATCAGCAAAGCGGCACAAATGCTGGCCGACTTTGACCGTGAGTGTGGAAAGGTAGGACTACAGCTGAATCTTACGAAGACAATGTTTATGAGAAACAGCCCCATTCCTTACACCCCATTCGCTCTCAACTGAATGACCATCTCCGAATGCAACAGCTATGTGTACCTAGGTCGAGAAGTCAACATGACAAATGACCTGGCACCCGAGCTGCGCAGGAGGAAGAGAGCGGCTTGGAACGCCTTCAAGAACGTCGAAGAAATAGCTAAGAGGACGAAGAACCTCCGGCTCCGGGCACATCTCTTTGATTCCACTGTTCTTCCTGCATTAACGTATGCCTCAGAGACCTGGGCCCTACGCAAACAAGATGAGAACGCTATTCGGGTCTCCCAAAGAGGAATTGAAAGAGCTGTGCTTGGAATATCACGTTTCACTCAAATGAGAGAAAGACTCCGGAGTTCTGACATCCGTCGACGATCAAGAATCAGGGACGCTGTCTCATTTGCCAAGGTGTCGAAAATCAGATGGGCTGGTCACGTAATGAGATTTAAAGACGACCGCTGGACTAGAGCTGTTACCAACTGGATTCCACAGGATGTCAAAAGACCGCATGACCGCCCACCTTCCAGATGGTCAGACTTCTTCGTCAAGATCATGAACGATCGGTTTGAGGCCCTTCATGTTCCCGGAGCGAAGAGATGCCACTGGGCTACACTAGCACGCGACAGGGACAAATGGAGACGTTACTGGCGCCCGCTCGAGCAAATCGACGACTAACGGGAAGTTAAGTGATTAAGTGATTAAGTGATATCTCGGGCTGGGATATGTCTAGGGGCTCTCTCCACCTTTGGAGAAGCCCACCTTTTCTCTTGAGTACTTTACTCTCTCTGACTTTCTCTCCCTCCTTCCTCTTCCTAAAAAAAAAAAAAAAAAAAAAAAAACTCCAAATAAAATCTGCTTTATACTTCAGGGCTTGTCTACTCCTGAAATTCTTTTCTGTGAGGTGAGACAAGAACCCCAAAAGCCTGGGTAAGGTTTAGGAAAGACTTTCCTCTCTTGCAAAGAGCAAATCCTCACTCCAATCTGAGTCCGCGGCTCCCGGAGAAATGGGGTGGTGGAGATCAGCTCCTGTGACCAAGCAGACGTCAGATGTGGCTTGATGACCTCCTGGTGGGGCTGGCTGAAGCTCTGGTTCATACCCAGCAGGGGCTCATCACGGACTTTATCAGTCATAGTCTTCCCAGCCAGTCCTGGGGTGGCAGAGGCAGATCTGAAGAAAGCAACCGCCTCTCACCTCCCTGCCTCACATAAGCCATCGGTGGGGACCCGCCACTTCACTTGGAGCCCCTGAATCCTTCTCATTAGCTCATTGTACAACATCCCTGCAAGCTTGACATCTTCCCAAATAGAAAGCAGCCTTTCTAAACAAAACTAAACAAAACATTGGTGCAAGGAGTCATCTCGCTCAGTGGTCAGAAACCCAAATCAAGGCCAGAGCAATAGATAGTACAGCGGGTAGGGCATTTGCCTTGCATGAGGCCAACCCAGGTTCGGTCTCCGGCATCCCATATGTTCCTCCAAGCACCGCCAGGAGTATTTCCTGAGTGCAGAGCTGGGAGTAACCCCTGAGCATCGCTGGGTGTTGATGACCCAAAAAGCAAAGAAAGAAAAAGAAGAAACCCAAATCAAATCCTGGTACTGCTCAGTACCTGGCATCTCAGGGGCCCCAGACAGCACCTCATTCTTGGGTTCTGAATCTGCTTTGTTTTGGAGTCACAGCCAGTGGTACTCAGGACTTACTCCAGGCTTTGCACTCGGGGGTCGCTTCTGGTGGGGCTTGGTGTACCATATGGGGTGCCAGGCATCACACCTGGGGCAGTTGTGTGCAAGACAAGCTCCCTACCTCTCCTGTCCCACCAACTCTGAGTTTGATCTATCCATCCTGGTTGGCTGAGTATTGACAGGAATGGTTTGGCCAGAGGGGTGCCTACCATTGTTTTGGAGTGTATGGGGGTCCTCCAAAATCAAACCAACAAAAACACCACACTGTTTGATAGAAATATTTCTTTTGTCTGTTTGGGGGCTACCTCCTGCTGGAGCTCAAAGGCTCTGGCCCAGTGGTGCTCTAGAGGTACCACACCGTGCCAGGAATAGAACTGAACCTGGGCCTTTCACATGTAAAGTATATGTTGAGTTGAGGGACCTCCCATCCCTTGCTACAAACATTTCTAAGTGAGGTTCAGCATCTGAAATTTTCCCCAGAAAATCTAATCTTCAGATCAAGCTGAAAAATCACTGTTCTGAATGAATGAGATCCACATGTAAATAAAGTGGGGTTTTTCTGTTTGTTTTTTTGTTTGGGGGCCTTAATTGGCAGTGCTCAGGGGCTACTCCTGACTTTGCACTTAGGAATTACTCCTGGCAGTGTCAGGGGACCATATGGGATGCCGGGGATCAAGCCTATGTTAGCCATGTGCAAGACAAATGTACTGTACTATCACTGTAGCCTCAATGTGTTGCTCTCTCTCTCTCTCTCTCTCTCTATATATATATATATACATATCTCGAGCAAATATATATACATATATATGAAAAATTCTTTCAAGTTACTCACTTAGATGTGTTAAGTAAGGATGGGGGGGTTTCATTCATGATTGTGTCTGAGAAGAATCTTGTGTTCAGCCCATTGAACGGATGTGTAACATGTGCCAAGAAAAGGACTTCTTCCTCTAACATGCTTAATCTGCCTCTGTTAGTAGTTGTCCCCTTTATGGTGCAAAATACGATCAAAAAGAAGCTTCTCTATTTGCACGCACACTTCATTTCACGCTCTACAAAATGTTTTCCAGCCTGTGCTCATGACTCTCTTCTTCACAGCAGCTTCACACAGAGGCAGAGTCCAAATGTTCATCCCCACCCACCGCTCACTTGCCTCCCCACTCTTTTTATTATTATGATTGCTGTTGTTTGGGGATATATCTGGGGCTGCTCAGACCTTGCCACTTCCAGTGATATTCAGGGAAACATGCAGTGTCAGGGATCAGACCAGAGACCTCTTCTTGCATGTTCCAACCAGCCAACTCCCTCCAGGCCCTGTTTGCCCATTCCTTGTTAACCCTCTATTTTCTTCTCTGCCCTTTTTCTTTTCTTTCTTTTTCTTTCTTCCTCTCACCGTGTGTGTATGTGTATATATGAGTGTGTGTGTGTGTGTGTGTGTGTGTGTTTTGCTAACTCTCTTTCTCCTTGCAGTCCCTCTCCCTCTTGCTCATGCACTAATCATGTGCAAGTCACATGGAGTCAGCTTTGCGAGTTGTCTGAACTTTTCCTCACTCTGGAAATCAACTGTCCCGTGATCATCAACCCCTTGCCACTGTGCCACTAAATCCTGGCATCTGTGCCAAGAGCAAGCAATTTCAGTATGCCCTGGTGCAGACTGACACTGAGGGACGCTCCCACCTGTTCCCAGATAAGAGAAGGGTGGGGACCAGGACTATAAACAGCCCCCGTCCTTCTCCCGGCCCAGATCCCAGGCAGCTCAGCCACACCAACCCACGATCAGCATGGCTGTGGCCCTGCGGGTGCTTGTCCTGGCCTTGGTTGCCCTCTTTGTCGTGAACAGGGGTGAGTGGGAGTAACTGCATTCTTTCTCTGTGACTTGGTGGCAGTAGGTGAGCTTGGGTGAGGGTAGATGCAGGGGTTGGGGCACCTCTTGAGGTCTTAGATTTCTGCATAGATTCTTTTGGGGTTGGCAGGGGGAGCCTGGCTCATTGTCCAGGGGTCACTCTTGGTAGTTCTCGGGAACCATGTAGTGCTGGGGTTGCAATCTGGGCCTCCCACATGAAAGACTGCTCCCCAGTTCTTTGGGTTATCTCTCCAGCCTTCTGCTTGTGTTCCCTCCTGCAACCTTCCCCCATGGCGGGGAAAGCCCTGGGCTAGGAGAAAGGAAACCTGGATTCAATTCTGGTCTCTGGTCCAAAATTTTGAAGAAAAAAAAACCCTCCCCTCATGGGCCCCCCATTTCTTTACCACTTGTGGAAGCAGAAGGCTATCTACCTTCTGACTTTGCACTCAGTAATTATTCCTGGTGGTTTTTGGGGGACCATAAGGGGATGCCGGGGATCAAACCTGGGTTGACCGTGTACAAGGCAAAGGCCCTACCTGCTGTTCTATTGCTCTGACCCAGCTGCCTAGTGTGGTTTTGAGATTTAGTCTTGTGAAAACACCAGCTGTCTACTTGCTTTTACTGTTGAGTAGTAGTCACTTATAGGTAACATTGCTATCCGTTGCTTATAGGTAGAGGAATTTATTCACCCATTTTCTGTCAAAGGACTATGGAGCAATTTCCAGTTGTAGCCATGATGTCACCAAAAGGCTTTAAGCAGTGGGGGGACAGGCGAGATTTTCATTCTGATGCAAACACCAGGGGTAAACACCAACCCTTGAGGGACAGACAATTGTCTCAGTTCCTTGCTCCCTCCCTGGGGAATCTTAGGATAACCTCCCCAGCAAAGCGTAAGCCGTTGCACCTTGAACCCCTCTAGTGATGGCACCTGCTCTACTCCTTCTTTGATACACAGCTCTCACCAAGAGAAAATTCTGGAACCCACATATACTTCACTGCAGCCCCTAGGCAAAGATGGGCTCTCTCCTGTAAGGTTAAGACCTTTGTCCTCCCGTTGTTCATCGATTTGCTCGAGTGGGCCCAGTAATGTCTGCATCATGAGACTTGTTATTACTGTGTTCGGCATATTGAGTACGTCACAGGTTGCTTGCCAGGCTCTGCTGTGCAGGCGAGATACTCTTGGTAGCTTGCCGGGCTCTCCAAGAGGGGCAGAGGAATCGAACCCAGCTTGGCCGGGCTGGCTGCACGCAAGGCAAATGCCTTACCGCTGTGCTATCGCTCCAGAAGACTTTACTTCTTTTTTTTTTTTTTGTAATAAATGACTTGAATTTATTTACTGTCACTGTCCTCCCGGTGTTCATCGATTTGCTCAAGTGGGCCCAGTAACATCTCCATTGTGACAATATTTACATAGTAGTTAAAATCATATAGCAATAAATTGTCACTAACTGATTTTTATCAATTTAATTTTTGATAAAAGCTTATAACTTCTTGAACTGGAGCCATAATTCAGAAGGTAGGGCATTTATCTTGGGGAAAGGCAACCTGGGCTTGATCCCTGGCCACAGGCATCTTCAGGAGGGATCCTAAGTGCAGAGCCAGGAGTAGTCCCTGAGAAACATTGGGTGAGGTCTCAAAATCCAACACCTCTCCAAAAAACAAAAACAAACAAACAAAAAAGAGCTTATGACTCCCTTGGGCCCAGGATACTCAAGAAGCTTCCTGTCCTTGCCAAATTTTCATAGACCCTCCACACTACCCTGTGCTGTTAACTTGACTCCTGATACCTCATCCACCCAGCATTCTCAGACATCACATCCTATGAGTGCTTTATCCAGGCCAGAAGGGCCACAAGGTCTATCAGTAAATTTGGAAAGAGCTGGCCCTGGAGCCTGACATCCATGTGTACATCCCAGCTTTGCCCTTACTCAATTGCCCTTTTCCGAATCTAATCTATGGCTTGGCCGAATTCCTCAGGAATCTGACTATGGTCGGAAGTTGGCTTATGGGGAGTGCTCTGAGGAAGACAGGTGAAGGGACAGTTGACTGGGGCACAGTGCCTTAGAGGCCTCAGAGGTCTCCAGGGACCCTAGTGGTGTGCTTTGACACCTGGGTGACAGGTGGTGATATTCTGAGTAGGAGTGAGGGCTTTAGGTCATTGTACTCTGTTTTGCTGGCATTAGCTATGGGCTTTTCCTGAGGGATGGGACGTTGGGTGACGCAGCTCCATTTCTTTTACTCCCTCCGTCCTTCCCTCCCTGCCTTCCTCCTTTCCTCCTTCTTTAATTTTCAAGTTACAGCCACACCTGGAGGTGCTGGGGTGCTAGGAAACAATTCACCCCCTCCCCCCTTCTCCATGCTCCGCACTTCGGTCTCACCCCTGCAGCACTGCCCCTCCCACACTCAGGGTGACTCAGGGTGCAGATCTGGGTCCATCTGAGTGTCTTCTGGGCCTGGTGCCTGTGCTCGCTGGTGAATCTGGAGGCCTGAGGGCCCCTGAGCACCAGCCCTTAGCTCCTGCCTGGCTATCTGGTCCATTTTTTTTGGGGGGGGGTCTCCCAGTGCTACTCAGGGGGCATACAGTGCTGAGAATCAAACCTGGGGCTCCTGTAGGCAAAGTGTATGCTCAGCTTGTGCTACTGCCCTTTGCTGAACTAACCTTCCTTCCTTCCTTCCTTCCTTCCTTCCTTCCTTCCTTCCTTCCTTCCTTCCTTCCTTCCTTCCTTCCTTTCCTTCCTTCCTCCCTCCCTCCTTCTCTTTCCCTCTTCCTTTCCCTCTTTCTGTTTCTTTCCCTCTTTCTTTCCCTCTTTCTCTTTCTTCCTGGTTTGGGGGCCACACCCAACTCAGGGGTTACTGAGTAACTGAGGGAGTTACTCCTGGGTCTGCACTAGGGAATTACTCCTGGCAATGCATGTTGGACCATATGGGATGCCAGAGATTGAACCCAGGTCAGCCGCATGCAAGGCAAAAGCACTACCTGCTGTACTATCGCTCCAGCCCCTGAACTGCTGGGTTTTTGTTGGGTTTCTGTTTATTCAGTGTCGCACCTGGGTCTGTGCTTAGGGGTCACCTCTGGCGATATTTGGGGGGCCCGTATGCAATACTGGAATTTGAACCAGTGTTGTGGCTTGCATGCTACGCAAGCAGCTTCATCTTCATACTAGCCCTCCTCTTGAGGGGTCCCAAATGGATTCACAGCTGGGCCCCTTTAGAAGCAACCTTAGGGACTAGAGAGATAATAAACCGGGCATAGAACTTGTCTTGTACACAGCCAATCTAGGTTTAATTCCTAGCACTCATATGGCCCCCTGAGCCCCACCAGGAGTGATCCCTGAGTGCAGAACCAGAAGTATCACCAGGTGGGCCAAAAAAAAAAAAAAAAACCCAAACTCCAAAACAAAACAAAAACAGAAGCAACCTCAGACCTCCCACCTGGACCTTGAGTTGACATCTTCTCATTCTTGGTTGTTTTTGTTTTTCCCCCACCTCCAGATGTGTCTGTGTCGGCAGAAAAGCTCGTTTTCTCGAGAATGGTAAGGCAGCCGCTGGTGATTCTGGCCTTCCCTTTGCAGAAGGAAGCCATGTCCATGGGCTGGGAGAGCAGTGCTCCTGAGGGCTAGGTGGTGGGGGGGTGGTTCTGAGTTCGCTGAATGAGTCCTCCTATGCCAAGCAATGAGACCCCCCTCCAGGTTCACTGGGACTCAACCCACTGCATTGTACCCTGCAGACACTCCCTGTGGGGCTCAAACTCAAGAGGTACACCTGGAGCACTGAGTGCTCTGGGGGGAGTATGCCACCCCCACCCCCCTCAGCAACAACCCCATAACCGCTCTTCACTTGGGAGAGTGAACACAAGTTTCCCCTGGACCCTGACTCTCCCTTGGTCCTGGATATGATGCCCGGGGCGGGGGCGCGGGGGGGGGGGGGTGGTTCCCGAGGAATGGGGTTGGCCTCCTGGAGACCCTCAGCCCACCCTTCATGTGTGTAAATGAGGTCCCATCCAGCAGCCAGAGCCCCGAGACTTCATGGGCACTACTCCAATTGCCCCGTGAATGAAGGTTTGTTCTTGACCAAGCAAATGAGGCGGAGGGTAGAAATAACTCGTGTTGACACACAGCTCATGGAGGTTGGCCTTACTTCTGCCCCTCCTCACCTCACCTCCTCACCTCTTCTCACCCCCAAACCACCTCCTTCCTTACCCCTCCCTGTCCTGAGCCTGCCTCAGTACTGACCTTGACCTCTGACCTTGAGTAGAGTCCTGATCCCCATCCCATTCTCCAGTTCTTCCCACACCCAGGGCCTGCGAGGGTAAGTTGCGGAGTTCCTGAGGAGAGGGGCCTCCTGGGAGTGAGGGGTCAACTAGTTCTGAAGCTGGGACAGCAGCCCAGGTTCTAGCCAGACTCTGAAGGACACGAATCCCTGCCCAGGAGTGTGTGAGCATGACCTTGGCCCAGGCACGATCTCAGGCTTGACCACAGACCCACACCTGGCTGTCTATCCCCAGGCTCCACAGATGCGGGGGCTTAGTCACTTTATACACACACATAGCCTGAAGCAGACCTGCCCGAAGCCCTGGGGGCTGGCTTTATGCTCACTGGGGCCTGCGTTTTTGTTTGGGAGCTGCACCCAGTGGTGCCCAGGGATGGCTCCTGGTGGGCTCAGGAGACCATATGGGGTGCCAGGCATCGAACCTGGGTCAGCCACATGCAAGGCAAGTGCCCTGCCTGCTGTACTCAGGCCCCAGGGGCCACCCCCCTCAGCAATCCTCCAAGTAGGACCCTCAGATTCTTCCTTGCCGTCTCGGATCCCTGAGTGCTGTCTCCCCTCCCGCAGCCCTTCTGTGAACACATGACGGAGTCTCCAGATTGTTCCCCATCCTCCAACATGGTCTGTGGCACGAATGGGGTCACGTATGACAGTGAATGCCACCTCTGCATGGCCCGCATGTAAGTTCAATCCCCAACCGTCCTTTCTGGCTCACTTGGGTGGGCTCACCAATCTGGAGAGGGGCGAGACCTGACCCGCTTGCTGACTCGCTTGCTCCTTCCCCCACACTCAGCCTCACAGGCCTCCCACAGGGAACACACAAGGGTGTCGGTCAGAGAAAAGCATGCTTCCCCGCGGTATGGCAACTCAGCACTTCTGCTGTGGCCAGAAACCCTGGGTTGGATTATTTGTTCATTTATTCCTCCAGTCAACAAGGACTACTGGACCATTATAATAATAATGACGTGCTTGGCATGGGGGAGTGAGTATCGCTGGCCCGCTGATGTGGACCCAGAATGAGAAGGAAACCATCTGTAACCAATAGCAATGCAGACTTCAAAAGGCTCAGCTGGGGCACCCAGGGAACGGTTAAGGACGAAGGCAAGGCAGCCTTGGGGGGAGATGAAGCCTAGGAGATAAGCAGAAATGACCTACAGGGTCAGAAATAGGGCAGGGATTAGGGTGTTTGCCTTGCACACTGCATGGGGCAATCTCCACTCCCACAAGGTTTCCCAAGGATAAACTGGGACAAAATCCACTCCCTCCCCACCCGGCAAGGAAATTATCCAGGACAGAGAAGGAACAGGAATGGGGAAGGTAATTCCAAGTGTAGAAACAAGTTCGGGAAGGCCTTGAAAGTCAGTTTGTGGGCCAGAGTGATTAGTACTGTGGATAGGGCGCTTGCCTTGCATGTGGCCGACCTGGGTTCGATCCCTAGCATCCCATATGGTTGCCCAAGCTGTTGCAGGAGTAATTCCTGGGTGTAGAGCCAGGAGTAACCCCTGTGCATTGCTGGGTGTGACCCAAAAAGCAAAAAAAAAAAAAATCAGTTTGTGTTTGAGGGCTGGAGCGATAGATAGCACAGCAGGAAGGGCCTTTGCCTTGCACGCGGCTGACCTGGCCGACCCGAGTTCAATTCCTCCGCCACTCTCGGAGAGTCCGGTTCGCCCGCACAGCAAAGCCTGGCAAGCTACCGGTGATGTATTTCGATATGCCAAACACAGTAACAAGTCTCACAATGGAGACTTTACTGGGCCCGCTCGAGTAAATCGATGAACAATGGAAGGACAGTGCTACAGTGCTACAGTGTTTGAGGAGATCTACCACGTTGGATGCACAGGAATATAAAGTTGGAAGGAGAGGGAGGGAGGTGGGTAGGGCGGGAAACAGTCTTGGTTTGGAAAAGCACCTCTTTGGTCACAGCTCTTCAGTGGCAGGACCCTTGAGCTGGCCATAGCTGAGATGGGAGAAGAGCTCCTGGAATCTGCCACGCTCCGGATGTGCAGGGCATGGTCCTTACTTAGACACAGGCTGACACAGGAGCCCCGTGGCTTTTACATGGGAGGATGGGTGGGCTGAAGACTGGGAGGGGGCGCTTTGCAGCAGGTCTGTGGAGCTGGGCCTCCAGCTCATGCCAGCCAAGATGTGCCAGGGACGTGCATGAACAGACCTAGAATTTGGGTCAGTGCCCTGGCTGGACAGAGCTGGAGTTTCAAAGGGACATCAAAACCCAGGAAGCGGAATGGGGTTTGGGAGAGGTATGAGGATGTTTGCAGGCCCCCCTGGTACCCTGCTCTGTGCACAGCTGCGGGGCGGGAGGGGGGAGGCTCAGCGAGGAGCCTGGGGGGCCTGGCCTCAGGGCACCAGGAAGGGGACAGTTCTTGAGGTGGCTTCATCTTGTCTTCTGTGACCCTAGGAAAACCAAAGAGGACATCCAGATCGTGAAGGACGGCAGATGCTGACTTCTGAGCAGCTCTGAAGCTTCAGGATGGAGAAAAGTGGTGGGGCGGGAGCGGGCGTGACTTGAAATAAAGATCCAGCCCGAGCCAGCCCAGCGGGCCGTGTCTCTGGGGATTCTGGGGAGGCGGGGTCTGCAGGGATGGGTGTCTCCCCACTCGGTACCTGATGTCCTTCCCATTGCTGCTGTGCTCCTTAAATAACCCTGTCCCGCTTAGAGGTTTGGCAGGCCTCTGTGCCTCTGTGCCCTGGCCGGCCTTGACCAAGCACTTCTACCCTCCCAACCCTCCAATACTGTTATTGGGCACTCCTGTCAGCTCCAGCCTGGCCTGTCACTGGAGCCAGGAACCAGGGTGGGCGCAGGAAGGTGCTCAGAGGCGGAGCGCGTGACTCAGTGTGAGTGTGGCTTGAGTGACTGGCACAGAGACAAAGGTTGGTACATTCGGCCTGTGGGAGTCCGTGGGCCAACATCAGTCTTTTCTTTTGGGGGGTCACACCCGGTGATGCACAGGGGTTACTCCTGGCTTTGCACTCAGAAATTACTCCTGGCAGTGCTTAGGGGACTATACAGGATGCTGGGAATCGAACCCGGGTTGGCTGCATGCAAGGCAAATGCCCTGCCCTCTGTAGAATCACTCCAGCCCCCAACATCAGCCTTGGGAGGGACCCACACCCCAATGGTCTTCTCCTTGGGCAGTACTTGCAACCCAAGTCAGTTTGTTTCTCTCTATCTCTCTCTCTCTCTCTCTCTCTCTCTCTCTCTCACACACGTGCACACACACACACACACACACACACACACACACGGAGGCGGGGACTTTTATGTGGGACACGCTATACTGCTGAAACAATCCTTGTTAAAACAGTGGGTCAGGTCTGCTGTGGCTGACAACCTTCACTGTTCTTATCTGAACATCTTTTTATGATATCTCATTATCTCATTCCTACTCTGGACAAACTTGCAGGCTATCGAATATAGCCTGCCCACAGGGCAGAGTCTGGCAAACTCCCCGTGGTGCACCAAATATGCCAAATACCAGTAACAATGATGGGTCTCATTCTCCTAAAAAGCCTTGAATATAATCTCAGGGCTAGGATGAAAGAGACGTTATGGGGCCTGCTCGAGGCAATCGACGATTAACAGGATGATGAATGAATGAATGAATGAATGAACGCTATACTGCTGAAACAATCCTTGTTAAAACAGTGGGTCAGGTCTGCTGTGGCTGACAACCTTCACTGCCCCTGTCCCCGAGTATCCCCATGGTGGGCGCCTCCAGCCCCTTTTACTCTTTCCGGTCAACCTCCAATGACTGTTAAACATGTTTCTGTCTAATACTGCCACAGGGTCACACCGCACACACATGCACTCACACAACCATCCACAGGAACCCATTCCAAAAATCCCACTGGGGCCTGCCCTCGGCCTGTGACATGTCCAATACTCCTGAGAATGGAGCTCCTGATAACAGTATTGGAGGGTTGGGAGGGTAGAAGTGCTTGGTCAAGGCCGGCCAGGGCACAGCAGGTTCCTGTGGGCTCCGAGTCCTGCTCCAGAAGTAAGGTGGACCAGGGGTGTCTGCTGAGCGACCAAGTTTTCCCCCCTTCCTCCCGCCTCACTGAAACGAGAACCTGGGCAGCAGTCACTACTGATTCGCACAAACCGGAGCTGGGAGGCCACCAGGAGGCCCCTTTTACTGGCCACGGGTGAGACCTACATGGAGATGATGCTGCAGCAAGTCTGGCTATAAGACCAAAATCCCAAGACAGTCCATTTCTTTCACAAATGGACCTATATTTTTGTTTGTTTGTTGTTTTTTTTGGGGGGGGGACACACACACACACACACACCTGCAGTGCTCAGGGTTCACTCCCAGCAGTGCTTTGGTTTCCATTTCAGGATTCGAGGCTGTGGCTCCAACCCAGCCACTGTGGCTACATTCTGTCCCCTGGAGGGGAGGAAGGACAAGGTCCCTACATTCCTCAGCTCTGTGTGTGGAGATGGTATAACCTTTATCTCCCAGACCGTGTGAGGCTTAAATGACTAATACAGCTAAAGACCTCAGAACAGCGCCCGGCACGCACCCTCCACAGATTTACTTGGGGACGAGGCAGCGCATGCCTCAACCACAGACCCCGCCTCTCTCGCCCTGCCCCACACCACCTCGAGAATGGTCTCCTGAGATCTCCCGGGCCAAGTAGCTGTCACCTCACTGGGAGGTGAGGACAGGGCCTGTGAACCAGCAAGGGAGGCTGTGCTGGAACTAGACCTCAGCACGCGTGCTGTGTGGACATGGCATGCTGGGACTCCCATTGACGCTCAGGAGCCAATGAGCTCATCACCAGAGGCCTCGTACTGCCAGAGCCAAGGGTGGCCTATGGGGCTAGGCTGACCTCCGGGCCAAGGCGCCTTCTCCAGGGGCCAAGGAAAACACCCTAAAGGCAAACGAGCCAGACAGACTGGGCCGCTGGACCCCCGCATTCCCCCGAGGCAGTGGGCCTCGAGAAGACAGCAGAGACAACAGGAGGGCCACTTCAGGCTGCAAAGGCGATTCTTGTTGACTGGGCACAGATGTGGGCATAGGAAAATGGGCAATCATTCCCCCACAGTCCTGGGGAATCAGTCTGGTGATTTCTGTTCCAGACGGGGCTGAGAAGGGGGTAGAGTTCTTCAGTGGGGGCCAAGCCTTGCCCCACTCACCACTCTTGTCTGTGGACTATAGTCGCTCTGTCTCCTGGCAAATGGTCTGCTCCACTGTATCACATTCAGCTAGAAATGCCTACAAGACAAAGGTACAGTGAGGGTCCACCTGTACTAGCCAATCTCCTCTCAGCCAGGCCCTCTGCAGCTGGCCTTCGAAGACGCCCACAGGGGGCGCTGCCATCAGGCTGTGCTGGTGGGCAGGACCTGGGTTCCATGCTTCCGGGGGAGGCGGAGGGAAGCCTGGGACTGGGGTTCCAATAATGCTCTTGGGCAGGTTTCTCAGTCGGGGATATTCTCTGGGCCCCCCCTTTATGTGGAGGATCCACGGCATGAGACCAGGGGACTAAGCAGGAGGAGGAGGAGGTGGGGGTGGGAGAACAGGAAGGAAATAAGGTTGAAAGGGGCCACAGTAGGAAATAAGTTGAGAAGAGCTTAAGATAACACCCTTCCAAAAGGGGAGAGGACGGGTCCTGCCTCGAGGCCACTGTGCTATAAATGCAGGGTTAGACGGGCCAGTCCATTTAGATGTCAGCCCCACCTGCTCTCCAGGGAAGACCCCTAAAATGTTTCAATTCAAACTAACACAGGTACATGAAAGGACTCTTGCATTCTAGGCTTATGCAAAAAAAAAACAAATAGTAAAGTCTATGTCACACACCACATCTCAACCCTACTGTGAACATACACACGCACACACACACACACAATACTGTGACCCTCTACCCCACAACTCACCTGAATCTTAACCACCAAACTCTTCCTCTTCAGTCTACTGTCCTTGAAATTCTCTGGTAGAATCTATGGAAGGGTAATTCTCAGAGAAAGTGGCAGGTGAAGGTCTCTGCCCAGAGTATATCACACAGGTCACAGGTGAAATAAGTTTTCAGGGTTTAATTCACTTCCAAGACTGGATTCCCCCAAGGCCCTTCCCATTAATCTCCACCCCTCCAAAAGCTCCTTTGGCTCTACACCCGGCCCAAGGAGGATGCCCCGTGCCAAGGGCTCTGACCTGGCACTGTTTCCTACCTGTGGATTCTATGTCCTGGGCAGACCCTGTGCTCACAGTGGCTGGAAAGCACCTTCTATTTCCTTTTCACTACCTTGTCCACCCGCCCCCTAACGGAGTAGCTCATGCTCAAGGAGGAGACATCGGTCTGGAGATACTGCCCATCACCTGTAAAAAGGGGCCCGGCATCAGCAGTTCCCAGTACGAGAGTGCTGGGTTCTGTATAGGTAATGTGCTTAGTGGACACTCACAGGAGTTACACTGTGTTTCTCGGACCACAAGGACCTGGGAACACTTGGGTCCCAACCTCATGACAATTACAGAGCCTGCCAGCATAGAGAAGGAAAAAAAATAATAAAAGCCTCAATTGGAGAGATGGGGAGCGGCTAGAAATCGAGAATTGTCTTATCTTGCTGTGTACTCACCCGGGACCTATCAGGGGCCGGCAAAAGTACGGCTCAATATCCTGAGGTGATGGGGCAGCTCAGGTGAGCAGAACATTCACCCTAGAGCGAAGCTAAGTGAACTATAGCCAAGGGAAACTCATTCTTCTCCGCAGAGTAATTACCAGCGCATCAATCTCCTCCAAGATCTTCATAAATTGCTCGATCGTAGCTTTGACTCTCCTGCTGAGTTTGCAGAGAGCTTCGGCTCGTATATCTTTGACCAGAAAACCCTGTGGAGGAGGAATACACCATTGCAAGGGGTGTTACGGCTGGATGAGAAACAACTAGCCAAGGCACTGACAAGGTGGTACTGCCGGCCGGGCCAGACCTCAGACCAACAACTTCAGCTCTTGGCAAAAAATGAGAGTGTCTGGCCTGGAGTCAACCCAAGCACCGAGCCAGGCCCTTTCTCTCCCAGGGCCTCTCGGGGCTTGCAAATGCCTAAGACTCTGCAAGCCAAGCAAGCCTGGTGGAAGCATACAACCCCCAGACAAAAGGACACAGCAGGAGCTCGGGGCGTGGTGATGAAGGGGCCCAGTTTGAAGCTTGACTGCCACTGACTGGCTTGTGAGCTCCAGGAAGCTATTTATCTGTAACACAGTGCTCTTAATTTTTCCAAGGAATAATATGACATCATCCCAGATGATCACTGACTTCAGAGGGGGGCATATTTGTAGATGCTCAACTTAATTCATGACATATAGATACGTGTCGACAAATGAGCAGCACTTGGCTGTGGGGAGAGCACAAAACTGGAACGCACTGCATGCTGGAGACCCAGAGGTCAATCCCTGGCATCAGGTGGTCCCCCAAGCATTTCCCAGAGCAACCTCTGAGCAGCAAGTTGAAGCAGCACCTGGCAACTTTGGGTGTGGCCACAAACCTAAACCAAGTCACAAACTAACAAACAATTTCTTGTCTGTGTGTGGTGCCAAGGGATCGAACCCAGGGCCTCTTACACGCAAGGTATGTGCTGTGCCAGTGAGCAAGAGGCCTGGTCCACAATATATAAATAATTTGTTTCAAACTGTTTTGTATCTGGGTCACATTGCTAACAACAGGTAGACAGCAGGTATCGCTAAGGATATTTATCAAACTCTAGAGTTAAAGATGCAGATTTGATATGAGGAGAAAGCTTTCCGTATTAGCCAGCAATTCCAAATCAAAGAATTTATTCTACAAAAAAAAAAAAAAAAAATAGAAAGGGCTCAGAGATTGCCACTAGAGGTTGCAGTGCTTGACAATTTTATGTATTATGATAAGTAAGAGCAGGTGAGAAGCCACAGTGTTGGTTAAATGAATTCTCTGCATCAATATATATATGATTCACTTATTTTTTTGGGGGGAGGCACATTTGGCAGTGCTCAGAGCTTACTCCTGGCTCTGTACCCAGGGAATCACTCCTAGCAAGCCTCATGGGGCCTTATTGGGTGCTGGGAATTGAACCTAGATAGGCCGTAAGAAAAAAGCAAGAAAAAAGCATTCTACCCACTGTACTGTCTCTCCAGTCCCTATACAATGAACTATTATACTGTACTTTTATTTGTTTGGCAATGCTCAGGGGCACTGGGAGTTGTTCAGGGATCTTTCCTGCAGTGCTCTGGACCAGGTGGTTGTGAGAATCAAGCCTGGGTCTCCGGCTTTCAAAGCATGCGTTCAGCCCAATGGAGTGATCTCCCCAGCTGATAGTAAGTTGCTTTTTTTTTTTTACTTTTCGGGTCACACCCAGTAATGCTCAGGGGTTACTCCTAGCTCTGCACTCAGGAATTACTCCTGGAGGTGCTTGGGGGATCATATGGGATGCTGGGGATTGAATCCAGGTTGGCTGCGCGCAAGGCAATCGCCCTCCCTGCTGTACTACCGCTCCGGCCCCATGATAGGAAGTTTTGAGAACTGTGATCACTTTTCTTTTATCTGGGTGGGGAAAGCTACTCCCAGCAGTGCTCAGGGACCGCGGGAGTCTGGGAGTGTGTGTGATCAAACCTAGACAGCTGGCGTGAAGGTTTGCGTTCCACCCTTTAAACCAACTTCCCATCGCAGTTTGATTATTTTTGTAGGGGAAGTTACACCCAGTGATGCTCAGGATTTATTCTTGGCTCTGCATTCAGGAATTACTCTTGGTGGGACCATACAGAATGTCAGGGATCAAACCTGGGTCAGCCTCGTATAAGGTAAACACCCTACCCGTAGTACTATCACTCCAGCCCGTATGATAAGTTTTGATGACATAGGAAATGTTTAATGTTTTTATTCAATAAAAAAAAATTCACAAATTTTCTTTTGTTTGGTGGGGGGTTGTGGGGGAAGGTTTGGGATACAGCTTGCGTTGCTCTGTACTCAGGATCACACACAGTGCCAGGGATCAAACTGGTATCAACTGCATGCAAAGCAAGTACGCTCCTAGTATATTATACTCCCCAACCAAATAAACCAAATTTTTTAAAATCGAAAAATACAATTTGCTCTTCAGTTGTTATATAGTTGAGTTGAGCTTTATAGGTAATCCTTAGTTTCCCCCATGTTCTTCATCTAACACCTGGAGCTAGGGACCTAGCTCAGGTGGAGCATGTCCTGTGTGGGGGAGGCTTTGAGTTTGAGCCCTGACACTGCAAACTCCCTTCTATCCCACCTACCAGTACCACCAAGGGTGCCCCCCAACAACAACCAATCCCCCTCCACACAAATGTGCAAACTGTATACACTACTTGTGTAATTAAAACACAAGCATACAGACATTGTAGTATGAAACAATGCGGTGGGGGGGAGTCTATGTGTTAGGGGCTATTCATCACCCGGTTGCTGATGGGGCTAATTAGTACCCCATTGCCTACATATGAAAATTTTTTTTTCCTCTTTGGGTCATACCCAGCAATGCTCAGGGGTTACTCCTGGCTCTGCACTCAAGAATTACGCCTGGCAGTGCTCAGGGGACCATTTGAGATGCTGGGAATCGAACCCAGGTCAATCACGTGCAAGGCAAACACCCTACCTTCTGTGCTATTGCTCTAGCCCCAACCTACATATGAAATTGAGAAGAAAGGTCCAAGTACACTCTCACAGAAAGAGTAGGCTCGACTTGGACCATCTATCAATCAATGGAATGTTCTCTGTCTTGGGCTGGAGCGATAGCACAGCAGGTAGGGCGTTTGCCTTGCACGCAGCCAACATGGCTGACCCGAGTTCAATTCCTCCGCCCCTCTCGGAGAGCCCGGCAAGCTACTGAGAGTATCTCACCCGCACGACAAAGCCTGGCAAGCTACCCGTGATGTATCTGATATGCCAAACACAGTAACAACAAAGTCTCACAATGGAGACGTTACTGGGCCCACTCGAGAAAATCAATGAACAATGGGAGGACAGTGACAGTGACAGTGACAGTTCTCTGTCTTGCTAAGCACATTATTGCAGATGAGACTGAGAGACGCTACCTATTACAAGGCCTGTAGCATGGCAGATGCATTCTAGGGGAACAAATGGATCCAGCGAGGGGTTGGAAAGAGACAGATCGTAGCCGGAGCAGGTCTAACCCACCTACCAGGTAGGGTGCTGGTCTAACATGTGGTTGACCTGGGTTCAGTCCCCAGCACCCCATATGGTACCCCCAGCGTGTCAGGAGTTAAGACCTGAGCACCACTGCGTGTGGTCCAAAAACCAACCAACCAAACAAAAAGTGACAGTGACAATAATCCTTACAGCATACCCAGTATGTATTTGGCTTAAACTACTTTGTTTAATCCTGTGAGGGAAAGAGACCATCATTTCTGTCTCTGAAGAAAAGGAATCTGAGATGAGGCAAACTTGCCCGCAGTAATAGAAAGGGTCAGATATGTCACTATAATGAAGGAATCTGACTAGAGAGGCTGGCCTGGAAACCGCAACTGTTAGAGCTCAACAATGTCTGACAAGGTGGAAAGTCAAGGTGTCAAGAATTACCTGCTGGAGTCCAGTAAGATCTTCATTCAGTCCTTCCAGCTGGCCAGATATCTTGTCCACAGACTTTTCCAAATCTTTCAACTTCTTTAGTTCCACCTCTTCTGGATTGTTCTAAAATATTATAAAATGAAGTAAATGATAAAGAACAATAGCTTCCATCGGGGGGAGGGAGGGACAAAATCTGACTACAATTTGGCTCATCCAAACAGAAAATAGTCTTCACAGGGCAGTTTTTTAGAATATAGCTTGAGGGACCAGAGTGATAGTACAGCAGGCAGTGCATTTGCCTTGCATGTGGCCAACCTCGGTTTGACTCCCAGCATCCCATATGGTCCCCCAAGCACTGCCAGGAGTAATTCCTGAATTCAGAGCCAGGAGTAACCCCTGAGCATCGCTGGGTATGACCCCCCCAGAAAAAAAGAAAATAGGTTGAGGGTAATATAAAAAAGTTTTTTTTTTTTTTAAAAATAATAAAAGGGATGTTTTCTATCTACAAAGACTCTAGACTAGAGAGAAGGCATCAAGTAAACATGTGAAGGTATCATAGTCCAGATTCAAAAACATGAGCCTGGGCTGGAAAGATAATACAGAAGTTAAAGCAGTTGCCTTGTACGCAGCTGTGCCTGGTTCAATAGTTCGAATCCAAGCACAGCATACAGTTCCCCGCCACTGCCTGAGCAGAGTCACAAGAACTGCTGGATGTGTAACTCCTGTCCCCGCCAAAAAAGTTTTTGAACCAATCCAGGTACTAGATACTATTTTAGCTGATACCCATAGACAAAATAAAGCCTGAAGCATGAAAGATTACAGTAAATATCTATGAGAAGTCCAGAAAAACAAGACTGGAGAAAAGTCTGCTATTCCTTTCAATGGAATTCCTTCCTACATCCACCAATTGAGCTCTGCCATTAAATGTGATAATGATGATGATGACCATATTGAATATTGAATATTCAATATTCATTCAATATGCCAAGGTGCTATCCTAAGCACTTCAACGGTACTAGTGTTTTAAGTCTTACAGCAACCCAATGAGGGGGGTACTGTCTGAGATGATGAAACTAAGGTTTAGTGTATAGTAACATGAGGCTGTTACTTATGGGAGCTAGGACATGAATCAGCAACTGGGTATCCCAGAGGTGCTTTCTAATTTTTATTTATTTATTTGGTGACACACTTGGTGATGCCCCTTACTCTGAGCTCAGAAATTACTCCTGGAGGTGCTTGGAGTACCATATGGGGTGCCAGGGATGAAACCCAGTTAGCCACATGCAAGGCGAATGCCCTACCTGCTGTACTATCGCTCTGGTCTCTCTTAGGTTCTGACCACTGAACCCAGAACCATTCTCCCTAAGCTATTAAAGAAAAAAAGAAAAATCTAGAACATTTCCATTGCTCACCTAACCAAATGGGTAGCCAGTAACAGCAGTTTCCTGCTTTGACCCTATTCAAATCGTTGACATACTTTGGGCCAAATCCTAAACCCATTTCTTTTTTAGTTTTGTTTTCAGGCCACACCCAGTGGTGCTCAGGGCTTATTTCTGGTTTTGTGCTCAGGGGGCAGTCCGGTGGGGTTTGAAGGACCCTGTGTCAGGGATTGAACCTGGGTTGGGCGTGTGGAAGGCAAGCAGCTAACCTGCTGTACACTAACCCTAAACCTACTTCTTGGAAGTTCGAACCTGGAGTAGACTTTGTTTTTGCTAATCTCTGCCTTCTCTCCACTATGAATCAGTCACCATTTTGAAGGCAATGGCAGCTTTTTTTTGGGTGGGGGGGTCACACCCAGTGATACTCAGGCATTACTCCTAGCTCTGCACTCAGGAATTACTCCTGGCAGTGCTCAGGGGACCATATGGGGTAACAGGGATTGAACCTGGGCCAGCTGCAGGCAAGGCAAACCCACTGTATTATCACTCCGGCCCCTGAATGAAACTTATGACCAACAACCCGATGGTGTCACATGAGGGCACACCAAGGTCCCCTCTCTTTACCCCAGGAGCTATTGTCTCTATTGTCTCTCTGTGACCAACTGGCTTTTTGTCACTCAGTTCTTTGTTTTTTGGAGGGGGATGTTTAGGGCCACCCTAAAGTGCTCAGGTGTGCTGCTTTCAAGGCAAGAGTCTTACCTGTACCTCAGTTCTCCTGGGTAAGTCTTTCTTTCCAGTCAAATACTTGCGTAAAAGGGGTGAAGGGAAAATGGCTCCAAAAAACTAGCTTGGAACATTCATCTTTCAAATCTTCAGGTTTTATTTATTTAATAAATTGCTCTCTCTGGATGGGTGGGAGGGGGGTATACTGGGGTTCCTGGTGGTGGAAAATGTGTACTGGTGAAGGGATGAGTGTTTGATCATTGTATGACCGACCAAGACTGAAAGGCTCTGTGACTGTTCTCACAGTGATTCAATAAATAAAACTTAAAAACTTAAAAATAAAAATAAATTGCTGTCTCATAAATCCGCCTCCCAAAAGTGAGTAAAACTGGTCTCGGGCATGCTGAATGGTATCTCACCACCAAAACAAAAGTCACCTTACTGAGGGAACTCAAGCATTCCTGATTCCCAGAGCCAAAAGCCCTAACCAGCAGGAACAGAGGACACAGAATAATAAAACAGGCGCTGCCATCAAACAAATGGAGGAAACTTCATTGTTTCAGGGACAGCTATTTCACCAATGATACTCGAATCTGGGCCCTCAGTTTGGCCTTTAAAACAGACACATAGCATGCTATAAGAAAACAAAACAAAACAAAAAAAAAACATTCAATTTGCTGCTATGTGGGTAAACCTGGAGGGATGCTGCTGAATGAATTCAGCCAGGTGATAGGGATGAATGATGGATGAATAGATACAGAATGGCCTCACTCACATGTGGGACAATAGAGAAGCATAAATGGCCCAAAGAAACAAACTGTGAAGTGGTCTGCAGAACTGAACTTAATTACCATGGTGGCGGTAACCCTGAGACAATGATGGAGGGAAATGCTAGGTGTGTGGGGTTGGAATGTTGTATGCATGAAACCCCATTACGGTGTTGTAAACCATGGTTACTAAGATAAAATGATAGGGTCAGAAAGTCAGGGCTTGCCTTGCACATGGCTGACCTGGTTTGTTACCCAGCATCCCACATGGTCCCCTGAGCACCTCCAAGAGTAATTTGTGACTGCAGAACCAGAGGTAACCTTTGAGCACCACTGGCTGTGGCCCAGTCCCTACACAATAAACAAACAAATAAAAGACCAGAGAGTACAGCTGGTAGGGCCCTTGCCTTGCAAGTGGCTGACCCATGTTTGATTCCCCAGGACCACATGTGGTTTTTGACTGCAGAGCCAGGAGTAAGCCCGAGAAAGCCCTGAGCACTGTTAGGTGTGCCCCGCTCCCACTAAAAACAAGAAGCCCCCCCCAAAAAATACAAATAAAACTTTAAAAGAAATGAAACAAGAACACTGCATTTGCTTCAGCAGCACCTATACTAAAATTGGAACAATACAGAGATTAGATACAGACCCCCCTGTACTAGGATGACAGCAAAATTCATGAAGCACTCCATATATTTTAATTAAAAAAGGGGATAAGAGTGAAAAATAAATAAATAAATAAAAGCAGAAACATGTAGAAAAGATTTTAGTGATCTGACTGTAGTAGTCTTGTGGAAAAAAAGATTTACCTTCTTCCCAATTAACATGACCCGGCACCCATCTTGAATTCCAGCTGCTGATAGTGGTTGTTCTAGATCCTTCAGAGATTTTCCTGCAAAAAGAAAAATCGCACAACACTGAAAATAAGTTTTAGTGAGGGTATGAGAAAGACAAACGTTCATAAATGAGAGAAGGATAAGGTGGGGGCCAGGGCTACTAGTACAGAGGGCAGGACACTTCCACATGGTCAGCCTGAGTTCAATCCTCAGCACCCCATACAGTGCCTCTAGCCACGCTAGGAGTGATTCCTGAGTGCAGAGCCAGGAGTAAGCCCTGAGCACCACTGCGTGTGGGCCCAAAACCAAAAAAAAAAAAAAAAAAAAGAATAGAAGAGATTGATACAACCTTTAAGAAAAGTACCATGATCCAATACTCATTTCAGATACTTATCCTAAACAAGTAATGGGACATATGGCTGTACAACAAACAATGTTTTTCAGTACAACCTTCATCACAAAGATTAATGATACATCGAACCATAAAGGTTTCTTAGAAATTAAAACTCCTTTCAACAGGAAACTTCTAAGCCACCATGTAGGAGATTCAGTGTCATAAGAAAAAAAAAAAAAAGGTCAGGTCTGGAATGTGGCCCTGTAGTACAGCACTTGCCTTCTGTGCATGAGCCCATGGGCTGGTCTGCCGGAACTGCCAAAAAAAAAAGGTTATAAAAACTGTCCAGTCGGGCGGGTAAACTCTAAATAATAGTGGTGAATCTTTTATTGAAACAATGAATCTAATCAAAGCAGATAGAGTGTTAACTAGAATTCATCCGCCCCACAGGGACTGGGAGGGGTGGGGGGTGGGGTTTTATTGGGGTTCTTCATGGTAAAAAATAAGTTTTGGTAAAGGGAAATGTGCTTGATATTTGCATGACTGAGACCTAAACCTGAAAGCTTTGTAACCTTTCCCATGGTGATTCAATAAATAAATAAATAAATTTTTAAAAAAAGAGAAAAAAAAATAAAAAATAAAAAGAGAAAAAAAAAAAACTGTCCAGTCAATGTCCCAATTTTGTCAACTTAAAAAAAAAGTACGAGGGGCTGGACCACCAGGAGTAATTACTGAGTTCATGAGCAGGAGTAACCCCTATACATTGCTGGGTGTGACCCAAAAAGCAAAACACACACACACACACACACACACACACACACGAATCCACGCTCTGGATGCCAGGACCAAAAAAATAAATAAATAAATAAGATAAAACAGAATATATTAAAATATTATGAGGGATTTTATGTGGGAGAACATTATCTCCTTTATGCTTCCTTTTATTTTCAGATCTGGATTTCAATTGTCTTTATAATCCTAAAAAAAAATAAAAATAAAAAAAAAGGAAAGTGGGGAAGGGGCTAGAGACAGAACAGGGGGTAGGATGCACGTGGTAGAGCCAGGTTTGATGCCAGAAACTCCATATGGGTCTCCTAGCCCCACCAGCAGTGATCCTAAGCACATAGCCAGGCGTAAGCCTGGAAAGGGGTGTGGCCCCAACCTCCCGCCAAAAAGACCCAAAAAGAGAGGGTGGTGGTGGGGCTGGAGTGATAGCTTAGCGGGTAGGGCATTTGCCTTGCACGCGGTCGACCCGGGTTCAATTCCCAGCATCCCATATAGTTCCCTGAGCACCGCCAGGGGTAATTCCTGAGTGCAGAGCCAGGAGTAACCCCTGTGCATCACCGGGTGTGACCCAAAAAGCAAAAAAAAAAAAAAAAGAGATGGTGGTGGAGTGTTGGGGCATACCAACAATGCTCAGGGGACCGCAGGGGACCAGCCATTAAACCAGGTCCACTGCATGCAAGGTAGGAGCCTAACCTTTGTCTGTTATTTCTCTCTAGCCCCTATAATTCAGAAAGTATTTTTGACAAGGAAAGACAATGAGGCTGGAGTGATAGCACAGCAGGTAGGGCATTTGCCTTACATGCAGCCAACACACACTGGATCCCTGGCACCCCATATGGTCCCCTGAGCATAGCCAGAAGTCATTCCTGAGTGCAGAGCCAGAAGGAATCTGAGCATTGCCAGGTGCGGCTCAAAACCAATAATGATAATAAAAATAAAATAATTAAATGAAAAATACAAGGGAAAGACAAGGGGCCAAGGATAGAGCTCTGCGGTGCAGTGCATGGTTCACGTGTATGAGACCCTGGGTTCAATCCCTGGTGCTCGTCCTCTAACTCCCCACACCCCATGAAAAAATAGAAGGAGTGGCTTCCCAACACTAAACCCTTTATAGAGACTGGTATCAAATGGAATAAATGTGGGCGCATCAGATAAATGAAAAAAATGGTAGACAGAGGCTGCAGAAGGGCAAGAGAGCAGAGCCTCAGCTGGGCTGCACTGTCAGCCCTCACGTCTTCCTCTACTGCACTGGGCCAAGAGTTGGACACACGGCACTGCCCACACAGACTGCTGTTCTCATGGAGAAATCAGATGCTCACCAAGCAAGAAGACTATGAGCTCATCAGAATCCCAGTACAAAGGGTGCGAAAAAGTGGTGATGGGTACCCCACGAACATCCAAGGATCCAACTCAGCCAGGGAAGCCTACCTGCAAATTTCAGTCAACTTTTCCCGTGCCTTCAATGCTAACACCCGCCCAAGGTCTTGAGTGTCTCCTTAACAATGAAACCCAGCAAATTTTAGCTCAAGAAACAAACAACTGAATAAATCCAAAAAGGCGAAAGAGAGACGGACCAGAATGTGTGTGCTTGGCATACGAGCAACTCTGAGTCCCACCCTCAGCATCCTGTGGTACCCCAGACACCACTAGGAACACCATCCTCCCCCCACCCCATCCCCACACACAAAATACCAAGAACTGTCCCCGTTTGAAAATCGAGTTACACCATTAGGTGAGGTTATATGGTTCGGTACCTACCCCTGCAATGAGAAACAAGGACTCAAATCTACAAGAGAAACACCTACCCTTAAATATGAGTTTCTGAGAACACACTGGGACCCCTGTGGCCTCTTCAACAACCTGGGCCAGGTCTTGGAGAACCGGTTCACTGCAACCCTCCTTGGGAGTGACATGAAGGTTGTGCTTCTCGTTGCCTGCAGAGAGCAAAGCATTGCACGAAAAACTCTTTCACAGAAACTGACTCTTCATTTGCCTTCAAAGACCAGTCCGCATGCTTCCTACCCCAAATGTGGCCTGTCCCCACACCTGCCGAGCGTTTCCGTGGTATCCTGTGCAAGGTGTTCCCTGTTATAAATGCATAAGTAAAGCTAAGCGTTTGATGTGGGGGGGGGGGGGGGGCGGTTGTATTACTACAGGCAACAACTTAACTTTCAGAACAAACATGAGATAGATACTACCTGTATTCCCTATTTCAAAGATGAACTGTGAGCTCTGTCTAGTTAAGATCTGCCTCTCGAGACCCAACTGGTAGAGTCCAAACCTGACATCATGTGAAAAGTCCATACTTCCCACTCAAGTTATCTGCCTCCTGTGTCTTTATCTCCCTTAACACTGTGCTGTCTGCTAGTCTCCCCTGCTGTCATGGACAGGAGGCTGTTTTTCCTTCTAGTGCACTGGGTATAGCTGCACCTACATGGTTGGTGCACCATAAAAACAAGACAGACGACAGCCAGAGAGATAGTACAATGGGTAAGTTGCACATGGCTGACCTGGGTTTGATTCCCAGCAATCTACGTAGTCCCCCAAGCATTGCCAGGAGTAATTCCTGAGTGCAGAGCCAGGAGTAACCCCTGAGCACCACTGGGTGTGGCCCCCAAACAAAACAAAAATACAAGGAAGAAAAGAAAGGACTGATGAATGAATACAGTCCACAGAAAATTTATTTTTGGAGCCACAGTGCCAATTCTTTTCCAGTAAGTGGCCTGTGTCCTGTTCATGACTCCAAGCCCTGAGCCCCGCTCAACAGCCAAGTGAAGTCAGCAGGGCTGGTGTTACCAGCTTACTTCATAAAGGAACCAGATGCCTAGAAAGGAGGCATCCCAAGGTCACTCGAAAGGGCAGGCTGGGTGCCAGATGGTCCAGTCTTTAGTGCTGTGACTTGCACGAGACCGACCAGGGTTGGATCCCCAGTACCTTGTATGATCCCCCAACCCTACAAAGAGTTAATCTGAGTGTAGAGCCAGGAGTGATCCCTGAGCTCAGTCAGGAGTGATCCAAGTGCGGGGCCAGGAGTGATCCTTGAGCATAGGGTCAAGAGTGATCCCTGGGGGCCAGATAGTACAGCGGGTAGGGGGTTTGCCTTGTACACGGCCGACAGGGGTTCAATCTCCAGCATCCCATATGATTCCCAAGCACTGCCAGGAGTAATTCCTCAGTACAGAGCTAGAAGAAATCCCTTGAGCATCGCTGGGTGTGACCCAAAAAAATCAGAAAAAAATAAAAATTAAAAAAAGTGATCCCTGGGCTAGTCTGGAGTGATCCGAGTCCGGAGCCAGGAGTAATCCCTTAGCTTAGAGTCAAGAGTGATCATAGAGTCAAGAGTGATCCCTGAGCTCAGTCAGGAGTGATCCGAGTGCGAAGCCAAAAGTAATGCGCCCCCCCTTACCTCCCAGCAGTCAGGAGTGATCCCTGAGCACGAAGCAGGAATGATCCCCGAGCGGCGATCAGTACTAATCCCTCGGCACAGTCGGGAGTGAGCCCTAAACACTGAATTAGGAAATGATCCCGGCGCACCAATCGGTACTAATCCTTGTGCACAGTGAGGAAAGATCCCTGAGCACTGTATCAGGTGTGATCCTCCCGCACCGATCGGTTCCAGTCCCTGGGCACAGTGAGGAGTGATCCCTGAGCACTGAATCAGGTGTGATCCCCGGGCACCGATCGGTTCTAGTCCCTGGGCACAATCAGGAGTGATCCCCGGCGAGAGTGCGCTTCCGAGGCGCACGTGGCCGGAACCAGCGACCCGCCGGCCCTTGGTCGACCTGCCCGGCGCCCGCCCAGCCGCCCGCGCTCACCGTGGGTGACGGTCACGCTGAGGCCGGCTGCGGCCATCTCCCCGCTCCTGTCCCCCTCTTCGGTCAGGGTCACGTCGTCCGTCTGCGTCACCTCTTCCTTGAGGATCACCGCTTCGGTCTGGGTCACCTCTTCGCTCCGGCTGGTCTCTTCGCTCCACGACTGGACTTCTTCGCTCCGGGCCGTGCGAGGCCGGGCTTTCTTCCTCACCCGCGGACGGCGAGCGCCGGCGGGGGTGCTCCCGGGGGGCCGGACATTCCCGGCGGCCACGCTCTGGACCGACGACCGCCGAGGAGACTGACAGTGCTGGGGCGAAGGCTCCGACGGGCGCTGCTCCCGGCCCGGCCGAGTGGCGCGCCGCCGGTGGCCCTGCAGCTGCCGGTCGCCTCGAAGTCTCCGCCCGGCGCCGTGCTCCGCCAGACCTGCGCCTGTTGACCGCCCAGCGATGGGAGCTGAGCCGTGCGCCCTTCGCAAGCCCGCCCCGCCGCCTGCCGTAGGCCCCCGCTCGGCCGCTGACCCGGGCTGCGCCCCGCCCTCCACTAGCCTACGTCCCGCCCCCCCGCGGGCCCCGCCCCCTTGTTTCGCCGAAGCCGCCTGGGCCCCGCCCACCCCTGCAGCCTGGGCCCCGCCCTCCACTAGCCTACGTCCCGCCCCCCCGCGGGCCCCGCCCCCTTGTTTCGCCGAAGCCGCCTGGGCCCCGCCCACCCCTGCAGCCTGGGCCCCGCCCCCCACTAGCCTACGTCCCGCCCCCACGCGGGCCCCGCCCCCTTGCTTCGCTGAAGCCGCCCCGGTAGGCCCCGCCCACCCCGCGCAGGCCCCGCCTTCCTCGCATTAAGCCACGCCTCATTTCCGGCGCCGAGACGAGACCACGCCCCCGCCTGCCTCGCTCGCCTCCCTTCCCGTTCGCCTTCCACGGAAGAGCGAGCCCGTAGCTGGGAACCCGGAAAAGGGAGCCCCCCGCAGGCACCGGGCGCTTGCGCGGTCGAGGCGGTGGGGAGGCGGGGTTGGGGGCGCCGGAAGTGGCCACGGAGGTGGAGACGGCTCTCCTTCCGTTTGGGATTTGCTCCTGTGTTTGGGTTCTCTCCGCAGCCGTCCGAGATGAACCGATTTTTCGGGAAAGCGAAACCCAAGGCGCCGCCGCCCAGCCTGACGGACTGCATTGGCACGGTGGGCGCTCGGCCTGGGGGCGTCACGAGGCTGGAGGGCCGCGGGACGGACCCCGCCCCCACCCCCACCGCGGCTCTCGGTCCCCGTGCTCCCCAGCTTTGTGCTCGTTCCCCCTCCCTGACGCCACAAACCCGGGGCCCCCCGCCCCCACCCAGCCGATCGCAGCCTCGCCCTGGCCGGCCCTGCCCTGCCCCGTCCGCGCTCGGCCTCAGCCCTTGGCCTTTATTCTCACCTGGTTCTCGTCGGACGCCCGCAGCCTCCGCTCAGCATCTTTATACCCCAGCCCTGGACCTCGGTCCTCGAACGTTCCCGGGCCCTCCTGTAACCCCACCCCACCCCCCACCCCGTGACGGGCTCAGCGTTGGGTTCTAGACTCTTCCACACCCTGGCTGGACTCGGGGCGCTGTTTGGGGTGGGGGCGGGGGAGACCTCAGCTCTGGCCAGTGATTCTCAGGGTCTGGAGAAGCTCACCTCCACCTAAGGGGAACCCTGGAAGATCAGAGTCCGGGGCAGGGTTCATAGGGATCATCAAGACCCCCATTAGTTTCTGGTTGGGGGGGACTCTGTTCTCCACCCGTTGTCTTAATTTGAATCCCCTTTCCCCATATTTTTCTCCCCCTTCTGCCCTGTGTTTTGTAAGTGTAATTTTTCTTTTTTCTTTAATTGTGGTTCTTGTTACTTTGTCCGTGGATTGTGATAACCACCGCTGCTTTTGACTTTTTTTATTTATTTCCCCTCCCCTTTTAGGTGGACAGCAGGGCAGAGTCCATTGACAAGAAGATTTCTCGCCTGGATGCCGAGCTGGTGAAGTATAAGGACCAGATCAAGAAAATGAGAGAAGGTCCTGCAAAGGTAAGGTGGCCCCAGGAGGGGCTGCGCAGGGGCCGCGGGCGTCTGGGACACGGGGCGGCGGTGAAGGCGAGCTAAGTGGTGGCTAAGTTGTCTGCATGAGACCCTGTCGTGAGCGGTGTTCTCCAGCACCGTGCCTCAAGTAAAAATTTTAAATGAAAAAATAATAATCATAGTTCCCAGAGCCTTTAGGAGAACTGTTTCACATCATTTTGGATTTTATGTACTGATATATTTGACTGTTAAAAAAAAATCAGTATAAGTTTCCAAAGAAAAGAAAAGAGAACAAGAGCCAGGGATAGTGGATTGTGAGAAATACAAAAGAGATGCTCACAGTCTGGTTGAGGAGGAAATGGGAGCATGGATCCTTCCCGGAAGAAGAGTTCACAGGAAAAGGAGGTGGAATTTGATGGTGGAGACACTGATCACCTGTGGATAAGCATGCCTATTGTGAGTTTGCCTTGTCTGGAGAAGGTCACAGTTTGCAGAGGAAGGACTAGACTGGTCAGGTTAAGGGGGTAAAATAGACTGGTGAAAAAGTAGAGTATGGGGAATATTGTCTGCCATGGAAGTAGGGGAAGGGTGGGAAAGGGGGGTGAGGGGGTATGTCGGGGATATTGGCGGTGGGGAATGTGCACTGGTGGAGGGATGGGTATTTGATCATTGTGTGATTGTAACCCAAACATGAAAGCTTGTAATGATCTCACGGTGATTGAATAAAATAAAAAAAAAAAATAGACTGGTGAAAGGAATAGGTCTGAACTAGGGATTAGTACTGAACTAGGTACATAATTCCACTACTTCCTGCTAGCTGTGTTATCACGGTATCAGGGTCCTCCCGTTGTTCATCGATTTGCTCGAGCAGGCCCAGTAACGTCTCCGTCATGAGACTTGTTGTTACTGTGTTTGGCATATCAAATACGTCACGGGTAGCTTGCCAGGCTCTGCTAGGTGTGACCTTGATAAAATTACTTTTTTTTTTCTTTTTGGGTCACACCTGGCTCTGCACTCAGGAATTACTCCTGATGGTGCTCGGGGACCATATGGGATGCTGGGAATCAAACCTGGGTTGGCCGCATGCAAGGCAAATCCCCTACCCGCTGTGCTATCACTCCAGCCCCGATAAAATTACTTAATTTTCTTATTCTGTCCATCATGTAGGACATTGCGTATTGTATTTGAGTACTTGAACTGTGGATAAAACTTTTTTTTCCTCATCTCTAACTTACTAATTCAGTGAGTTAGGGCAAGACACTGAATCGTCGTTGAACCTCAGTTTTCCCATCTGTTAAAAGGAAAATAATATTTGCTTTATAATGTAAATTTTAAACAAGAATTTAATGTGAGTAACCTATGTGGCACTAACATAGAAACATGTAGTAAACAGGTATTTTATATTGTTTTGCGAAGTAATTCTGTTTTTCTCTCATTGTAGAAGACAAAATTATTGAATAGTGTAGAAAGAGACTTTTCTCACCCATCTTCGTTTGATAGCTTGGGTAAAGTGTGGCCTGAGGTTGAAAAGCTCATCTAGACTTGAAGAGGACATGGAAATCTGAGCAAGATTGGTGGTCATGCAAATGACCGTCTGAAAATCAGTTAAAGAACTGATTAAAAAAAACAGTAAAATCAGTAAAAAAAAAAAATCAGTAAAAGTGTGAAAAGATCAAAGAGAACAAAGCGAGGTTGAAGATGCTCAGAGACATGAGATATGGGTTGGACCATTGTTAGTAATTTCTGAGCAATTTGGGCATGTTGCATTTACCATATGGTCTAAATGTGCAAGAGAAGAGGGAACACTGTTCAGTACACTGAGATGTGGGAATGTAGAGACACATGAATCAGAGCTTCAGGACTTGTCTGGAATAAAGAATAATCAGGGAATGATACCACTTTGAAAAAGAAAATATGGGAGGTTTCTTTTGCTGTATGTGTATTTTCAACTACTTATTAAAGTCTGTTTTTCCTCCATCTAGAACATGGTGAAGCAGAAAGCCCTGCGGGTTTTAAAGCAAAAGAGGATGTAAGTCACTGGCATACTCTTTTCTTTCACAGTTTTAACTTGTTAAAGGAAAATAATGTCTGGGGAGATGACCTTTTATTCTTTCTAGTCTTCACAATATTTTATAAGTACTCGGTATTCAATTACAAATTTCACTTAGATATTCAGATAGCTGGTTATTTCTCCCCTCGGTTGTGTATAGCAACATCTAAAAAGAATTTTTTTTCCATGATGAAATTGTTGTGCCTGTGCTCCCCGATATAGTAGCGCTTAGTTGAATGTGGCTATTGAGCTCTTGAAATGTGACTAGTTAAATGAGAGAAATAGTACAGCAGGCAAGGCGCTTGCCTTCCATGCTGCTTGACCTGGGCTTGATCCCTGGCACCTGACCCTCACTAGGGGTGATCACTTAAGCGCAGAGCCAGGAGCAAGCCCTGAGTACCATCAGGCATGGCCCCGAAACAAAGAAATGAAAAGATAAAATTTTTATAAAATTTTATCTTTTCATAATAAGTTTTATTAGCTTTTAATAAGTTTTATTAGCAATAAAGAACTCTGCTACATATATAAGGCCCTGGGTTTTATCCTTGGAATTGCCCCTACCCCCCAAAAAAACCCTTGAAGTTTTAATTCTTACTTTGTGTTGTTTTGGGACCACATCTGGCTGTGCTCAGGGGTTACTCCTGGCTCTGTACTGCCTCTGCTCTCAGGAATTACTCCTGGCGGTGCTCAAGGAACCATATGGAATGTCTGGGATTGAACCCAGGTCAGCCACATGCAAGACAAACACCCTACCTGTTGTACAGTTGCTCCAGCTCTGAGTTTTATATAATCTCAATTTAAGTTTAGATAGCCATATCAAAGCTAGAAGCTCCTATCCTGGACTATCTAGATGTATAGGATTTGGTTCTCCCTTTACTTCGAGGTTCCTTTGTTTATTTTTTTTAATTTTAATTTTAATTTTTTTTGTTTTTGGGTCACACCCAGCGATGCGCAGGGGTTACTCCTGCCTCATGCACTCAGGAATTACTCCTGGCGGTGCTCGGGGGACTATATGGGATGCTAGGAATTGAACCTGGGTCGGCTGCGTGCAAGGCAAACACCCTACCTACCCCCTCTGCTACATGGTTGGAATGACTAGGACTTGACTTGCTTGATTATAATGCTACCACAGTTGTCTGGCTGCAGTTGGGGCACTTCCACACATGCTTGGAGTGTGTTCCAGGGGCCACATGCTGGTTGTGCTGTTCACACGCAGCTGTTTGCCATGGTGTTGCACATTTTTCTAATTGCAGTGTTCACCAGAGACCACACTCGTGTGGGACTCCTGTATGCCTGGAAATTATTGTGGCAGTGGGGCACACAGACCACAGAGCCACCACTCACAAACACTTGGTGCGTGCTGACAGCACTGGGGATCCAACTCTCAGCCTCACCCTTGCAAGGCAGGCACTTGAGCCACTGAACCATCTCCCAACCTTTCACGTGACTTTATGACATTTGATACCATTGTTGCTCTTTTAGATTATACAAAATTTGAAAAAGAAACTTTGCTGATGTTAGACTATTAGAAATTGCTACAATGCTTTGTGGAAAACAGCATAACTAAAATAAAAGGCAGAAGGATTGGAAGGATACATCAAATGATGCTTACTCCAGAAGCTAAATTGTTTTTGCCCGTTTTCCTGCGTATTTAATCTTTCAGACTAAAAAGTTTAAGAGAAAATTCTCCTGCTAAGCACTAGAGACACTTTCAGAGAATTTCTTCTTGACACATCTTTACCATTCTCAATTGCCTCTGAAAAGGTACGAGCAGCAGCGTGACAATCTCGCTCAGCAGTCGTTTAACATGGAACAAGCCAATTACACCATCCAGTCGCTGAAGGACACCAAGACCACGGTACTCCCAAAGCACCCATCCCGTGATTATGCTGTAGTTTTACTCCTGTCTTCTTTTTGAACGGTTCGACCAACATCGTGTTTTCAAAGACATGATCTTCTCGCCTTTTGACAGGTTGATGCTATGAAAGTGGGAGTAAAGGAAATGAAGAAAGCATATAAGCAAGTGAAAATCGACCAGATTGAGGTGAGTTAGCTGCTGGTTTCTGAAAGCATGCCAGTGGAAACGTCTGTGACAGGAGGGGCCTAGAAGAGGGAAGGAACATGAGGCCTGTGATTCATAGTAGAGTAACTTTGGGGAAAGTCACCAACAGGCTCACTGATACAGCATGGAATTGTTATGAAATTAGCTTGTGTGTGGACACATAGTACCTGGCACATAACAGTATATACATACTTATGCACATTTGCAAAATAAGCACCTAACAAGTCTCCAGTTTCTTACTAATCTTACTAATTTTTGATTGGCTTCCTCAATTGGAAAATAATGCTTTGTTGTTGTTGAAGATTTAGTTGTTTGTATTTATAAGGTACTTGTTTGTGGTTTTCATTTTTTTTTTTTTCTGTCATACCTGGCAGTGTTCAGAGGTTACTCCTCAGGAGTAACCAGGAATTACTACATTCAGGTGGTGCTTGGGGGACCATATGGGATGCCAGATATTAAACCCAGGTCAAACATGTGCCAGGCAAGCGCCTTGCCACTGTACTATATCTCCATCCCTGTAGTTTTCTTAATATCTCATGATCTGCTTGGTTTTTTGCAGGGGTATGGGGAGGGAGACACAGCTTGGCATTGGACCATACCTAGTGATGCTCACAGGATGGAGCTCCTGGTGGTTCTCAAAGGACCATGCAGTGCCAGGGATAGAAGCCAGGCCTCTAGCATGCAAAGCAGGCACTCAGCCCTTTGAGCTCCCACTTTATCTACTTTTAATATTAGAGTAATGGTGAATGGTGGCCTCATTAAGGGATTTGTGTTCTTCCCCCGCCTCTTAAAAAAAGAATCAGATAAATGATTGCTAATAATTCCTTCAAACTTTTTTTTAAAGTGATATCATTGCCTAGCTCCCAGCGTTGTCACAAGTGTTCAATGAGGCTACATATTTAAACTGTTAAACACAATTCCTGGCATGGAGAGAGTTTGTAGTAATTCTTTTAGATTTTTTTTATAATTCTATTACAATTCCTGGCATGGAGAGAGTTTGTAGTAATTCTTTTAGATTTTTTTTATAATTCTATTAAATCCCTAAAATTACCATCTCCTCCGGGATAGTGTTTGTTTTTCTGGGACAACACCCAGCTCTGTGCCCAGGGTCTCTCTGGGCACTTGGCTGCACTGGGAATCAAGCCAGGCCTCCTGCACGTGGATCATGTGCTTCCCCCTTGGAGCTATCTCTGCTGCCCCTCTTTGTGGTTTAGATAAAGCAATTCAGCCTAAGCGAAATGGAAGCTGGTCTTTGTGGGGGGTTTTGTCATCCTTTCAGCCTGCGGTTGTTTGCCTCCTGAACCTGTTTCCTCTTCCTGTCCTTTTAATTTCTTTCTTTCTCGGTGTGTGTCTTTGACTGGGCTATAGATTTTCAGTTTTTTTGTTTTCCTAAAATTTTTTTGTTTTAATATTTGTGTGTTTTTATGGCTCTCAGTAAATTAAGTTTGAGGGCCACTCCCAGCTTCGTGATTGGGGGTTGCTCCCGTCAGTCCGGGGGGATGGGGGCACATGTGGTACCCCCACATGCGATAGAAGGGATAGAAGGCCAGACCTTCCACATGCAAAGCATATGCTCTAGCCTATTGAGCTAGCTCTCAGGCCCCATGGGCTCTCATTTTAAAAATTTTGCACACATGCATATGTTTGAGATGTGTCTGCACTTATGTGTAGAAATGTTCCTGGTTTTTGGTTTTTGTTTCACACCTGGTGGTGTTCAGGGCTTACTCCTGGTTCAGTGCTCAGGGATCATTCCTGGTGGGACTCAGGGCCCTACATGGGGTGCCAGGGATTGAGCGTCATTTGGCTGTGTTCAGTACAAGTGCCTTATCGGCTATACTATCTTTTCAGCTCTTTCCTGTCATTATTTTAGTTTCTGCATGTTATTTAGTATTTGTTTATATTATTTTTGTTTAGCAAGTATGAGACCTGCCAGTTCTCCATTAGAAATTATTTTTTTTCTGTGTCTAGAGTGTTTAATGCTTCATAATCTTATTCCTAAATAATTTGGGGAAAATTGATAGGTAATAGTATAGGTATGCTTGATTTTTATTAGCTTATTCTTATTTCCATTCTCCTTTATTTTTTTCTTAAGCTGGAACCTTTGGGTGTAATACAAAGTTACATGTGTACAGTTTAGTAGTTTGGCACTTGGAAATGCATAAAAACGAAGTATTTTCTTTTCTCATTTTTATTTTGTTTTGGGACCATATTGGCAGTGATCAAAGGCTGCTCCTAGCTTGTGACTTAGGAACCATTCAGGGCCAGGGACACACCTTGTCTCCTACATGCAAAGCATGCTCTTTAGTCCATTGAACTGTCTGTCTAGCCTCTATTTTCTTTTTTATTTTCTTTTTGGTATTTGGACCACACCTGTCATCAGGACTTACTCCTAGCTCTGCACTCAAGGATTACTCCTGGTGGGGTCAAGGGACCATATGGGATACCAGGGATCAAACTTGGATTGGTCACATGCAAGACAAGTGCCCTATCCATTGTACTATCTCTCTGGTCCCCCCTCCTTTTGTTTTTAATGTTTTTTAAAGGGCTAGAACTTTTGCTTTGTATGTAGGAGTCCCCAGGTTCAATACATGTCTCCAGTGTTTACTCCTGGACACTTCCAAAAGTGGCCCTGAGCACTGGAAGGGGAGCAGCCTTTGAGCATGGCTAGGTGAGGCTAGTTGTATGTTTTTGTTTTTTTTCTTCATTTTATTTTTCGCCTGCTCAGCTTTCTTTTTTCCCCCTTTGTATTTTTATTATCTGCCCGCTCAACTTTTTTTTTTTAATTTTTTATTAGTGAATCACGGTGGGGTACAGTTATAAATTTACAAACTTTCGTGCTTGCGTTTCAGTCATTCAGTCATACAATGATCGAGTACCCATCCCTCCACCAGTGCCCATTTTCCACCACCGGAGCTTTTTTTTTTCTTTTTTTTTTAATAGTTTATTTCTTTATTGAATCACTGTGGGAAAAGTTACAGAGCTTTCAGGTTTAGGTCTCAGTCATGTAAGTATCAAACACATTTCCCTTTACCAATACTTATTTTTAACCGTGAACCCCAATAGAACCCCACCTCCCACCCCTCCCAGTTCCTGTGAGGCAGATGAGTTCTAGTTAATACTCTATCTACTTTGACTAGATACATTGTTTCGATAGAAGATGCACAATTATTGTTTAGAGTTTACGACCCCCCCCCCCCATCAGATATGCTGAAACAGTGTTGTGAAATGATTTGCTTTCTACAGCTTGGTTTAAGAATAAAATGATGTCGGTTTTGGATTTCTGCTGTTTCACTTATTAACCCTGGAAGTATTTCTATTAAAAGTTAGATAGTTAAGAGATTGGTTTCTGTGCTCTGGAGTCGGGGCCGTGCCGGAGAGCTGCTCGTGGGGGGCAGCTGGTGACCTCAGTCGGGCGTGAAGGACAGCCCAGAACGCCCCCCTTCCCATGAGGCCCCCGCTGCCCCCTGCCCCCGGCTCAAACCTGCTGTCCACAAGGCTCCCGTGCGGCCGCCATCTTTCTTTGCAGAGAGGAGCAGGCGAGCGGGACAACACCCTTTCCCCTCCGGGCAGGCTTGGTGGCGCGGTTTAACACATAATCCATTTGCTTTTCTGCTCCAAGCGGGTGGTTCTCTGTGCTAAGTCCTTGTGCCTCCGGGGTCGTGGCCGTGCCGGAGAGCCACTCGTGGGGGGCAGCTGGTGACCTCGGTCGGGCGTGAAGGACGGCCCAGAACGCCCCCCTTCCCATGAGGCCCCTGCTGCCCCCCGCCCCCGGCTCAAACCTGCTGTCCACAAGGCTCCCGTGCGGCTGCCATCTTTCCCGCTCAACTTTTATATACAAAAAAAAAATCTGATTTGGGTGCCCCAGAAAGGAGTTCTCAAAGGTTTGGTGTAGCTCAAAAATACTGTCAAAGGTCAGTGGTACTTGTAGTGCCCTTCTTCCCCTCATGGTAGACTCTTCATTATATGAGGAACATGCTGTGCTGCTTATACAAAATACAACGAAAGATAAAAGGTGTGGGAGGGGGGCTGGAGGGGGGGGCAAGTGGCCACACCTGACTCTGGGCTATGCTAGGGTTACTGGCTTTGTGTTCAGATCACTCCTGGCAGTACTCAGGAGACATGGAAGGAATCTAACCCAGGCCACACCTATACCGAGCAGGCGCCCTAACTACTGTATTATTTCCCATCCCCTAATTTAGCGTTTTTAATTTTGATTTGTTTTTGACAGGCCTTCTCAGTAGTGCTGGGGGATACCAGAGTTCTATCCCGCTGCGTTCAGGAGGCCAGGTAGTGCAAGAGGAAAGAACTTAGGGCCCTGTGCTAACAGGCACATGCTCCAGCCCTTTCAGATCTCGCTCTGGCCCAGACTTCTTCAGATAACTACATAAGCTCCCTTTCTTTTACTTTCAGTAAAGAGATACTCAGAAGTTTCTCAGGCTGCCCTTAAGAGGAGCACTTAATCAGGATTGGGTTGACTAAAAAGACTCACTAGCCAAAAACTAAGGTATAAGAAGTAAAATAATAGTCCTGGGTAGCAGATTGTGTGCTGCTCAATGGTATTTTTTTTTTAATTCTGTTTCTGGGACAGAGAGTAGAATAGAGGTTAAAGCACTTACCTTCATTCAGTTCAATCTCCAGCACCACATATGGGTTCTTGAGTCCCAACAGGAAGGACACTGAGATTAGATGACTGTGAGCTAAGAGTGTCCCCCAAACACCACTGAATATGGCCTCAAACCTCTCCCCTTCTGAAAAAAAAAAAGCGTGCTGCTTCTATGGTTCAAAGGAGAAAGTGGGGGTAAAAGGCAGAGAAAAATAGTAAGAAGTGAATAAAAGCTCTGTCGTTTATTTCTGTAGGATTTACAAGACCAGCTAGAGGATATGATGGAAGATGCAAATGAAATTCAAGAAGCACTGAGTCGTAGTTATGGCACCCCAGAATTAGATGAAGATGACCTAGAAGCAGGTAAGTGTTGGGGAAAGCTCTCTGTGTGGCTTTAGTGTCTGAAAGATTTATTACCTTAGACCTTTCTCTCAATGCTTGAAAAATTCATGTATGGATTCCGTGGGCATTTGTTTAAGGTCCAGTCTCAGGGAAAGAGCTTGTGGTGGTGGAGACCTTTGGTAGCCACCATTAATTCTGGGGCCATCAGCTACTAACCTGATACTTAGTATCTCAACTTCTGCCTTTCCCAGCTATTTTGACTTTCTTCTCCTGTTGTTTTCTGCTTGCAATCCTCTGTGTACAGTAAAGCAGATTAAGAAGCAGTAGTTGGTACTAAGCTTCATTGTGCATCTACTATATACCAAGCACTGTATTAGGTATGGGAGTATCCATGATACCTGCATTCATGGAGCTTTGCTCACAGGGGTAGGATACTGCTTGTCATAAGTAATTAAATGGCCTCTGGAGGATGGCAGCCACAAGGCCGCCAGGGGGAACAGGCCCAGGCACAAAACCTATTCCACCTGGGGTGGCCCAGTGCCGGTAACCTACTGCAGGGTCCAGACGCGTTTCTCCCAAAAGACTCTTAGTTTCGAGATTTGTTTCTGAGTCTCTGGGATCATGGCCATTAAGCAGCTTGATCAGGAGCCATAGAGGGCATTTGTGGGCAGCGACTCGGGGTCTCGTTGGGGTGGGGAGGAAAGGGCCGGCTCCACCCCCATCCCGTGAGGCCTTGCGTGTCTCATCACTGCGGGCCTAGACTGTCCAGTGGCCTCTGGAGGATGGCGGCCACCAGGCTTCCTGGGGGAACAGGCCAAGGCACAAAACCTATTTCCACCTGGGTTGGCCCAGCGCCGGTAACCTACTGCAGGGACCAGACGTGTTTCTGCCAAAAACCTTTGGGTTTTGAGATTTGTTTCTGAGTCTCTGGGATCAAGGCTGTTAAGCAGTTTGATCAGGAACCAGAGAGGCCGTGCCTCCAATTATATAGCAGAGCCCGAGGGGGTTTGTGGGTGTGTTTCCCACATACTTAACTTTTGGCTGTTTACTTTCTTGGTAAACTTTGCCCCAAGTTTTTGGGGTCTGGCCAAAGGCACAGCAGCAATTTTCAGGTATCTGGAAGTCTAAAGGTGCCATCAGGCTGCTGATGCACTCGCCTCGCAGGTAAAGATTGACCTGCTGGCAGCACCATACCCCCTCTTCTATCATTTTGAAATGTTGCTATTTCCCTCACAGAGTTGGATGCCCTGGGTGATGAGCTTTTGGCTGATGAAGACAGTTCTTACCTAGATGAAGCAGCATCTGCTCCCGCGATTCCAGAAGGTGTTCCCACGGACACAAAGAATAAGGTGAACACTTTGTACATTTTACTTACAAAATGGCAAAAGTCTTATGCTTGACCACCAATCTGGACTTGCAATTCAATTAGAACAAGGAGAGAGCATATTCATTTGTAGTTTGTGATCCCTTGAAAGCCTACTTTTTCTGCACTCCACTGTGGGCAGACTGTAGAAAGGGGTTTCTGCAACTAGGAATGTTATTACAGAGTTGCACTGGGTGCCAATTACAGGTTTGAGATACTTCCTGGAAAAGCAGCAGCATGGATCAAGCTAGTCAGCAGTGAAAAAGAAAGTACAACTTTTGACACCCTGGCTGATTATTAAGTGCTTTTTTTTTTAACTTAAAGTAGAAAGTTAAAAGTACAAAAAATAAAGTCCCCACCCCCCCAAAAAAAAACCCTAAAATAACCCTACATGTGTGCAGAGGTGATCCTGACCACCCCAAGGTCTGGGGTCCCCAATGTGGGAAAATTCTTTTTAAAAAATAAAATTGGAGGGGCTGGAGCAATAGCACAGTGGGGAGGACGTTTGCCTTGCACGCAGCCAGCATGGCCGACACAGGTTCGATTCCCAGCATCCCATATGGTTCCCCGAGCACCGCCAGGAGTGATTCCTGAGTGCATGAACAAGGAGTAACCTCTGTGCATTGCCAGGTGTGACCCAAAAAGCAAAAAAAAAAATGGAAGCGAAAGTTGGGATGTGGATAATTTCTTGGGTTCATCATAGCAAATTTCTGTGAAAGTGCATCTTCCTGCCTTTGCTCCCTGCTCTAGTCTGAGCTTTCCATACTGCCCACCTGTACCCACCGCACTGGCCACTCCAGTATTTAGGCACATATGTTGCTTTTCCTTATGGTACAATTGAAACAATAGTTATGTTGCTTAATTTTGGTTTTGGATTCACACCTGACATTGCTCAGGGCTTACTCCTGGCCCTGTGCTCAGGGATCACTTTGGGTGGTTCTCAGGGTACTAGGAATCAAACCCGGGTCAGCTGCAAAGCAAGCACCTTATGTGTGGTATTATCTTCTTGAGCCCTGAGATAATTAACTCACCTATAGCCCACTTTTTCAATTTTCTGAAGCATATGTGTTATTTCCTGTTTCAGAAAATTTCCCAGGGTTAGGAATGTGGCTTAGCAGTAGAGCAAGGAGTAACCCCTGTGCATTGCCAGGGGAGGCCTTGCTTATGTGAGGCCCTGGGTTCAATTTCTGGTACTGCCATGAAAAGAAAAATATAGAAAGGTTTACTGAGTTAAATGTGCTATTGAAATATGCTTCTTAATTGATGATAGTATTGCTGCTGGAAAGTTGTAGTAAAATATGGAGCTGACTGCCCTGAGGCCCTGCTCCTTCAGGGATTTGGGAGCTACAGAACGTATTGGCTCTTTTTAAGAATCACAGTAAAAATGGGAATCTGGTGACAGTGACTCACTCCTCAGCTTTTTGCCCTGGCTCCTGCCAGTCTTGTTTATCCTAAGTTTCCTCTGAAACTCTTCTGTCTCTCATTCTTCTCATATTCTGCAAAGAATCTCCCCTTTTGATCTTTTCAGTTATTTTCCTTTCATCACTCCCCTGACTTGACCTTTCACTCAAAAAGCTTATTTCTCACTGAGTAGGATTTTGGCTTTTATTGATTACAGACTTGAAAATGAGTTTTGGATACTGAATAGTCAAAATCACTTTTTTTTCCCAGTTGTAAAATAGTGGCACTGAACATTGGTTACTTTTCACAGGATGGAGTCCTGGTGGATGAATTTGGATTGCCGCAGATTCCTGCTTCATAGACTTGGATCTTTCAAGTACATCATGTAAAATAAACACTTACCTGGGACTAGGAAATATTTATCTTTCCAAATTTATAAATAGATTTCAGTTTTTTCCTTCCTTTGAAGGAGAGGTTAATTGCATTTATCATTCTTTTTTCTTTTCTTTTTTTCCCATTAAGAGACTTAATACTTGGGAGATGTTTTCTTCATACTAAAATTTTAACACTTGTTCTTATGAAAGCCTAATTTACTTAAAAAGTTTCATTGGCTATGTATGACTTTTCATTCATCAATAATTTGAAATAAAAAAAATAATTTGAAATAAAACCAAGGAAATGGGAATCTTGAAATTCTGTTACAGTAATCTCATCGATCTGATTATTGATGACAAAAGTGAGATTATTGGGACTCATATTGTGATCCAAAACCATTTTCTATTATGGTATTATAGGGTGGTGAAAGTGATGGCCTTTTTTTGATGGATTTTATTGTGTCTTGTGATTAAATCATTACTGTGCCCTGTATTGGAATGGAATTATCACTACTGTATCATGAGTGGTTATTTTTATTCTACAGTTCTCTCAGTATTACCATCTAAGTTGTAATCACTAATGCATATTTCTTGATATTTAATGTATAGGACATTTATTTATACTCAATAAATATTTTTCAAAAGGATATAATTTTAGTATCATTTCACCCTACAGCCTCCACTGCAGAAACCAAATTTAATAAAATAAGTGTCAAGTCAGCCTTAGAATTTCAGTTTTAGCTGGTAGCGTTGTAATTTAAAGGAAAGAACCAGCCGAGGGCCCTGGTCTATTAGCTAATGATGTTGAAGTACCCTACATTCCTCTAAGTTTGTGTTTTCTTATTAGTAAAATCATACTTATCTCAGAGGCTTCTGTGTGGAATAATCGCAGTAATGCTAGTTACAACCAGGGAGATACCACAAAGATTGGAGAGCACAAGTTCAGTCCTGTTTTTTATTGTGATGAGAAGCTTAAGATACTAAGGCCAGAGAAAACCCAAGATGCAAGGCAGGAGGCTGGAGAAGATTGTCAGGGGTTAAGGCATGTGCCTTGCATATAGCAGACCCCTGATTCAGTTCTCAGCGCCATATATGGTCTACTGATCAGTGCAGGGGTCATTTCTGAGCACAGAACCAGGAATAGCCCCTGAGCATTACTGTGGCCTTACCTTTGTAGCCTGACCAAAGTCCATCCCCCAAAAAATGTAAAAAAAAATAAAAAGCTGTGAGGCAGCATGATTGTGTCCCCAGGTCACTCATCACTAACTTCAAAACTTGGAGAGCCTCCTCCTTTTTTAAATGTCCACATTTCTTCCTCTCATTTCTGTGAACAGTCAATTCTGCTGATAAATCCCACTTCTGCTCATTAGTTGAAATTGGGTTCTTGTCATTTGCCATCAAGAGACCAAAATAATTCCCGGCAGCCTCTTTAGACCCTATTCCACTTTTCAATCTTATACTCCAATAAATGCCCTTTGTTCCCTGTATCCCTTATATAGTCCTGACTCCTCATGATTTCAACGTTTCCACTTTATAAAGCTTCCTAAAGAACTAAATACTCTTATCTGCAAATTCTTGCTGTTCTGAGGAAAGAAAAGACCAATGGTCAGGCCCTGATGGGTCCATTCCAGTGGAGCAAGGGAACCAAAATAGACACTATGTGTCCCAGGCACCATCCAGCCTGATCATCACCATTACAGATGACTTCACACATGGTCTCTGGTCAATATTTTATTTAGGAACAAAATAGCAAAATCAAATGCAAATGGTCATCTCCTTAGATTATAATCTATCAGCCCTGGGATTTTAGAGAGGGAAGAGGAGCTGGAATGATCCAACTAGAAAATAAAAATTCAGCTTTTACCTCCTTATCCATATCCAATCCATATCCAATCACTTCCGCTGGTGTTGAGGAAACCCTGGGCCCCAGTGGCAATTCTTGGCCAATCAGTATGGCAATTCAGTGCCTGGACCTGAGGATGGATATGATGCTGCTTGGACTGTGCAGTGCTATGGATACCCTTGTCACCCCAGAAGTGTTGCATCACACTTGGCAGTGCTTGGGGGCCTCCAGGGCTGCATTCAGTGATGTTCGGGGACCATGTGATTCCAGGAATCAAATCAACTACTAGACTTATCTCCTCGCTTCTTATATTTTCTTGTATCAATTGAATTTTTTTTAAATATGACTTTCTGAAGTTGATGTTTTATTTGTAATGTTAACATCTTCAAAAGCCATTGAACTAGGGGTATTCTGATTTTTTTTTCTTTTTTCAGAAGAAAATGTATTTCCATTGAACTAGAGGTGTTCTGATTTTTCATAAAGAAGAAAAAATATTTAAAATTTGTTGATTTCTCTCTGGCACAGCCATGGCCCCAGAGGCACACAGACCTAATTTGGAGCCCAGCAGCTTTCGGCAGAAACGTGAATGGACTATGCATTGAACTATGGCGCTGTGCTCCCCTGGGAGGGAAAGAGTGTCTGTCTCTTCTGCTTCCCCCCCTCCCCCCCCCGCAGCACGGTGGCCACTGTCTCAGAGTTTATTGGACAGCCAGGTATGAGCTGGCAGTGACGGGGCAACTGCGGCCTCATGGGATGGGGAGGGGGGCGAAACGAGCACATCCTTCCCGCCCCACTGAGGCTGAGAGTTGCCCCCCCGCGAGCGGCTCTCCGGCACGGCTATGGCCCCACAGGCACACAAACCAATCTCGGAACTATACGGCTTTTGGCAGAAATCTCTCCAGACTTAATTAGTAAAATATCAGAAATCCAAAATCGTGCGGCCGCTATTACAGCCGTGCTACATCATAGAGTCTTCATAACCAGCATTAGAAAACAAATTATTTCACAATGCCTTTTCAGCAGATCTGATTGTTGGGGGAAATTCCAAATAATAGTGGTGCATCTTTTGTCGAAATAATGAATGTAATCAAAGTAGAGAGAAAGTTAAATGGAAATCATCTGCCTCACAGGCATCAGGAGAAGTGGGATCGGGGGTTTATTGGGGTTCTTGGTGGTGGAAAATACGCACTGGTGAAGAGATGGGTGTTTGATCATTGTATGACCAAGACTTAAACCTGAAAGCTTTGTAACTTTTCTCACGGTGATTCAACAAATAAATTAATTTAAATAAATAAAAATATATTTGTTGACTTCTTGAAAACCTAAAATAATTACTAAAAGATTAAACAGCTTGTATTTTAGTTTTGCCTGCCCAGCAGATTAGGGTGATAGTTGCTTTTGTCATAAAATTGTCTTGAAAACTTTTGAGAATAACTTGAACAAGTTTTCATTACTTCGAACATATCACAAAAAGCTTATTAGAATCTAATTTATAGGTGGCTAAGGAGTAAAAATTATCTTTGCTTTATTAGACAATTCGATTTGAATAAGAAATGCTTTCCGGGGCTGGAGCAATAGAATAGTAGGTAGGGTGTTTGCCTTGCACGCGGCCCACCTGGGTTCGAGTCCCAGCATCCCATATGGTCCCCTGAGCACCGCCAGGAGTAATTCCTGAGTGCAGAGCCAGGAGTAACCCCTATGCATCACTGGGTGTACCCAAATTGCAAAAAAAAAAAAAATCTTTTCATCTTTGAAAAGGTGCTGGATTTTTTCGTGTCCTAAGAATGGAAGATTAAGGTAATATTTCTGTAAGCAAGATCTTAGTTCCTGGGGCCGGAGCGATAGCACAGCGGGTAGGGCGTTTGCCTTGCATGTGGCCGACCTGGGTTCGATCCCCAGCATCCCATATGGTCCCCCAAGCACCGCCAGGAGTAATTCCTGAGTGCAAAGCCAGGAGTGACCCCTGAGCATTGCTGGGTGTGACCCAAAAAGCAAAAAAAAAAAACTTAGTTCCTAAGTATGTCAGAATGAAGAACTATTTGATAAATTCTATGTCTACCACTAAATAAATTGAGCAAGTGCTGAATATAACATTTTCCTTTTTTAAGAAGATTGCACTCCCCAAGTCTGAAGTTATAAAGGCCTGAACTTTCTCTGGTTAAAAAAAATAAAACATGACTTTCAGGGTCCTGCCCTCATAGATCTGGACAAAGTGTGCTCAGTTTTTGTTTGTTTGTTTGTTTCTAAGCTCCATAGGTAGTCCAGATGTGTAGCCAAAGTTGGCTGAGTACTGCTGCCCTAGGGTGCCAAATCAGTATGAACTCCTTTTCATGGACCAGCAGTCTGGGCTGTTGCCATCAGTTTCTGAAATGAAGAGAACGGACTGTGACTGCTGTGAGACAGAGTCCTCCTGCATCCGTTTTGGGGAAGAGTTTATGGAGTACTGGTGTCCTGGTGTCAATCAGCATTTGGAGGAGGGTTCTATTTAGTTGTTTTGTTTGGCCATACCCAGTGATGCTGACAGGCCACTGCTGCCTAGCTCAGTGTTTAGGAGTCACTCTAGGTCCAGGTGTGGCTCACAGGACCATGTGGCACTGGGGAATCAAATCTGGAGCTTCCGTGGGTAAAATATTTTTGCCCTCCAGTTAATGGAGCCCGCTCTCTGACCCCAGTGTCAATATTCTTTTTTTGAATATTTGGTTTGGTTGGGTGATTAGTTCGGGGGCTACACCTGACAGTACTTGTGAGATACTCCCCCCTCATTCTTTGCTCAAAGGTCACTCTGTGTTTGGGGTACCATCTCATGCTGGGGATCGAACCTGGAATCTTACATATAAAGTATCAGCTCCGCATCAAGCTGTTTCTCCAGCCTCAGTGTCGGTTTTTTTGTGAACACTTGGTAGAATTCACCTGTAAAGTCATCTGAGCCTGGACTGGGTGCATTTTCAGTTTTTGATTACTAATTCCATCTGTTATTACAGTTCTGGTTTTGGTTTGGGGAATCATACCCGGCTATGTTCAGACCTTACTCCTGACTCTGTGCTTAGGGATCACTCCTGGTGGGGCTGGAGGAACCGTATATGGTTACTGGAGATTGGATATCAGGTCAGCTTTATGCAAGGCAAGCACCAAACCTCTACTATCTTCTCTCCACTCTTTTCCCTTTCCCCAATCATCTTTTTATATAGTTTCTTAATATGAAAAGTTAATAAGAAAAGCTAAGATATATAAGTTCTCAGGGGTTACTCCTGGCTCTGCACTCAGGAAACACTTCTGGAAGACTTAGAGGACCATATGAAATGCTGGAGATCGAATCCTGGTTGGCCATGTGCAAGGCATAGAGAGAGGGGGGGGAGAGAGAGAGGAGAGAGAGAGAGCACATAGCAGTGCCAAGGGTTGGGGCTCGAACCCTGGTTGGCCATGTGCAAGGCAAAATGAGAGAGAGAGAGAGAGAGAGAGAGAAGAGAGGTATCACACCTAGCAGTGCTGAAGGCTCAGAGCATCATATATGGTCAGGAATCAAATCTGGGTTGGTCACATCAGGGAAAGTACCTTCACTGCTGTCCTATCTTTCCAACCCTTTCTTTGTAAAAATCAATGTACTAATTTTTAGAGCAGTTTTCAGTCACAACAGAATTGAACCTGAAGTACAGAGTCTCACCATATATGCCCAGGCATGACTTTTCCCACTATAGATAAAAATTCACCAACCAACCACATGATTATCACCCAGAGTCCTTTTTTTTTTTTTTTGGAGGGGAAAAACACCAAAGGATTGAGAGGGTCTGCTTTCATCTCAGGAGGCTCAGTATTTGGGGGTCACCCGAAAGTCTGTATTTTATGCTAGAGTTTATTTGTGGTGCTGCACAGTTTTTGGGTTTTGACTATCTAGCATCATACAGAACAGAATAGTTTGATGGTCCTCAAAATACTCTTCTCTGCCTATTGATCTTTCCCATCTCCTCAAGACTGAGAAACCACTGGTCCTCTGTCTCGCCTTTTCTAGACAGTTGAAATCATACATAACTAGCCTTTTCCAATTGGCTTTTCATTTGGTGATATGCCTTTTTACGGTAAGTTTTCATGTCTGAAGTATACTCTGATCACTGCTTTTGTTTCCATAATTTTAGTGTATTTTCTGAAGTACTGTTTGTATAGGAAAGGCAGACTTGTGAACTAGCATTTGTCTCTTGAGTTTTTTAAATAATGAGAGGGTTCCTTCATGTGCCAGTTAAGAATTGATTGTGTTGGAGCTGGAACAATAGAACAGCGGATAGGTCATTTGCCTTGCATGCAGCTGACCTGGGTTCGATTCCCAGCATCCCGTATGGTCCCCCGAGCACCGCCAGGAGTGATTCCTGAGTGCAGAGCCAGGAGTAACCCCTGTGCGTTTCCGGGTGTAACCCAAAAAGCAGCAAAAAAAAAATCGATTGCCTTTTATTTCCAAAGTTGCCTTTTGCCTGACGTGTGGAATGGTTTGGGTCCTTTAGCTGTCCTTTGCTAGCTGGCGGGCTCTCTCCATAGCGGAAGCTGGCTACTTCAGGAAGAAAGCGTTTGGTTTCCGCTTGTCAGTGTTTCCGTGAGGATTTTCTGTGGTGTAGGCAACTTCTTTGACTCCTGTAACATAGGTGATTTCTTTGGCGCCTGACTTTTTCAGAATAGGGCGGCCATTACCCAAAAAATTCTCTCGGTGCCTGTTCAGGGGGACTTGTCATAGAGGGTCTTGTTAAGAATTCTCTGATTAGTTTTCCCTGACCCCAACCCCTTCTCCAACCGGGATTTCTCACAGCTTCTACCAGTACACCAGCACACTGGCTTCCTTGCCACTCAGTAAGTCACATCTCAACCGCTGAAACAAGGTCTGTACCTCAGCTGTCTTCCTGCTTTGCACACTTCATATCAAAGTGACGGGTTGTGGCTCTTATATTGTTTTTTTTTTTTTGTAGGAGTACTGCTATTTATTCAGCCACTGATTAGCTGATTGAATTGTGCATGAACTCCACCTTACTTTTTTTTCCATTTTTTATAATTTTATTTATTGAATCACCGTGAGAGCAGTTACAAAGCTTTTGGGTCTAAGTCTCAGTCACACAATGAAACACCCGTACCTTCACCAGTGCCCATTCTCCACCCCCAACAACCCCAGTATGCCCCCATCCCACACCCTCCCCCTGCCTGTGGGGCAGATGATTTCCACATTACTCTCTCTCTACTTTGATCACATTCACTATTTCGACACCAGACCCACCATTATTTGAGATTTTACCCCAACACTCAGATCTGCTGAAAAGGCAACAATAGACAATTTGTGTTCTATTACTGGTTATGAATAACATATGATGTCGTGTGGCTGCAGTAGGGCCATGTGGCTTTGAAATTCCGAAATTTTAACACTTAAATCTGGAGGGATTTCTGCCAAAAGCCATTGGGTTTCAAGATCTGCTCCTGAGTCTCTGGGATCATGGCCGTTCAGCAGCTTGATGAGGAGCCAGAGAGGCCGTTCGTGGGCGATGACTTGGGGTCTTGTTGGGGTGGGGAGGACAGGCCCGGTTCCCCCCCCCACCCCATCCCGTGAGGCCCAACAAGTTTCGTCATTGTGGGCCCAAGCCTGACTGCCCAATGGCCTCTGGAGGATGAGAGCCACCAAGTCGCCAAGAGGGAGCAGGCGGAGGGACAACACCCTTTCCTCCCTGGGGTGGCCTGGCGACAGTAACGCACTGTGGAGTCCAGATGCATTTCTGCCAAAAGCTACTGGGTTTTGAGATTTGTTTTTGAGTCTCTGGGATCATGGACGTTAAGCAGCTTGATTAGGAGCCAGAGAGGCTATTCGTGGGCGATGACTTGGGGTCTCGTTGGGGTGGGGAGGACAAGCCCGGCTCCACCCCCATCCCGTGAGGCCCTGTGTGTCTAGTCACTGGGGGCCCAAATGTGACTATTCAGTGGCCTCAGACGGATGGCAGCCACTGGGCCGCCAGGGGGAGTAGGCCAAGGCACGAAACCTATTCCCATCTGGGTTGGCCCAGCACTGGTAGCCTACTGCAGAGACCAGACGCATTTCTACCTAAAGCCACTGGGTTCTGAGATTCGTTTCTGAGTCTCTGGGATCATGTCCATTAAAGCAGTTCAATCAGAAACCAAAGAGGCCTTGCCTCCAATTATATAGCTGAGCTGGAGGTGGTTTGTGGGTGTGTTTCCCACATACCTAACTTTTGGCCGTTTACTTTCTTGGTAAACTTTACCCCAAGTTTTTGGGGTCTGGTCAAAGGCACAGCAGCAATTTTGGGGTATCTGGAAGTCTGAAGGTGCTATGAGGCTGCTGATGCACTCGCCTCACAGGTACAGATTGACCTGCTGGGGGAACCATACCCCCAGGCTCTTATATTGTTAATTAATCCTGTTTTTTTTTGTTTTTTCCCCAATTAGGGCTGGTTGCCATTGATTTCATTAGTAGTCTTTTTTTTTTTTTTTTGGCTTTTTAGGGTCACACCCAGCGATGCTCGGGGGTTACTCCTGGCTCTGAATTCAGGAATTATTCCTGTCACAGCTTGGGGGACCACATGGGATGCCCAGGGATCAAACACAGGTCGGATGCATGAAAGGCAAATGCCCTACCCACTGTACTATCACTCCAAACCCCCAAAGCAATCTTTAAGTGTAAGCCAGAAAAAAATTTCTTTGTTCAGAACTTTTCATGGCTTCCCATTGCTTAGGGCCTTATCTGACATTTACTTCTGAATGGAAAGATTGTATCACTGAGTTGGATAGAGCTAGGCACAACCTTTTCTAAACAGATTTAATTTCCCACTCTTGGTAATAATGAATAAGCCAGACTTCTGAAATTCTGTCAATTATTATCTTATTTAGCCTGTGGAGGTAACAAATTGGGTGAAGGTATGAATTCTTGCAGGCTATAGATGTACCCACTGTTAGTCACCTCAGGAAAACATTATTAGACAGAAAAGAAGATATAGAAGGATTTCTTCTAGTCTTTGGGTTGATAAAGTTGGAGAGATTCTGAAATTTTCCATTGGTAAGGAGTGCACCAACATCCTGCCACATGTAGGATTTCTGGGCTGTGTACAGACTTAAGGTCAATTTTAGGTTCTTTGTGTTTGATTTTAATGTCCATTATAAGAAATTGTCTACATTGACCTTTTAAAAGTTTGCATTAAAATTTTGTTGACTGGTCTTTGCCTTAGGGAATGGAGGGAGGTTCCTGTATCTGTTTGTGAGTGGTCAAGAGGTATTATGCAACCCAGAGGAACCAGTTTGCGTTGCAAGAGTTGTTCTACAAAATTCCAGAAGAGCAATGGTCTTGAGAAAGAGGACTGGCTTTTCAGCCAAGCAAGCTCTGGGTTAATTTTCAAACATAGCAAGGTTTCCAAGAAATGATGAGTTGCTATTGGGAGAGGTGGGAAAGATGCTGTTTGAAAGGATTTCTTGGACCTGGAGAGAAACCTCAATGGGCTGTGGATGTGCTCTGCAGAGAGATCTGGTTTGATCCCTGGCACTGCACGGTTCCCCAGGAGCCCAAGAATGGGTCCCCAGCACAGATCATGGAGCAGCGGCTCTTTCTCAAACCTCCCACTCCCCACCAGCTAAAACACAAAACACAAATAACAGGTTTCCTATCAACTCCAGAACTAGGCATTAAAGGAATTGCCCCATAATAAAGGGGCCAGAGACAAGCATATTTTTAAGCCTTATTTAAGTGGGGGTTGAGCCACATCTAGCTGGGTTCGTATCCACTCAAGCACCTCAACCCTTTGATACCATTTCTCTGGCATTGGTTACATTTTTAATTTCTGGAAATGACAAGGAAACAACTTTAAAAATAAGCTAAAACCTTGTTTTTTGTTTTCCTTTTTTTTGTAAATACGATTAGTGAGTCCTAATAGTGAACGCAGAGCCAGCAGTAACCTTGACCACCGCCCTGTATGGCGGATGGCCCAAATCCCCCTCCCAAAATTGGTCAGTTCTAGAAACAAAATGTCGTGCCGGGCCGGGCAGTACAACGAGCTGGATGGAGCAGAGAAGCAGGTTCCATCCCGCGTGGCTCACTCCCCACCCCACCGGCTCGGTCTCCCAGCACCTCTCCTAACTGGGAGCAGCCTCTGCGCACCGCGGGGTGTGGCCCCAACATCCAAAAAACTCCGCACTTTCCTCTAGCTCAGCGTCCATCTTTTATTGCACTGTCATCGTACCCCTTCCCGCTGTTTATGTTTCCAATACATGGTTTATTTTCTGATTTATCAGAGCTTTATGTACGTTTCGCTCCCCCCCCCCCCACGCCCCGTCTGCTTTGCAGATTCCTCTACCCCGCACCTCCCGCCGCCCCCAAGATTTGCTTTTAGTCCATGCTCAGTTTTATGCGGTCAACTCGGGAGCCTGAATTACTTGTAACAAGAGCGTGGTGTCTGACCAGGAAGAAGCCCATCGGGCGGCAGTCCTTTTGGACTCGCGGGGTTAAAGGGCGCAGTGAATCGTGAAAAGGAAAAACGGGCTGAAGCGATAGCACAGAGGGCAGGGTTGTTTGCCTTGTACGGGCCGACCCGGGTTCGATTCCCAGCATCCCATACGGTCCCCGGAGCACCGCCAGGAGTAACTCCTGAGTGCAGAGCCAAGAGTAACCCCTGTGCATCGCCGGGTGTGAAGCAAAAAAGAAAAAAAAAAAGAAAAGGAAAAACAGTAATGGCGCAATTCCCGGCCACCCACCCCCACCTGCTCTCCCAGCCGCCGCCGCCGCCGTCGCGCGTCTGACGTCACGGACGCGCCGCACGCTGGGCTCGGGGCGCGCCCGCAGCACCGTAGCCCTCTCCGGAGCGCGCCGATGAGAATTTTCTGGCGGCGCCGGAAGTCCGGGGCACGTGACCGGGTGACAGCGCCTGGCGGAGCAGCTTGGCTCGCTGGCTGGCGGCGCCGCGGCCCGGGATGGCGGAGGCTCCTCCAGTATCAGGTTAGGGCTGGCGCCGCGCGGCCGTGGGGCCCCTGTGGGAGCAGGATCGGGGATCGGGGGTGGTTGGTCAGGGTCAGGATCGGGGATCGGGGGTGGTTGGTCAGGGTCAGGATCGGGGATCGGGGGTGGTTGGTCAGGGCGCCGAGGCCTCGGGCTGGGGGGCGGGGGGGGCGCGCGCGGAGGAGGAGGTGGAGGAGGAGGGTAGTGGAGGAGGAGGGTAGCTGCGGAGGAGGGTGGGGGGGGGCTCGCCCGGGCCCCGCCGTGCACACTGAGATCTGCGCCCGTCTGGGCCCGCGTCGGGCCCCGGCGGGTTCGTGTGGCTTGTCCACCCCCGCCCCGTCCCCCTTTCCAACCCGGGATTCCTGGGGGAGGCGGGGTTGGAGCGCTGCTGCTTGAGGGGGGTGACGCCCGTGGGTGCTGGGGAGGGGGTGCTGTCTGGGATGGGGGGGCGGCGCGGACCCAGCGCGGGCGGGCTCCGAGCCGCGCAGGCCTCGTGAGGCCCACCGGGAGTCGCGAAGGGAACCCCAGGGTGGGGGGCGGACTTCCGCCCCCCTCCTGTCACCTGCCCGGCCATTGGCCGGCGCCCGCGGCCCGCTGGCCTCCCCACCCCACCCCCCGCCGTCCCCATCCCCATTTCCGGCGGGGCGTGCCCGAGAGCTGCGTGTTCCCAACTGTCCGCACGGCCCACCCGAAAGGAACGTCCGTGGCCTCGCGGCCTTGGTGCGCGCCCGCCGCGCAGGCGCCGCCCCCCGCCCCCGAGGCCGCCGCCGCCGCGCGCGGCCCCCGGCCCTCGGCCTTTGCGGTTCTCGCCTCCGAAAAGGAGGGCTCGTCGGGAAGGGAATGATCCCGAGAAAACCAGCGTTGAAGTGTCTGGGCAGTCTAGACCCTCGCGATTCTAATCGGTCGATACGCTTCGGCCCTCTGGAGCGAAGCTTTGTTGGAAGTTTTGGAAATTTTTTTTTGGGGGGGGAGAGGGAGAACTGATTCCTTTGTTCTTAAAAAAAAAAGGAAAAAGTATCGCAGCCCACTCGCGTGATTTTTGTTGTTGTTCCGCCATCAACTCAAAAAAAGCCGAGCAGGGATTTGCTTTCTTTTTTGAGGTCTGGAAACATTGGGGATTTTTTTTTCTTTTTTGAGTTACTGTAACCAGCTGTTAGGGCATCCGAATGAGTAGCTGAGTGTGTTAGGGGCTGGATGTCGGGTAAAATGTCTTCGTGATTGTGAGTCTGGGTCAGAGTTGGAAAAACATGGTACACCCATTGGTCGACCCTAGATCTGATGAGATACTGCGTTAAGGGGGTCGGTCGTAGCAGGCGGGAACGTTTGCAGCTGCCATTCGACGTTCCCCCATTCCCTTTTTCCCTTGCTTTTCCTTCGGATCCCTTGTTCCGTTTTCAGGCCCAGGTCTCCTACCTATCCATCCATCCATCCATCAGCGTTTCTAGCAGTGCTGGGTGAGGCTAGTCATGGTTTTGGCTCCTGATACCCGTCACCCCATCTATTGAGGCAAAGTTCCCCAACCCCTTATACGGAGACCTTCCATCCCCCTTTCCTATGCTTTGTTCTATTTTTGCCTTAGTTCCTATTATGTGTCTATATTTCATCATCTCTGGTCTACACCCCTAACCCCAACCCCCAGAGTTTAGTTCTCTTGTTTGCTCTTGTCCTTGAACAGCTGCCCAGTGCCGGGAACTTTCTGTCCATGGGAATAGGCTCCAATGCCAGCTTTGTCTGTGAACTTTGTAGTCGGCCATTGGACTTCCCCCTGCTCTGCTCCACCCATCTGCTGGACAGCGCTCACCGCCATCTAGCATGGCTTCTGGGTACCACTTGTTCGACAGTCTTGCTTTGCTGTTGAGAGATTGTTTGGATGGCATGACTTCCAGCTAAGCTACTTAAAATAGTGCAGAGAATCAGTGTTTTGGCTGTAGTTTTCTAATATGTGTGCCCTTGTTTCTTCATGGTTTTTTGTTGGGGGGGGGCAGGTGAAGGGGTCATCAGGTGGTGCTCAGGGGCCATTTCTGCCAAGGCACTTGGGGGTTGCTGCTGTTGATGCTGGAGGTTGAACTTCCTGCTGGTGAAGCTCACACACCTCTGGCCCTTTCTTCTTTCTTTCTTGTTTTTGTGTTGTGGGCCTCACGCAGAGTGCTGCAAGAGGCTACTCCTGACTGCTTAAGAGTGTCAGGGATGTGAAAGGTGCTGGACCATCTCTCTCTCTGTTGAATCATCTCTCTAGTCACAATTGATGGTGTTCAGGCTTAATTCTGACTCTGTGCTCAGGGATCACTGTTGGTGAGGTTCAGGGGACTATATGAGGTGCTGGGGAGTGAACCCTGATTGGCCCCATGCCAGGAAAGCACCTCACCCACTATGCTCTCTCTCTGGTCCCTTCTTTTTATTCCTTAAGGGTCAGTCCAAGGGCATTGCCTACTACCTCATGTGTAGTGGAACATTTACTGTAGATGAGGAAATGGTGCTGCCATGCTAGATTCAAATTGTATCAACTCCTTACTGCTCAACACAAAACACCCTCTTTGAGTCCTTTAATGGGAGATACATAGATATGCGTCCTCTGGGTGGGGGCAAACCCAGCAGTGCTCAGGACTTACTCCTGACTTTCTGCCCACTTCTTGTGGGCTCAGGGGACCATATGAGATGTCTGGAATCTAACCCGGGTCAGCCCCATGGAAGGCAAACGCCCTAACAGTTGTACTCTCTCTCCAGCCCTACCAGGGTATTCTTGGCAACTTTTACTGACCTTTTTTTCTGTCCCAGTCTCCCTGCCCTCCTCCCCCCCCCTTACTTTTTCAGGCTATCTTGTAGAGGATTAACTTCATGATACCCACTTGGTTCAGTCTTCCCAGTCGACATTTAAGTTAATGTTTCTGGAGTACTTTCTAGACAGTTTCTGAGCTACTCTTACATTCTTATAATTTTTCTACCTCTATCCCAGGCTTTTGCTTGGGTGAAAGCTTTTAGGACTAATCCTAGATTGACTACGATTTTACCCTGTGACTTTTATGGTCTTGTTCATTTTTTTTTCTTTGTTTTTTTGGGTCATACCCGGCAATGCACAGGGGTTACTCCTGGCTCTGCACTCAGGAATTACTCCTGACGGTGCTCAGGGGACCATATGGGATGCTGGGAATTGAACCCAGGTTGGCCGTGTGCAAGGCAAACACCCTATCGTCTGTGCTATCGCTCCAGCCCCTATTTTTTAAATTAAATCACTGTGAGTGCTGGGTAGAGGACATCTAGGATAGAGAATGGACTACTATGACAATCATAGCTGGAAATGATCGCTCTGAACAAAAACTGAGTGCTGAAGTAGATAAAGGGATATATATGATAACCTTTCACCACCTGTATTGCAAACCATACCCCCAAAAGTGGGGAGGGGTGGGGAGGGAGAAGAAAAGTGCCATAAAGATGGGGAGGGGTGGGGGGAAGGGGGAGACACACATTGGTGATGGTAAGTGATCATGAACAACTTTGTAACTATCTCTGGTGATTCAATTTTGAAAAATCGCCATAAGATAGTTACAAAGTTGTCTCTGTCTGAGTTTCAGTCATAGTGCTGCAATACCCCCCTTCACCAGTGTACATTTCCCACCACCAATGTCAGCAGTGTCCCTTCTTCTAAACACCCCTCCTGCCCCCCACCCCCGCCTCCATCTTGTTCAATTTTTTTTTCTTTTTGGGTTACCCCTGGAGATGCTCAGGGGTTAGTCCTGGCTCCGCATTCAGGAATTAATTCTCATGGCGGTGCTTGGGGGACCATATGGGTTGCTGGGGATCGAACCTGGATTGGCCTCATGCAAGGCAAATGCCCTACCCGCTGTACTATCACTTCGGCCCCTCTTGTTCAGTTCTTAAGTATATGTTTCTATGTACCCAGTGCCCAACCATGACCAGTGTAAGAGCATGGTCTCCAGGCCTCTGGGGTGGAATTGTGCGTCTGTTTCCCAAGAACCCTGCTGTAGCCTGGGCAGGTGACTCACTCTGATTTCTCATTAGGAATGGGAAAGTAAGAGCTAATGCATGTAAAGTGCCTGCATGAATGCTTGGCACATGTTAAATACCTAATAAATGTTCGGGCTTAATCTTAAACGTGAACCCACAAACTGTGTGCTGTACCCGCTGTGCCTGGGTCTGTGTGTTTCAGAAGCTCTCTAGTCCGAACTATTTATGAAACCCGTTTTCCCTCTGCTACTGAAAAGGAAATATTGTGACATGGTTTATTCTGAAGAATCCTTTTACATTTTTTAAAATTTATTTTAAATGTTATTTTAATAAAACTGTTCACAGTAATTTGTTACATTCAATATTCCAACACCAATCCCACTACCTCCCACCACATTATTTCCATTTTCCCAATCACCACCCAATTGTGCCCCAATAGCTAATATATTTAGCTGCCCCTAATTTATTTTGTATTGCTTGTTACGAATAATTCGCTAAAAATGATCAAAAAAGGTTTTCTTTGAAGAAAATGTGTGAAGATGGTTGTATCTCACTCTGGAGCCATTAAGCATTTGTGTAAGAGATTACTAACATGTTGTTACAGGTTGAACCTTGTGTGCTAATTTTTTTTTAAATTTTATTTTCATAAAATTGTTCACAGTAATTGATTACATTCAATATTTCAACACCAGTCCCACTACCATTACACCTTCCCACTACCATTATTTTGAATTTTCTCACCAACACCCAAGCCTGCTCACAGACATGTTTATGTATATATCATATGTAATTTATATATTATATGTTAATTATGTAGAAATGTATGTATTATATTATTAATATATGTATTTTTTTTGTATTTTACTACCCTCTGTTACACAGAGTAAATGACATATTACTAAAGATAGAACACAAAAATAGCTCTTGTTTTTTAAGAAGTTATTAGAATGCCAGTGGCAATAACTGCGGACATGGGATAGTATCCTTTCTCTAGAAAAGAAAAACATTTTGTGAACTTAATTGCAAAGTAAATCTATTTTTGAAAATCAGTAAGGGAAAATAATGTAACCTGCCTCTTCATAAAAAAACTAGAAAATTTACTCAAGAGTATTAATGGTGAAAGAGAAAACTAGCCAAAAATATAGAAGAAAAAGACTTGCGTAAGAATGGAACCAATATTTAAGCTCCAATTGCTTTTTATACCATCATACTGGGCTGGAGGAATAGCACAGCGGGTAGTGTGTTTGCCTTGCAAGCAGCCAACATGGCCGACCCGCGTTCGATTCTTCCGCCCCTCTCGGAGAGCCCAGCAAGCTGCCGAGAGTATCTTGCCCGCACGTCAGAGCCTGGCAAGCTACCTGTGACGTATTCGATATGCCAAACACAGTTACAACAAAGTCTCAAGATGGAAACATTACTGGGCCTGCTCGAGCAAATTGATGAACAGCGGGAGGACAGTGACAGTAACCATCATACTAGAAGTTTATGATTTTATTATATTTTTTTCCTTTTTGAATAAATTTTAATAGGGGCTGGAGCAATAGTACATTTGGGGTAGAGCGTTTGCCCTGCACACAGCCAACCCAGGTTCAATTCTTCCGTCCCTCGCGGTGAGCCCAGCAAGCTACTAAGAATATCCCACCTGCATGGCAGAGCCTTGCCAAAAACAGTAACAAGTTTCACAGTGGTACATGCTTGAGCAAATTGATGAACATTGGGGGGGCAGTGCAGTCCTATGTTAACGATATATAAGTATGTTTTATGAGATCAGTTGACTTCTACCTTACACCCTATCAAATGTGGTGTGCTACTCTTGGTATATAAGTGACATAAATTATGAGATGTCGCACCATCATGATGCTTCTGGAATTCTAAAATTTTAAGTAGGATGCTTAAGTTGGAGTTAAATTTTTTTTTTTTTGGGAGTTAAATTTTTTAACTGGTGACTTTAGGGTCTGGAGACATCTCTATAGTGTCCAAGATTTATTTGTGAGTCTCTAGATCATGGCCATTAATGCGCTTAAATGGTGCTTAGAAGCAGTTCGTGGCCGTGACTGCCAGTAACCCGGAAACACTGGGAGATGGGAGAAGGAGCCCATTATCCCTCTGTCTTGTTGGTCCTAGGGATTCATAGTGTATTCTATATGCTACACACAGGTCTGTGTGCATAGGTAAATCATGTCCATTACTCTCTCTTTACTTTGATTACATTCAATATTTTGACACCAGACCTACCATCTATTATTTGGGATTTTGCCCCAACACTCAAATCTTCTGAAAAGGCAACATTAGACCATTTGTTTTCTATTGCTGATTATGAATTGCATATGATTTTGGAATTCTGAAGTTCTAATAATTAAATCTGGAGAGATTTCTGCCAAAAGCCGCCGAATTCCAAGATTTGTTTCTGAGTCTCTGAGATCATGGCTGTTAAGCAGCTTGATCAATAGCCAGAGGCCTTGTTCCAGTAAAAACTTGTTTGAAGGAGCGTGTGCTCACATCTCAGGACTCTGAGATGTTGGGACCATATTTTTAGAGATGTGTAGAAAATCCGAAATATGTTTTGGGAAGGCAGGGGTGGGGGCTAGTTTGCAGGGACTGGTGTACTTGCTGTGCTAAGTCCTCTCTTGATGACAGTTTAAGTATAAGAATGCATTGAAATAACATGGTCTTTGGTAATAGATGCGGGAACTTGGGTTAAAACATTAACAGGATGTCTCATAAATTGGAGGATCACACTTTAAACTGATTTTTGCTGATTCCCAAACTGTTGATGTTACACATTGTTACTGTGAAGTTTTAGAAGATCACATGGACCCTTCTAACATAACCCCATCCCCAGACTGCTGACCTTAAATTTTTAAATAAAATAAGTGCATGTATAGGTGATGCCTAATGACCCAGGTGAACATTTTTACTTAGCACTTAGTGGTGGCTTATTGTGTGGCTGCTTGGACATCGGATGATTAGTCTCCCACAAGACTCTCCAACCTCTCCCCTTCATAGGAAACAGGCCTCACTGAGACTTCTGGTTTCGTAGAGCTTATAAAACTGTGTAAACTCAAAAAGGGGGCAGCAGTTCTCTATCTTTCCTGCCGTCCTTGGTTGTCTTGGTTGTCTCGGCCGCTTCCCCCACCCTGAGGAGGTCAATGGCGATGGGCAGGCGAAGGAAGGAAAAGAAGGCCAGGCTAGTTGGTGTCAGTTGCAGTTTATATTCCAATTTCTTCTCCATTCTCCTCCTCCTTCTGGCTCTTGATTCCCTTCTCCTGCTGGCTCTGGAATCTGGATCCCTCAGCCCCCTCTTACTGCCTAGTTAAATCCCAAACCATGAGGGTTAGGGACTTACACATAGGTGTGGTCACTATCAATGGTGGTAAAGTTCTTTCCTTCAGGGAAAGCTGCTTCTAGGACATATCCTCTTTCAGCAGGATAACCCACCCAAGAACGAAATCCCATGGGTGTTTCTCCTCTCCTTGTCCAACAAACATATAAGCATTCATAATATTAATCATTTTGTATGGACACAGTAAGAGATACATTAAGCTTATAGAACTGCTCTCCTGGGTTCATCTCGATCTCAGACTACAGTGCTCAGGCCAGATTAGTCTTTCCTTTCCCTAGCAGGGTCCTTACTCTTGTCTTTACTTTTGGATCATGACAGCATTTGTCCATGATCAAGCTCTTAACTTAGAGTTTAGAATCGTGGTGCTTTGGCCTGGCCCATTTCAACGCCAGGGTAGCTCACAGCTTGCCCTGGGTCCATTCAGTCCCTCGTCAGGACCCTCCTTTTGGGGTGCTAGGAACTAAGGGCAACTGAGGCTTAAGTCGAGGAAGCATATGCCCTGGAGTGAATAATATTTGAAGCCAATTAAATCCTCAGTTACAAAGCATAATATTAACTGTCTTCTTGTGTTTATACAAAAAGGACATTGCTTTAAAGTGAACTACTCAAAAGACATTAGGAGAGGAGAAAGGCAATATTCATTTAAAATACAAGTTCAGTATCCTAGAAGGATCTGACCTTACAAATTAACAGAGTCTGATTGGGGGAAAAGCTGATTAACTGGTTTGGGAAGAGAGCATAGAGAAGTATCACCGTATCACTGTCATCCTGTTGTTCATCGATTTCCTTGAACAGGCACCAGTAGTATCTCCTTTCGTCCTAGCCTTGAGATTTTAGCAAGTGCCACATTCGAGGCTGTTTCAGGGTCAGGGGTATGAGACCCACTGGGTTTTGGCATATCAAATACGCCATGGGGTGCTTGCCAGACTCTGCCGTGCAGGCAGGATACTCTTGGTAGCCTGCCGGCTTCTCTGAGATCGAGAACTAGACAAAGAGGTCTCGCGGCTGCAAATGCAGCCATGCGCTTCTGGGAGCTTGGTTTTATAGTCTCTGGGTCTTGGCCGTTGATGGGATAACATGGCGCCAGGGGCAGTTGGTGGGTGTAACACCCAAGTACTGGAAAATGGAGGATCTGGGCGGAGGAGGCCCAGTCCCTATCCGAGCAGGCTTGGAGATCTCAGCCCCGGGTCTTGCACATCCGTAACCACTTCTTTATGGGTTCCTCTGCCGGTTCCTCACGCATGAAGGAACCGGCAGAGGAACCCATAGAGAAGTGGTTACAAATAAATAAAGAAATGGGAGTGTCTCTGGAGCAGTGTGATGGGTGTAACCTGATAAACCTAAGCTCCTTGTGGCAAGGGAGAAAGGACAATAACTTTTAGATGAGACTTTGTCTTTGGGCAGCATGGGTAAAGATTACATTTTTTTACCCCACTGGCAAGTCTGTTTCTTATGTTCTAGGTACGTTTAAATTCAATACGGATGCTGCTGAATTCATTCCCCAGGAGAGAAAAAATTCTGGCCTGCATCGTGGGACCCAGAGGCGGCTAGATTCTAATAAGATTGGGAGAAGAAATTACACCTCTCCACCGCCCTGCCACCTTTCCAGACAGGTTCCTTATGATGAGGTCAGCGCTGTTCATCAGCACACTTACCACCCTTCAGGCAGCAAACCCAAAAACCAACAGACTTCCTTCCATTCCGCTGCTTCTGGTAAATCACTCAAGAGCCAGGCCCTTCAGAATCAGCCTTGGCAGAAATTGAGGAGTGACAAGCAGCAGGTCAGAGTCAAGAGAACACAGAGTCTCACTGACCAGACCTCAGATGTAGCCAGTTTAGAAAGTGGGTCCAGGCCAGAGAGCGGGAACCCCAGAGAGCAGAGCCCTTCTGAGAGTGAGAAGGAAATTGTCAGCGCAGACCCTCGGGGAGCAAAGCCCAAAAAAGCCACTTCATTTGTATACAGCTATGGGAGAGGACCAAAAGTCAAGGGGAAAATCAAAGGTGAATGGGGTAACAGAGTGCCTCTAAAACCCGAGGATGTTGGACCGGAAAATAACAAACCAGTGGGGGTTATCCACCCCGATTCTTCAGATGCGCCCTTTAGAAAAGGGGTCCTAGATGGGTATGCAGTGAGGCGCAACGAGCAGAGAAGATACCCACAGAAAAGGCCTCCCTGGGAAGTGGAGGGGGCCAGGCCCCGGCCAGGCAGGAATCCTCCAAAACAGGACAACCAGCGGCATGCAAGTGCAGGCCCCCGGAACAACATGGCCCCCATTCCAAAGTATACTCTCAGCGACAGACCAGCAAAATCTGCCTGTGACAACGGGAACTTGGCCGTCATCAGCAAGCCTTCCAGAAGGGTTGACCCAGAAAAATGTGCTGGAAGGAGGCAGAATCCTTCAGCAGTATCTCCTTTCCTCCGAGGCAAGCAGAACCACGTGCTGAAGAACGTGGAGACACACACAGGTAAATCTATGCAGATGGGTGAAGGAGATCTTTTGTTTTGTTTTTTATTTTGCATTTTGAGTAAGTCAGATAGTGATATAATTTAGATACCAGAAAGTTTTAAAAGGAACAGAGTGATGAGCCGAAGAGGTAGTACAGTGGGTGAAGTACTTCCAGCCACCCCAGGTTCAGTCCCTGGCATCCCATCTGGTCCCCCACAACCAGCCAGGAGTAAGACCTGAGCGTTGCCAGGTATGGCTCAAAAAACAAACAGAAAAAGGTGCAGAGTCAAAGATCTGTCCTTGTGCAGTTATCTTCCTGGGCTCTGCTACCGTCCGCTTCCCTCCCTGTTGATTCTGTGCTTATGCATTGTAAGCAAGTGCAAATAAGAAATTTAGTGTGGGTTTCTTTTGGTTTTTTGTTGTGGTGATTTTTGTTTTTGGCAGTACCGAGAATCAAACTCTGGGCCTTACGCATGCAAGGACAAGTGCTCTGTCTACTTAGCTGCAGCTGTTCCTTAATTACTATTTCCAGCTTCTCTGCTCATTTTTTCCACCAGCATTTGTTTGCTTTGTTTTTTTTGGACCACACCCAGTGGTGCTAAGGGCTTATTCTTTGCTCTGTGCTCGGGGATTACTCTTGGTGATGCACGGGGGTGGGGGAATCATATGTGGTGCCAGGGCTGGAACCTAGGTCAGCCACTTGCAGGGCAAGCACCCTACTCATTGTACTATCTCTCCAGCCCCCTCTTCTGCTAGCGTTCAGATACACTGAACTGTGTCTCTCCCCCCCTTAATCCTATGTACTAGTTCTCTTCACCTACAAATTCATCTTTTACTTACATTGAAATTTTCTGAAAAATATGAGGTAAGCACTGTTCTGTGTGCTACAAATATATATTTGTGGGGACTGGCACATGGGGATTAGACCACACTCAGCAGTGCTCAAGGGACTTTTCCTGGCTCTGTGCTCAAGAGACACACCTTAGTGGTGCTCGGGGATTATATGTGGTACCTGGGATCAAACCAAGTTGGCTGCATGCAAGCCAAGCACCTGATTTCCTATACTCTTCTCTCCAGCCCTCCACTGGGAGTATAACACTGATGGGATTTATTTTCTGGTGGGAAAGATAACAGAAAACATTTAAATATGTAATACACCAGATAGTGATTTAGAGCTTAAAAAGAAATGCAGGTTAAAAAAACCCACTTGGCAGGGGCAGTCATTTAGATAGGTCTCTTTGAAGTGCAAAAATGTGGCACCCTGCTCTCCAGGGGGAGGACACGTTTAGATTGGAGTGGAAAGGGTCTTTGTCAGCAAGGTTGGTGGGCCAGGAAGATGCTCAGAGAAATTGAAGGGACTGGATTATGTGGGGGTGGATTTGGTTCTAAGAAGATAAGCTGCAGGGAAGTTTAGAGAAAAGAAATAATTGGGACAATTTTACTGATGTTTTAAAAATAATCACCAAGACTGTGTGGAGAACAGACTGTAAAGAGGCAAAGGACAAGTTAGCAGACTACTACCATGCTACCAGTCAAGAATGGAGACTTAGACTGAAGGAGGAGTAATCGAAGAGGTGTGGTTACATTAGATTTTGAACATAGTTGGAAAGTAAAACTGACAGGATTTGCAGACAGACTGCTTGTTGGATGCACGAGAATAAAACAAAGCCAAGGGTTTTGTGCCTGAGCAGTGCAGAGCAATTGAATTGAATATACTGACCTGGTGAATTCTGGGAGAGAGAGAAAAGGGTGTTTTAAAAACAGTGACCTCTTCCACCCCAGCTGACCTTCATTACCCCTTCAGGTGGCACTTCGCAAGTCCCTGAAGGATTATCCTTCTGATCGGCCATTTGGCAGAATCCCATCTCTGAGTCAGAGTTTCATTCTACCTTTCCAGTTCCATCTGGGTAGCAGAAGGCTATTGCAGTAAATCTTGTAATAGCCCGGATTTGGTGCTACTGTAATTACTGACCTTCTTGATTATCCTGTTTAAAACCATAGTGCTGTACCCAGAGAGAGCACACAGTGGTTAGGACACATCCTTTGTGTGCCCTGGTTCAATTCATGGCATCTCATGTCTCCCTCGAGCATCACCACCTGCAGCCCCGGCAGCCCCTCGCTCTTCCCTGCATGGCCCTGGAGGCCGCCACACAGTTCGGTGAGCCTGGCACTCTCCTGACAGGGCCCCGACAGCACTGCATTCTTAGGCCCCGGCAGTGAGTTGCAATCCAGTTGGCCAAGAATTGCCTTGGCGCAGGGCCTCCTGCACACTGCTTAGGAGGCCCTCCCAAATAGGCCATATTTCTTCACTACCAGCGTTTCCTGCCCCCCCTTATTATTCTTCATAACCCCACTATTTTATATTATGTTCTATTTTTTTGTTTATTGGACTCTTTCTGTTATCTGTTATGTACCCTCTTAACTTCCCCTTTTCTTTTATCCATTTGATAAGTATCTATTCAGCACCTGGTATGTGTCAGGTACTGGAAATACTCCAGGCTGGAGAGATAGTTCAGTTTGACTGGTTAGGCATTTGCTATGCACATGCCCAGCCCAGATTCAATCCTTGGCATCACCCCAAGCCCTGCCACTAGTGATTCCTGAGCACAGATCCAGGTGTAAACCCTGAGCACAGCTGGGTGTGACCCTCAAAAAAGAAACAAACAAAAATATTTCAAGCAAGACAGAAAACCCCTGGCCTCACCTCACAGAGCTTAGTCTCAGGAAGGTCCATATTTCTTTTGACATTAAATTGGACAAAGTGTACATTTTCCCGTTCTAGGGACCACCCACATCTCTGCCTGAGATACATAATTTCTTTGAGGCACGCATTCTTCATCCTTGGAATTTGTCCACATCTCACCTTGGGGTGTGTACTTGGCTCTCTACTCTAGGGAAGCCTGTGTCCTCTCGTGGGTGCACGACTCCTTTTCTCTCCCTGTATTTTCTAAATAAATGTGTCATCATTCTGTGCCTCCTTCCTCAAATTTTCTGTGATAGCAGGCGGCAGGCAAGAGAAAACCTGGGCAGAGGCCAGGACTGACTTTTCCTCTTGAAAAAAGCAAATTCCTTATTCCAGCCTGAGTTCCAGTGCCCCCTAAGAAATTGGGTGGTGGGATTAATTCCAGTGCTGTGAAGACCAAGTGGAACTCGGTGCAATGTGGTAACTTCCTAGCGGACTTGGCCAGATGCAGGCGCCTGTGCCTTGAAGGGTCTCGTAGCTGACTGTATGCAATCTGACCCTTCCTGGCAGTACTGGATGAATGGGGTGAGGAGAGAAGGCAGTAGACTCCTTTCTTGAGGCGGCAACCTCTCTCTGCTCCACTTCATGGCAGTCACCTGTAACATAGTTGGTGAGCCACCCAGAAGCCAGTTCCTTGTTTTACTTCAAAATAAATAAGTCAGATAAAGTGTCCTTGGGAGAACAAATAGTATGGAATGATTAAATACAACTTTTGGGTCTTCATAACAAGGAGTTTGAATTTTCACCTTATTTGCTAGTTTTCTCTGACTTGGGGTTTGAGTGACTTAACTAACCATTCTGAGTAGTCTATAAGATAGATCTTTGTTAAGAGAATTAAGTATTATTTAGAAAGGCCAGGGAGATGGCTCAAAGGGCTGGAGTACATGCTTTACATTGCGGGAGCCCTGTATTTGGTCTCTGGAACTCTCTGGACCCAAGCTCCGTAGGGTGTTATCCTCTCCAAAAAAAAGTACAGTTGTGCCATAGAGACAGCACAGGCGGTAAGGCACTTGCCTTCAAGAGGCTACCTCAGCCATGGTTCCAGTTTGAATTCCTGGCACCACCAAATGGTCCCCTGAACACTGCCAGGGTCACTTCTAGGCATAGGGCCAGGAATAGTCCTGAGCACCACATGGCGTGGCCCCAAACCGCTGCCCACCCCCCAAAATTTTTTTTAATTTAAATATATATAAAAACAGCTAGCATATTATATATTTTACACATTTTACACTGCTCATATATATAAAAAATAATGTGTATGTGTGCACATGTACAGTGTGTGTGTATTCCTATTTATTCACTCTGAATTTTTGGAATTTTGAGAACACCTGGTATATATAATTGAGACACTCTGAGTATATATAATTGTATATATACACACACATATATATATAATTGTATATGTACAGCGTGTATATATACACGCTGTATATATAATTGAGATACTCTGAATTTTTTGAATTTTGATAACACCTGGTATATATAATTGAGATACGCTGAGATTGTGTTTGAGTGAAAAGAGTGGAAGTGAGTGAAGGTACTGAGGAGTAATTATAAGAGTGTTCTTTTTTAAATTTGCTTTGTGGTTTTGGGCCCCATGCATTAGTGCTCAGGAGCCTGCAGTGCTGAGGATTGGACCAAGGGTTTTCCACACACAAAACATCCGCTCCAGCCATTGAAGCCATCTCCCTGACTCCTCTGGCAGGATTCCTAGGATGCTATGCACTGGTCTCTCTCACTAGGGACCTTCAGGAGTCAGGGACTGTGTCTCCTTTATTCTGAGAACCTTACCATAGGTAGCTAGGGCCTGCAGTAGGTACGAAAGCTTTTTGTTTTTGTTTTTGTTTTTGTTTTCCCCATTGGTGGGGGAGTGGGGCACACCCAGCAGTGCTCAGGGCTTACTCCTTGTTCTGTGCTCAGGGATCACTCCTGGCTGACCCAGGGGACCATATAGGCTGCCAGGAATCAAACCCTGTACTATTTCCCCACCCCCCGAGTGTTTGGATTTTTCAGTGCATTTGAATTCATCTGTGTTGTGTTTGGAACAGGTTCTCTGATTGAACAGCTGACAACAGAGAAATACGAGTGCATGGTGTGCTGTGAGTTGGTGCGTGTCACAGCCCCGGTGTGGAGCTGCCAGAGCTGCTACCATGTGTTCCACCTGAGCTGTATCCAGAAGTGGGCCAGGTCTCCAGCCTCTCAAGCAGGTGAGTCGTTGCCCTCTGCTGAGGGCTCAGGATATTCGCTTGCTTCTGGGCAGACCGAGAACACTCTTCTGAAGCTAGGAGGCGGTGCTATGGGGGCTGTTGAGCCTGCCTTGGCAGCAGGAGTCCTTGAGTTTGATCCCTGGTGCCACCGTGAATGCCCAGTGCTGTTCTGGCTGCTCTGCTGTCTGAAAGCCTGGTGCCACAGTGATTCCAGCTGCGCCGCAGCCAGGTGTGTGCAAAGAACATACTAAAAGCTGTGGCCCTGGCTCAGCACCTTAACTAAAGAGATGTGTGAGCACTATGGCCAAGAGTGTGTATGTGAGCTTCTCAGTGACTCCACTGAGCACTGCAACTAAATTTAGTGTGACCCCTGGTATGTACCCTGTAACAGCTTGACTAGAGGAGTGTTGGACCCCAATCCTCTTTGGTTTTTGGAACCCAACTCAGTCCTTTGCGGTTGTGAGTACCGCAACCAAGTGTTTGTACGACCCACAGTCATCCCCATAGCAAAGCTGACAGAAGGGAGGAAGGGGGGCCTTTAAATGGAAAAGAAAAAAAAATAACTGTTCGATTTAGAGCTAGGGAATGAAACTCACTGATAGAAAACCTGACTTGTGGGCTGGGGGTCATGAGTTGAATCCCTGGCACCCCTCATCACAGCCAGTTCTGTCATGAGCCTCAGTCAAGTTTGTGATCCCAGGGCCAAGGAGATGGGTTGGTGGGCTGAATGCTAGCCTTGCGTGCCAGAGGCCTGGCTTCAAAGCACTGCACAGTGTCCTGACCACCATTAGAATTCTCCCCCATGAACCAGAGTGATAGTACAGTGGGTAGGGTGCTTGCCTTGTATGGGGCCTACCTAGGTTCGGTCTCTTATACCACTAAGTGGCCCCCGGAGCTTGCCAGGAGTAATCCTTGAGTGCAAAGACAGGACTAACCTTGAACGCCTCTAGGTATGGACAAAAAATAAATTAAAAAGTGACACCCCCACCCCCTGCTGGCCATGGAGCCAGGAGTGAGCACCTTTGGGTGTGGCCCCGAAACAAGTTTGTGATTCCCCAGACTTTGCAACAAAAGAGAAGGAAAAGAGGGAAATATTTAATTCAACCATAATATTTTGTCTTCATGGTCACGGTCCTCCCGTTGTTCATCAATTTGCTCGAGCGGGCCCAGTAACGTCTCCATTGGAGACTTTGTTGTTACTGTGTCTGGCATATCGAGTACGTCACGGGGAGCTTGCCAGGCTCTGCCGTGCGGGCGAGATACTCTCGGTAGCTTGCCGGGCTCTCCGAGAGGGGCGGAGGAATCGAACTCGGGTCGGCCATGTTGGCCGCTTGTAAGGCAAATGCCCTACTGCTGTGCCATCGCTCCAGCGATGTGAGGGCGATCTGGCTGCGACATCTGTCACCCCATTGATCGCCAGGGTTGATTCGGCTGATCTGGCTGGCTAGGCGGGCGTCCCCTTCCTCCCTCACCGCTCCATGTGCGTCCCTCCCGAAGCTGCGCGCTCGGTCGAAGAGGACGGCCTTCCCCGATAGAGACGGACCGGTCTTCGGTCGAGGGTATACGAGTAGCTGCGCTCCCCTGCTAGAACCTCCAAACATTTTGTCTTCAGGGAGGAAAAATACATTGATCATATGCTTATATAATAAGTATAGTAATTGATACATTGATTCTCTTGATATAATGATTGATAACATTCAGGGAGAATATACTGATTACAGATGAGCAGTATTAAGCTGTAGATCTTAACATAAGCCTAACAAGATTAAACTATTAAATATGTATTTATATATTATATAAATATGGGAGTCTCCCGATGGACGGTTCCACAATGAAATAGACCACATCATATTCAATCGGCGGTTTTGCCTAACCGATGTTGCTGTTGTCCCAAAATTCCAAACGGGATCAGACCACCGTCTTCTTCGTGCAGAATTCTACCTCACAGAATGAGGAGAAAAGAATGCAAGGTTTAAGAAGAGGACTCCCAGAACAACCACCAACTGGGAGCTCTTTGGCTCTGTTGCGGCAACATGGGAAGATGCCGTCATTGACAACATTGATGAGGAATATGATCGAATGATTCAGCACCTCCATGATTGTGCAAAGAATGCCAAGAGAGAGATAACCACAAAAAACCGTTTTTCTTCGAACACTCTTGAACTTATTCGCCAACGTGGCTTGGCACATGCCTCAGGCAACCACAAGCGAACATCCGAACTGTCAAAACAGTGCAGAGAAGCCATCAAGGATGACCTCAAAAACAGGAGAGCAGCAGTACTGGTAGATGCAGCAGAAGCTGGGAAAAACATTCGTAATGCCCGCCTGTCCTTCACCAACTACAAAACCAAGATGACTGCCCTCCAACATCATGATGGATCTATCACATCTTCCAGAAGGGCAATGGAGAAGATTATTCATGACTTCTACTCAGATCTCTTTAATAGCCACATCCACTTGCCCACATACCACATACCACATGATGGATATGTCGTTCCCAATGTTCTCCCTTCCGAAATCCAACATGCCATCTTGTCGGTAAAGAAACAAAGAGCACCTGGCCCAGACAAGATCAGACCTGAACACCTGAAGAACTTACCATCAGTACTCATCAATACATTGGCTCGACTCTTCACACGCTACCTGTCTGAATGCAAGGTTCCATCCCAATGGAAAACCAGCAGGACTGTACTACTATACAAGAAAGGAGACATCCACGACATTGGCAACTATCGCCCAATCTGCCTATTGTCTGTCATCTACAAACTATTCACTCGAATCATCCTGAATAGGATTAGCAGAACACTAGATGAAGGACAACCATGTGAACAAGCTGGATTCCGAAAAGGATTCAGTACCATCGACCATATCCACACAATAACCAAACTCATTGAGGTATCTCGGGAGTTCAAGATGCCGCTCTGTCTAACGTTCATTGATTTAAAGAAGGCCTTTGATTCTGTTGAGACGGAAGCGGTCATGGAAGCCCTAGCCAATCAGGGCGTACAAACTCAATACATCAGGATCCTCCGTGAGCTGTATTGCGGATTCACTACCAGGATCTCACCATTCTACAAAGAAGTGTTCGTTGATGTCAAGAGAGGGGTTCGGCAGGGTGATACCATTTCACCAAAACTCTTCAGTGCCACCGTCGAGAACATCATGCAACGACTGGAATGGGAAAGCATGGGAGTGAAGATAGATGGTCGGCAACTACACCACCTCCGCTTTGCTGATGACATCGTTCTAATAACACCAAACATCAGCCAAGCGGCACAAATGCTGGCCGACTTTGACCGTGAATGTGGAAAGGTCGGACTACAGCTGAATCTTACGAAGACAATGTTTATGAGAAACAGCCTTGTTCCTGACGCTCCATTCACTCTCAACGGAACCACCATCTCCGAATGCAACAGTTATATATACCTAGGTCGAGAAATCAACATGATGAATGACCTGGCACCTGAGTTGCGCAGGAGGAAGAGAGCGGCTTGGAATGCCTTCAAGAGCATTGAAGAAATAACTAAAAGGACAAAGAACCTCCAGCTACGAGCACATCTCTTTGATTCCACTATTCTTCCTGCATTAACATATGCCTCAGAGACCTGGACCCTACGAAAACAGGATGAGAACGCTATTCGGGTCTCTCAAAGAGGAATCGAAAGAACTATGCTTGGAATATCACGATTCACTCAAATGAGAGATAGAATCCGGAGTTCTGATCTTCGTCAACGCTCAAGAATCAGGGACGCTGTCTCATTTGCCAAGACATCAAAAATCAGATGGGCTGGACACGTAATGAGGTTTACAGACAACCGCTGGACTAGAGCCATTACTGATTGGATTCCACGGGACATCAAAAGATCACGTGGACGCCCACCTATAAGATGGTCAGACTTCTTCGTCAAGACCCTAAATGATCGGTTTGAGGCTCTGCATGTTCCTAGAACGAACGGATACCATTGGGCTACGCTAGCACGCAACCGGGATGAATGGAGACGTTACTGGCACCCGCTCGAATAAATCGATGAATAACGGGGATTAAGTGATTAAGTGATATTATATCCATATATATAATACGTAGTTTTAGATTTGGGGCTATACCCGGCAGTGCTGAGGAATTGCTCCTGTCTCAACTCTCAGGGATCAAACCTGGGTTTGCTAGCTCTCCGGAGCCTCGTACTTTTTTTAAGCCAAGGATCATCTTTATCTTTTTTTGGGGGGGGAGGGGCGGGAGACACCCAGCGATGCTCAGCGGTTACTCCTGGCTCTGCACTCAGAAATTACTCCTGGCAGTGCTTGGGGGACCATAGGGGATGCTGGATATTGAACCCAGGTCAGCCATTTGCAAGGCAAATGCCCTACCTGTTTTACTAGCACTCTGGCTCCCATCATCTTTATCTTGACATCAGAAATAATAGCATATCGTTGGGCTTAAGAGGAAGCTCAAAAGGCTAAGTGCATATTTGTATGCCGGAGACTCACCTTCATGCCACATCATGGTTTGCCGAGCATGGAATCTGGAGTAGCCCAAACTCTACCTTACCCCCTAAAAAAGTAAAGTATAGTGCATCTTTACCACAAAATGAAAAGATTATCATGTGATGTCATAGAGGTGTTAACTAATGCTCCTGTGGTAATCATGTTGCAGTGTTTGGATGTATCATATCAAAACATTGTATGTCTTAAACTTATCAGTGTGATATGTCAGTTACAGCTCAGTTTTTGAAATACAGATAAAATGGATACCAGCTTGATTCACTATGTCCAAAGTCCCCAAAGTCCTTATGTCTAAATGCAGTACTTAACACCATCTAAGAGTGCCATGGATTTGTTTCTTCAATGTCTGCTCTCCTTCATGTGCAAATTACTTCTGTTGCTTCAATATTATCACTTCTTGGGGATAAAAATAATTTTTTTAATTTCATGTGCTTTTGAAAGGAAATTAATTTGGTTTCCTCTCCTTGTTCTTGACAGATGGCCAGAGTGGCTGGCGGTGCCCCGCATGCCAGAATGTTTCTGCACACGTTCCTAATACCTACACTTGTTTCTGTGGTAAGTAGAGTCTCTTCCACTTCATACCTTGTGCCTTAGTTCCCAGCATTGGAGAGGAGGGCCTCTGAGCAGAGTTATATTTGCAAGTTATAATAAGGTTTTTTTCAAGGCTTCAGGAGAACATGGCATTGTGTGCATATGGTCCAGCACTCAGCTGGAGTCACAGGCCTTTGTGCTCTCAGCAGGCTGTTATGGAGACGGTCTTTCTCCCCTCTGCCAGGAGTCGTAGTGCTGGTGTCCTTAGCTGGCAGTTGTCAAGCAGAGCTGATCTGATGGCAGCGGTGAAGACAGACATGGGCTCCTTCTCACTCCTCGCTGTTGCAGCGTTGATACTCCAGATGGGAGCAGCTGAGCACAGTAGTTTTGGAAGTGTATTTTATTTTATTTTTATTTTTATTTATTTGCTTTTTGGGTCACACCCTGGAATGCACAGGGGTTACTCCTGGCTCTGTGCTCAGGAATTACCCCTGGCGGTGCTAAGGGGACCATATGGGATGCTGGGAATCGAACCCGGGTCAGCCGCATGCAAGGCAAACGCTCTACCCGCTATGCCATTGCTCCAGGTCTGGAAGTGTATTTTAATCCAAGAATTCAGTCACTGGTCTTTCTAATAAGATATTATCTGTGAAACAACGTTATAATCCTTTGCCCTTCTCCTCTCTATAAATAATTATGTTTTTTTCACGCAGCCAACATGGCCAACCCAAGTTCGATTCCCCCACCCCTCTCGGAGAGCCCAGCAAAACCTGGCAAGCTACCCGTGACGTATTCGATATGCCAAACACAGTAACAACAAGTCTCATGATGGAGACGTTACTGGGCCTGCTCGAGCAGATTGATGAACAGTGGGAGGACAGTGGCAGGTGGCATTTCTTGTGTGTGTTGGGAAGAAATGGCTGTGAACCAAATATTCATTCCTACTGCTAGGTTATTTCTTGGTCTTTGTGTCCTGGTGGATGCAGGGGATCATATGGCATGCCAGTGATCAGACCCGAATTGGCTGTGTGCAAGGCAAGCGCCCTACCACTATACTATTGCTCTGGCCCTTTTTATTGCCTTTTATATTTTTGTGTGGAGTGTGGGGGACACACCAGATGGTGCTCAGGGCTTACTCCTGGCCCATGCTCAGGGATCACTTTAGTTGGGGCTCTGGGGTCTGTATAGGATGCCAGGGATTAAACCTGAGTCAGCTGCCTGGAAGGCAAGCCCCCAGCCCCGCAGCATGCTGCCTTTTAATGGCTAACTTTCAGCATCGGTTGTTGCTTTTTCAGGTTTTGTTTCTTAACCATCTGTGTCAATAAGCTACATTTTTTTTGCTTCTGTCTTCTTTATATCACTGAAACCCTTGAGAAGTCATCAGTGATCCCTTTCTCACCGAATCCAGGGTGTTTTGTTTAGCTGGGCTGCATAATAGCGGTTAATGTTTTGGCTTTTCATTTTTTGAAATGTCTGGCTCTTTTTTCCTTATTGTATGAGCTCCTTTCTCAAATTGTTTGTTTTTTCCTTTCTTATTACTTTAACTCAGGACTCTCATTTAGAGTTGGTCATAGATCATTCACTATTCTTGGGACTCAATCTCTTGATGAACTCACGAGCCATCTAGACTGTTTTTCCCCCTTTTTTTGGGGTGGGGGGGGTCACACCCAGCGATGCACAAGGGTTACTCCTGGCTCTGCACTCAGGAATTACTCCTGGCAGTTCTCAGGGGATTGTATGGGATGCTGGGAATCGAACCTGGGTTGGTCGTGTGCAAGGCAAACGCCCTACCCACTGTGCTGTCACTCCAGCTCCCTGTTTTTCCCCTTTTTAAATTTAAATTTTCATCTACTGTGTCATTAAAGATCTGACCCCAACAGTGCTCTGCCAAGGGAAGCTGCTGCCAAAGCAACCACAAGCTTCCTTTTTCCACACTGGCACTCTAACTTTCTTTTATTTAGTTTCTTTTATGTTTTATTGTAAAAATTTGTGCTTTAAGAGATACAGATTATAAATTTTAGTTGAAGGAATGAACATTTTTTAATGTACCACTGCTAAGGTAGAAATGAAACTAGAAGCAAGAGATCAAGGAAAATTGGACCAGGAGAAGTAATACCAAGGCTTGACTACCATGTTTGAAAGGAATTTTAGACATGAAATATCACTGGGGAGTTTAGAATCTTGTGATGCCTTCACTGACAAATTAGAATGAGACCCTAATAAAGTCAAACAGATTAGAGCAAAGATCACGAGGATGACCTAGGGAAAATAGTGCCAGAAAGCTAATAATGACCTTATTTTGTCTTATGACTTTACCCTATTCTACTCTTCTGGAGCCAATGACTTAATATACTTTCTGAGAATTAGTAAAATATCAGGCACCATGAAGAAACAGGAGGGAATAAAACTGCCTATTGACTTGCCAGAGTTTATGGTCTTAAGATTTAAGAGCTAATTAACAGACTTGATGTTATACTAGAAGTTCTCTAAGATATCTTTGGTGTCAAGTTATGACTTGTGGCTATGATCAAGGGACAACTTTGTGAAGAATTGAACCAGGCTTAAGAATTGAGTGAGGAACCAGAACGATAGTATAGCAGATATGGCATTTGCCTTATCAAAACCTGGTTTTGATCCCTGGCACCCCATATTGTCCCCTGAGCCCACCAGGAGTGATCCCTGAGAACCGCCAGTTGTGGTCCCCAAAAAAGACAAAATTGGGTGAACCTTGACAGATAAAAAAGAACTGTTGAAAAGGAGAGCAAAAGTGTAAAGCCAAGAGGCCTTGGGTCCTTGTGAGTTGACAAAGTCATCCAGTTATGGAGCCCCGGATGTAGGAAGGTGGAGGAATGGGCGACGACTGGGAAGGTGACTTCTCGATGCTGGACTTAGATGCTGGACCTTAGTTTCACAGACTATTGGAAGCTACTTGATCGTTTTGCTTTTTGGGCTGCACCGGCAATGCTCAGGGCTTACTCCTAGCATTACACAAGGGAACATAAGAGATGTTGGGAATCGAATCTGGGTGGGATGCGTGCAAGGCCAGCACCCTCTCTATTGTACTATCCCTATGGCACTCAATTGGTTATTTTCTACAAAGATAAACTGGTGTCAGTGAGAAGAGTATTGGACCTACGTAGCTTAGGGACTTGTAATAGTTCAAATAGAGAATTAAACCTATTTAAGTGTTAGAGTGAACACAGAAAGAAAGGGATGTAAGAGTTCAAAAATAAGGGCTAGAGCAATAGTACAGCGGGTAAGATCCTTGCCTTGCATGCAGCTGGCCCAGGTTTGATCCCCGACATCCTATTTGGTTCCCCAAGCACCACCAGGAGTTATTCCTGAGTGCAGAGCCAGGAGTAACCACCGAGCATTGCCAGGTATGGCCAAAAACAAACAAACAAAAAGTTCAACGATAGATCAAGGCAGATAGTTCACAGGGCTTTTGTGTATGCTTTGAATGCTATAGACCTGTGTTCGGTCCCCTGCATCATGTGTCTCCGTATACAATTGGGAGCAATCCCTGTGCACTAAGCTTAGAGCACTCCCTGGGCTCTGCTGGGTGTGACCCCAATACCAAAGGGGGTGGATTTCAAAGACTAATAGAAATCAGTGACAATGGGAAACATGCTTCTACAATTTTGTTCCCTTGGAAACGGTTTCGTGCTTTTTGGAAGAGGACAGATAAAGGCAGGTGAAGAGAAGTGGTTTGGTGAGAAGAGTGAGTTCAGTTTAGAATGTTGAGTTGGAAGAGAAAGACATTCAGAGAGATGTGCAACAGGCAGTTGGGAATAGTTGAGAAGAGATCAAGACTTTAGAGTGGCAGTCAGAATAAGTATATTAGGTGAAGGGGCCAGAGAATTAGTTCAGTAAGCTGACCATATGCTTTGCAGGCCAGATACCTAGGCTCAGACACCGCCAGAAGCAGCCTCCGAGTAACACTGGGTGTGGCCCCCAAAAAAAGAGTAGTAAATGAGACTCAAGCGGAATGGTAAAGATTGGGCCAGAGCAATAGACTAGTGGGTAGAGTGCTTGCTTTGCTGTTGCCTGACCCGGGTTCATTCCTCAGTATCCAGTTTCCCCTTAGCACCTCCGGGAGTGATCCCTGAGTTCAGGGTGTGACCCCAAAACCAAAAATAATAAACGAAACACAGAAAAGTAAGATTTCTGAAAGTCAGAAAGAGTCTAAAAGCTGAGACCTAGGAGATTGGCAGCCATTAAGTAAGTCAGTGAGGACAGCTTCCTCAGAGGAGCTAGTTTTGCACCTCTTTGTTGCTCTTCCTGCCTTGAACGCCAATCCCACCACCATTACACCTTCCCACCACCATATTTCGAATATTTCTATCCTGACCCCAATCTCTGCCCCACCCAAAGCAGAACCGGAATAATATATTTTGTATTGTTTGTTATGAAAAACCGCTGAAAATGCTACAAAAAAGTATCCTTGGAGGAAAGAGTGTGAAGATTGTTTTGGTCCCTATTTCAGTTAGTCCCTCTTTCACCTAGGGACCATTAAACCCTTCTATAAGAGATCACTAACATGTTGTTAAAGGTTGACATGTGTATGCTTTTATATATATAGATGTATGTGTGCGTATGTGCTTTTATATGTGTGTGTGTGTGTGTATATACATATATCTGTAAAAAAATATTTCCCTCTGAGGCTGGTTGCCTCCTACTTTAGAACCCCATCATATATGGTGCAGTACTCTTGGAGTATGGGTAGTGTGGTTTAATGTGTTCAGGAATAGGTTCACTCATGGGTGAAGCTCGGCCTGAGCATGTGAAGAATGGCCATGAGCGTGGTGGCAGTTGAGTTCTGGAGGTTTTCAGCTGCTGGGGCAGGTTCCCTTGGCCAGGGAGGTCTCACCCGCCCTTCTCTGGGACACCCCGAGTGAAACAATCTGGCGCGGGTTTCGGCAGCATGGATATGGCGAGTGTCATGTTATGCTCCCTTCCGGGAGAGAAGGACATGCAATCTGGATGGTGGCTGATGACGAGATTATCTGGTACCAGCCACCAGGGGTGGCTTATGGGCATGACTGCTGCGTTTCCGGAGACGGGGGATACGGGCAGAGGATCTCCGTTCCTGGTCCCGTTGAACCCAGAGTTGTCAGTCACAAAGTCCCACATACCTGGGTTTTCCAGGGATTAATTCATGGGTGAAGCACAGCAGCCAACAGCATGGCGGCGATTGAATTCTGGAAGTTTTGGGCTACTGGGGCTAAAGTGGCATTTTCTTAAGTGAAAAATTGTTTTTTAATTGGTAGTTCTGAAACTTTATCATACTCAGGCTTATAATACTGTATTCAGCTTTTAATTTTAGGATATGGGATAATGTGTTTGTTGAGCATATGAGAAGCACAGTAAACTTTCATGTTCTCTAGCGACATTGTACAGGTTTTTGTTTATATGTTTGTTTGTTTGTTTGTTTTTTTGCTATTTGGGTCACACCCAGCGATGCACAGGGGTTACTCCTGGCTCTGCACTCAGGAATTACTCCTAGAGGTGCTCAGGGGACCATATGGGATGCTGGGAATCGAACCCAGGTCAGCCGTGTGCAAGGCAAAGACCCTGCCCGCTGTGCTATTGTTTCAGCCCCAACATTGTGCAGTTTTAATTAAAGTTGAAGACAGTATTGAGGTTTGTACCGTCAACTCTCTGATCTGATGTATTACAGGCAAAGTGAAGAACCCAGAGTGGAGCAGAAATGAAATTCCACACAGTTGTGGTGAGGTTTGTAGAAGGAAGCAGCCTGGCCAGGACTGCCCACATTCCTGTAATCTGTAAGTTGGGATGCTAGACCTTGGGGGTTTTCTGGGTGACACACATTGCTTATGGCTCTGAGTATATCCTTTTCATCATTAACTTATAACAGGACGAAATAAAGGGCAGCATGGTCTCATGTACAGAACATTTGCTCTTTACCAGGCACTCAGCTGCTTTAACTCATGGAATCTATATGGCAGTCTGATACTTTGTAATTCTACCCATTTTTTTACAGATGAGTTTAGAAAGAACAGGCATCTAGCCCAGGGTTATAGTGCTCTGACATGGCGGAGCCATGGGGAGAGGCGCCAGTGCCTTTCTTGCTATATTATCCTGTGACCTCTGAAAGGAAGTGCCTTCTAGTGCTATCCAGGTCAAAGCGAATTGATAGGATAGACCTCTACCCAAGGAAGGACAGTTGTGTTAGAACAACGCTGTAGTCTGAATGCTTGCTCAACAGTAAGTAGCTGGCTTTAGAGTGTGCCCTATCAGCTCTAAATAATAGAAGGAATGCACAGTCTAGGAGAAACAGTTGATTGATTTCAGAAAACACATCTGAGAAAGGGTGTGTTCCTGGGTTTGAATTCTTAACAGTTCAGAGTGTGCCCAGTCAGCTCTCCATAATAAAAGAAACACATAATGTTAGATAAACAATCTCTAAACTAAGGGTAAAGCCTAGAGTTTTGAATGGCAAATGCTAGCATCTCTAAGATGCTGGAAGCAGAATCTGGCACAGGGTAATCCGTCAAAAAGTAGTAACCTGTGTTTTCACTAAGAGGAAATAGACATTGGAGTGTTTGGCCTTTGTGGCAAACTGTTTTTTCGCACTCTGCTCTCAGTAGGCCAAGACCAGTTTTGGAAATATTTTTACCAGACCCCAAATAAAGCCAGTTTTCATACTTGAGCTTTACTTTTATGGTTAAATATTCTAAGATGATAATGTTGTTGATTGTATATAAAAACCTTCCTTGTTGTTTTGGGCTATACTGGATAGTGCTCAGGGGTTATTCCTGGTTCTGTGCTTATGGATCACTCTTAGCAGGGCTTTGTAGGATTGATGTGTAGTACCAGGATCAAATCCAGATCTTACCCACCATACTCTCTTTCCAGCCCTATAAAAACATTATTGGTGGTCTGAGATAATCACTCAAAAGGGTGGAGCATATGCTTTGCATAAAGAAACTTTTTTTTATTTTATTTTTGGGAGGGGGGCCTTTTTGGGTCACACCTGCCGATGTACAGGGGTTACTCCTGGCTCATGCACTCAGGAATTAGTCCTGGCAGTGCTCAGGGGACTGTATGGGATGCTGGGAATCGAACCCCCGTAGGCTGCATGCAAGGCAAATGCCCTACCCGCTGTGCTATCGCTCCAGCCCCAAAGAAACTCATTTTTGATCCCTGGCCTGCATGATCTCGTTAGCACCTTGACTAAGTGTAACCCAACCCCCACCCCCTTCACCATAAAATAACCATTGGGGGCCAGAGAGATAGTATAGGGGGCAGGGTGCTTCTCTTGTATGTGAACAGCTTGCTCCCATATTGTCCTCCAAGCCTACCAGGAATGAGCACATAGCCAGGTATGAAACCCAACTCCGCCCCCCCCCCCAAATGTTGGTATCTTTGTTTAAATAGCTTAACCATTTAAAGAAATACTAAAGTTTTTTTCAACTTTTTTCTTTTTCTCTAAAAAAAACTTTTTAAATAGATTTATTCATTGCCATATGATCAGTAGGGCTCATTGGGGGAGCTATATATACGTTGGATACTTGGATATGATTTATTCATTCAAGTGTTTTCTTTTATAGACTCTGCCATCCTGGGCCTTGCCCGCCATGCCCTGCCTTTATGACTAAAACCTGTGAATGTGGACGAACCAGGTGAGGTTGGCATTGTACTCCAGAGATTGATTTTTCACATTGATTTTAAAACTAATTTCTTTTTTTCTTTCCTTTTTCACTCTCTTATCTCCCATGTTTATTTTTAACTGTTCTCTGGGCCTTGCCCGCCATGCCCTGCCTTTATGACTAAAACTTGTCAATATGGATGAACCAGGTAAGGTTGGCATTGTACTCCAGAGATTGATTTTTCACATTGATTTTGTTTATTTATTTATTTATTTTGCGTTTTGGGTCACACCCAGCAATGCACAGGGGTTACTCTTGGCTCTGCGCTCAGGAGTTTCTCCTGGCGGTGCTCAGGGGACCATATGGGATGCTGGGAATCGAACCCGGGTCAGCCGCGTGCAAGGCAAACGCCCTACCCGCTCTGCTCTCTCTCCAGCCCCTCACATTGATTTTAAAGTTAATTTCTTTTTTTTTTTCTTTCCTTTTTCACTCACTTAGCTCCCATGTTTATTTTTAACTGTTCTTCATAATTTTAATGTGAATTTCTAAAATGGATTTTTAAAACAAAAGATGAGTAGGGAGTTTTAAATAAATGGAAAGTGTGAAAAGTCCTTTTCTGTGAAGAGTAGTTTTCCTGCTGACCCTAATTATGTTTTACAGTCTTCTAAGAAGTTACGGGGTTGGAGCAATACTACAGTGGGTAAGGTGTTTGCCTTGCATGCGACTGACCTAGGTTCAGTCCCTGCACTGGGTCTGTGCTCAGGGATCACAGCTGGCAGGGCTCAGGACCATATAAGTGTTGGGATTGAACCCAGGTCTGCCCCTTGCAATGCAAGTTCCCTGCCCATCTTACTGTGTCTCTGGCCCCTATATAGAATGCTTTGAAACATAATATGTAGTAGAGGTGGGCATAGGGACTAAAATCATCTTTCAGGAGAGTAGACTCTAAAATCTAAGTAATCTCTAAATCTTTTATTCTAGAGCAATGCCTGAAGATAGTTGTCTAAACAGTGTTTCCCAACCTTTTTCTTGCCATGACTTCCTTCAGACCTTTTCTTCTTGTGGTACCCTTGTCCTACCAGTAGGTCCCATAGTCTCATACACACACCCCTCCCCAATTTAAGTGAATTTCACTTGTGGATAACGGTGAAGTGCCCTAAGGGCCCACAGGAGGCCATATCACCTCTGGTTGAGAAATGCTAGTGTAAAAGTTGCTGGCCTCATAATCTTTCACTGATTGGTAAGTCAGCAAAATCAGGATGTTTATTAGAACAAACTCAGGCTGTTAGAACAAATGTTTATTCTCCAGATGGGGTTCTGGAATCACTTCCCCGTCTGGAGTAATGACATGCAGTGTGTTGTTTATGTGTTAGGACCTCGCAGAATGTCAGAGGACAGGCCCAGGACTAAGCCATTGCTGCTTTCATATGCATTGTGACTATACATCCCTGTAATGACCCCATTCCTTTCTGTAAGAGCCTGTGGGGGTTCTTTCCCCCTCCTTCCTGCATGCTGCTTCTGGGGGCTCAGAGAAGTCTGACAGAATAGATACTTAGGAGGAGACTTAGTTCCTTGGTAGTCAGAAAAGCAGGAGAGAGAATGTCAGGGTGGGAAATTAAGAAGGTAAAGGAAGAAAAAGAATAGAGAAGAGGCAAGTAATTAAGGAAATAAGGGTTAGAGGGTAGGTAGAAACACAAAAATACTGGAAATGAACGAGAGAAAGGTTCAGTATGTCTGGGAGAGGATGGTTTGGGCTTCAGTGTTAGTTTATTTGGTTGACAGATACTCCGTGTTAGCTTAATGTAATGCTCTTTTTGTCATTGTCTTCACAGGCACACGGTTCGTTGTGGTCAGGCTGTCTCAGTCCACTGTTCTAACCCGTGTGGGAATATTTTAAATTGTGGGCAACACCACTGTGCTGAGTTGTGCCATGGGGGACAGTGCCAGCCTTGCCGGAGCATATTGAATCAGGGTAAGTGTTGGTTCCCCGAGCTCACCATACCTGTGCGCTTTCCTCAGCTGCTCTGCTTGTTGAGGCTCTCTGTTGAGTTGTTTATATCACCTTCCGTACTCTTCATTTCTATGGCTTCTGATTTGTGTTCTCATTTTAGCTCTCAATCTTCCTTCTGCTTTGCGGACTACCTGTGCCATCATTTCTTTGAGCTCACTAAACATCCTCAACATGATGAACGTGTTGTTGTCCCTAAGGCCGTTTCTGAGAGTTTACAGAGCTGTTCAGTGCTGGTGGAGTCTTTTCACTTGTTGAGCTAAGTGGGCCTCGCCATGTCTCCCCCCAGTGTGTTTTGTGTGCTTCTGCTGGTGAATCTTCACTCCCCCTGGAGGTCTCTGAGAGATTAGGCTGCGAGTTGCTCTCTTTCCCTCCTGGTTTCAGTGATGGGAGATATAAGTGTGAGTGAGCCATGTGAGATACATTGACTAGAGCCGTTATGTGGTACAGGTGAAATGGAGGTGGGTCAGAAGAGGTCGTAGAGCTCTGCTGTGGAGGCTGCCAGAACCCAGCTGAAAGTTGAGGGGAGTCTGCTTCTGTTTCCAAAAAGGCTCAAGGATGTCAGCTGGGAGATTAACCTCACCTGGAATGTTGGAGGAACAAGCAGAGGCTCTGAGATGTGCAGGTGGTCTGCTGTGGTGGCAGAGATTGGGAATCATAACTCATGTGCTTTCCTGGTTTCTTATTTGTGCTTGCTTAAATGACAGGGATTACTCTGAAGTCAGTAGCCAAAAATCAGTTGCTCCATACTTTGGGAGGAGAGAACTGGAGACAGTAATGCGTAGATGATTTCATTACCATAGTTGCATAATATAGGTCATTATCTTAGAATTTGGACAGTGGATTTGGTGGGGGTAGTGTTTGGAGTCTCATAATTAATAAGTACAAGGGCTATTCTGGCTCTGTACTTAGGAGTGACCTCTGGCAGTGCTTGGTAGACTATCTTTAGTGCTGCAGCGTCAGCCCAGCTCAACTGCATACACGGCAAGCTCCTTAACCCCTAGACCGTTTCTCTCATCCTGGACAGTGGATATTTAAATGATGTTCAAAAGTAACTGCTTGCAAATATTTTTTAAGTAACTGAAAGGCACCTAGAAAGCTCAAAATAATCTTGGAAAAGAACTTTTGGGGGGGGTGGTTGGTCACACTTGGCGATGCTCAGGGGTTACTCCTGGCTCATGCACTCAGGAATTGTCCCTGACTGTGCTAGGGGGACCATATGGGATGCTGGGAATTGAACCCGATTCAGCTGCGTGCAAGGCAAATGCCCTACCTTCTGTGCTGTCGCTCCAGCCCCGGAAAAGAACATATTAAAATAATTAACTCAGTTTCTAGTAATTATGACAGCATGATTATTGGTGTAAAGATCATAAGATCCGTGAAAGAGAATAAAGTCCAGAAATAGACGCACATATATAGGCAGTTGATACTCTACCTACTGAGAGATTATCCGTTCATTTGGAAAATGGGAGCTTTTTTTTTTTTTTTTTTGGGTCACACCCAGCGATGCTCAGGGGTTACTTCTGGCTTTGCACTCGGGAATTACTCCTGGCAGTGCTTGGGGGACCATACGGGGATACTGAGAATCAAACTTGGGTCAGCCGCGTGCAAGGCAAACGCCCTACCTGCTGTACTATCACTCTAGCCCCTTAAGGAGCCTTTTTTTTTTTTTAACAACTTGCAAGAATATGGATGAAGGAAAAAATGGACCTCAATCTTTATATCACACTACATAGAAATGTACATGGATCAAGGATTTAAATATAAACTAAAAATCATAAAATTTCTGGAAGAAACTCTTAGGAATATTCTTATGACAGAGAATGGCACACCAAAAAGAACAAGAACCCTGTGAATGCCAGGAGAAAGGGACACATTCATTGCTGGTGGGAATGTCAACTGATCCAGCCCTTTTGGAAAACAATATGGATATTTTTTAAAAAGTTGAGGTTCCATATAACCCAGCAGTACCACTCCTAGGATTATACTGTAGGTGCCCAAAAACTACAGAGAAGTCATCTGCACTCCTGTGTACATTGCTGCATTATTAATTATTGTCAGAATCTGGAAACAACCCAACCCAAATGCCCAAGAAAGATGACTAGACAAAGAAACTATAGCACATTGACACTATGGAATGCTATGCAGTCATTAGGAAAAACGAAGTCATGAAATTTGCTTATACATGAATGGGCATGAAGAATGTCATGCTGAGTGAAATGAGTCAGAGGAAGACAGACATAGAACGAGTGCACACGTTTGTGGGATATTTAAAAAAATAAGATAGCAGGAACGAGGGCCAGGAGACCAGTCTATGGTAGGAAACTTGCTATAAGTTTTGGAGGAATGCAGTTAGGAGAGAGAAGGGTCCACTAACAGTAATAATTATTAATGATTACTCTGAACAAGAATTGAGTGCTGAAAGGAGGCAAAGTGATATACACGATAACCTTTCAGTAACAGTATTGTGAGCTGCAGTACCTAAAAGAGAGAGAGGGAGAGGAAAAGAGAAAAGAATAGTATCTGAACTAGAGACAGGCTGCTGGGGGGTAGCGGGTAGGAGAAAAACTGGGGGCATTGGTGGCAGGAAATGTATGCTGGTGAAGGGATGTGTGTTGAGACATTGTATGACTGAAATCCAGTCATGAACAACATTGAAACTGTCTCACAAATTAAAAAAAAAAAAAACTCTAGGCAGAGAATTCTTGGACAGGGCAACAAAAATACCATTTAGGTACCAGAGAGAGAACTTAAAAGAGAGAACTTAAATGGTACCATTAGGTACCAGAGAGAGAACTTAAAAAAAATACCATTAGGTACCAGAGAGAGAACTTAAAAAAGAATGCTGGAACATTCTTTGCTTGTATGAAGTCCTGGGTTTGATCCCACAGGCACTGAACTGGGAATAGCCCCAGTTTCCATGAGCATGGCTCAAAAACAAAAGTGAATTTAAGAGATAGTACAACATGTAAGGCAGTTTGTTTACATGAGGCTGAGCTGGGTGTGTGATCTTGTGAGCACTGCTGGCTGCTAGGTGTGTGCCCCCACACACCCGTGTCCCCATTTAAAAAAAAATTCTGACCATAAGAAAGCAAAAATGACTAAGTGAGCTTTATCAAAATAAAAGACTTCTCTTTATTAAAGATCACTTATCACTTAATCACTTAATCCCCGTTATTCATCGATTTATTCGAGCGGGTGCCAGTAACGTCTCCATTCATCCCGGTTGCGTGCTAGCGTAGCCCAATGGTATCTGTTCGTTCTAGGAACATGCAGAGCCTCAAACCGATCATTTAGGGTCTTGACGAAGAAGTCTGACCATCTTATAGGTGGGCGTCCACGTGATCTTTTGATGTCCCGTGGAATCCAATCAGTAATGGCTCTAGTCCAGCGGTTGTCTGTAAACCTCATTACGTGTCCAGCCCATCTGATTTTTGATGTCTTGGCAAATGAGACAGCGTCCCTGATTCTTGAGCGTTGACGAAGATCAGAACTCCGGATTCTATCTCTCATTTGAGTGAATCGTGATATTCCAAGCATAGTTCTTTCGATTCCTCTTTGAGAGACCCGAATAGCGTTCTCATCCTGTTTTCGTAGGGTCCAGGTCTCTGAGGCATATGTTAATGCAGGAAGAATAGTGGAATCAAAGAGATGTGCTCGTAGCTGGAGGTTCTTTGTCCTTTTAGTTATTTCTTCAATGCTCTTGAAGGCATTCCAAGCCGCTCTCTTCCTCCTGCGCAACTCAGGTGCCAGGTCATTCATCATGTTGATTTCTCGACCTAGGTATATATAACTGTTGCATTCGGAGATGGTGGTTCCGTTGAGAGTGAATGGAGCGTCAGGAACAAGGCTGTTTCTCATAAACATTGTCTTCGTAAGATTCAGCTGTAGTCCTACCTTTCCACACTCACGGTCAAAGTCGGCCAGCATTTGTGCCGCTTGGTTGATGTTTGGTGTTATTAGAACGATGTCATCAGCAAAGCGGAGGTGGTGTAGTTGCCGACCATCTATCTTCACTCCCATGTTTTCCCATTCCAGTCGTCGCATGATGTTCTTGAGGGTGGCACTGAAGAGTTTTGGTGAAATGGTATCACCCTGCCGAACCCCTCTCTTGATATGGATGATTACTTCTCTGTAGAATGGTGAGATTTTGGTAGTGAATCCGCAATAGAGCTCACGAAGGATCCTGATGTATTGAGTTTGTACGCCCTGATTGACTAGGGCTTCCATGACCGCTTCCGTCTCAACAGAATCAAAGGCCTTCTTTAAATCAATGAACATTAGACAGAGCGGCATCTTGAACTCCCGAGATACCTCAATGAGCTTGGTTATTGTGTGGATATGGTCGATGGTACTGAATCCTTTTCGGAATCCAGCTTGTTCACATGGTTGTCCTTCATCTAGTGTTCTGCTAATCCTATTCAGGATGATTCGAGTGAATAGTTTGTAGATGACAGACAATAGGCAGATTGGGCGATAGTTGCCAATGTCGTGGATGTCTCCTTTCTTGTATAGTAGTACAGTCCTGCTGGTTTTCCATTGGGATGGAACCTTGCATTCAGACAGGTAGCGTGTGAAGAGTCGAGCCAATGTATTGATGAGTACTGATGGTAAGTTCTTCAGGTGTTCAGGTCTGATCTTGTCTGGGCCAGGTGCTCTTTGTTTCTTTACCGACAAGATGGCATGTTGGATTTCGGAAGGGAGAACATTGGGAACGACATATCCATCATGTGGTATGTGGTATGTGGGCAAGTGGATGTGGCTATTAAAGAGATCTGAGTAGAAGTCATGAATAATCTTCTCCATTGCCCTTCTGGAAGATGTGATAGATCCATCATGATGTCGGAGGGCAGTCATCTTGGTTTTGTAGTTGGTGAAGGACAGGCGGGCATTACGAATGTTTTTTCCAGCTTCTGCTGCATCTACCAGTACTGCTGCTGTCCTGTTTTTGAGGTCATCCTTGATGGCTTCTCTGCACTGTTTTGACAGTTCGGATGTTCGCTTGTGGTTGCCTGAGGCATGTGCCAAGCCACGTTGGCGAATAAGTTCAAGAGTGTTCGAAGAAAGACGGTTTTTTTGTGGTTATCTTTCTCTTGGCATTCCTTGCACAATCATGGAGGTGCTGAATCATTCGATCGTATTCCTCATCAATGTTGTCAATGACGGCATCTTCCCATGTTGCCGCAATAGAGCCAAAGAGCTCCCAGTTGGTGGTTGTTCTGGGAGTCCTCTTCTTAAACCTTGCATTCTTTTCTCCTCGTTCTGTGAGGTAGAATTTTGCACGAAGAAGACGGTGGTCTGATCCCGTTTGGAATTTTGGGACAAAATTTTATTAATTTTATTAAAGATACCCTTAACAAAATGAATAGATGGAGTCAGGGATATGTCTCAGCGGTTATTGTGAGTCTCCCACATGTGAGACCCTGGATTTGGTTCTTGGTACCGCTATCCTCTCCCCCTCCAAAAAAAAGTTTTGTTTTTTTTTTAAGTACTTGACAAACCCATGAAAACTAATTAAACAGTGGGCAAAATGCCTGAATAGATAGATCACAGAAAAATATACATAAAATGTATGAAAGATGCTTAAATACTAAAGAAATATAAATTAAAACCACAAGAATAAAATAGTGCAACTACTTTAGAGTACAGTCTTCAAAAATTTCTTTTAAAAAGTTAATTGTGGGAGCTGGAGTGGTAGCACAGCGGGGAGGGTGTTTGCCTTGCACACAGCCAACCTGGGTTCAATTCCCAGCATCACGTATGGTCCCCTGAGCACCACCAGGAATGATTCCTGAGTGCAAAGCCAAGAGTAAGCCCTGAGCATTGCCGGGTGTGAACAAAAGCAAAAGAAAAAAAAAGGTTAATCGTGATTGTTGCCATGCTCATTACTGCTCTCCACAGGCTCGGACATGCCTTACCCATGAGTGAATCTGCTATATAATCATTATAAATTTCGGAATTCCAAGGTGGCCGCACGACCTCTCATACTCTGCACCACTGATGTACCAAGAATAGCACACACAAGGGCTTAATGGCTCCAGATGAAATAACAATCTTCACATACTTTCCTCTAAGGAAACTGGACTGGACGATTTTTAGCAGATTATTCATAGCGAACAATACAAAACTAATTGTTTCAGTTCTGCTTTGGGGAGCGTGGTTTGGGTGTGACCCAAAAAGCAAAAAAAAAAAGGCTGGGTGATCGTATTTATATCAGATAATGTAGACTTCAAGCCAAAGTAAGTTTGTAAGGGGCCAGAGCAATAGTTGGGTGCCTGCCTTGTTTGTGGCTGACCCAGGTTTGATCTATGGCATCACATATGGCCACTAAGCTCCTCAGGAGCATTCTCTGAACTCAGAGGCAGGAATAAGCCCTGAGCTTATGGCCCAAAACCCACTCCCCAAAATATACTATGAGACACATGGTTATTTCTTGATGATCACATTATGTGTGTGTTATGTTATACATATATAACATGTTATATGTGTGTGTTATATACACATAAATATGTGTGTGTGTGTGTGTGTGTGTGTGTGTGTGTGTGTGTGTATATAAAGGAAGACCTGATACTCCTAAACATTTTTTCTTCCAGTGAGGGACCATCAAAATTTGAAAATAATTGCTAATAAACTTGCAAGAAGTTACTGACATCAACACAATAGTTGTTGGAGACTTTGGCACTGCTCTATCACCTTTAGATTAGACATAATATAAAGTTGCCCATCCTCAACACTTCAGTTCAGCAAGGAAGTCATTGCTATTGAAATTAGGCAAGAAAGAGATCTTAAGGACATCTAGATACGAAAAAAAGACATTAGATGGTATTTGCAGATGATGTGTTGCTGTACTTGAAAAACCCTTAAAACTTCATTTTTAAAAAGCTCCTAGAAACAACAGACATACGTAGTAAAAGTCGCAGGCTGCAAAATCAGTACACGGAAATCCATGGCTTTTCTATGTGCAAATAATGAAATTGAAGAGAAACTTGAGAAAACAGTGCTACTTAATTTGTGCCACAGAAAATCAAATACGTAGGAATCAGTTTAACAAATGTAGTAAAAGACTACACGAAGAAAACCGCTACTGCTAAAAGAAATGAAAGAAGATGTGAGGAGATGGAAATGTACGTGCCCTGTTCATGGATTGGAAGGATTAATACTGTCAGAGCGGCAGTCTTGCCTGGCTTCATAGAGGTTTGATGCACTCCATATAAAAATACCCTTGAGAGTTTTTAAAGAAACAGATCAAACATTACTGAAATTCATGTGGAGTAGTAACAAGTCTCAAAAAAGATGGAAACGATACTGGGCCTGCTTGAGCAAATCATTGAACAACAGGAGGACAGTGACAGAATAACCCCCCACCCTATCCCAAAGATGCCTAGGAATAAAGAAGATAGGAAGGAAACTTCCTATAGAAACTGTACTATAAAGTTGTAGTGATTCAAACAGCATGGTTCTGGAATTACCATGGGCTCTCAGCTCAGTGCAGTAGAATCATGATCATCATCCAGAACCTTAAAGGGAAGATAGTGTGACCTCTTCATTAAGAATGTTGTAACTTGGGAGATAGTTCAGAGGGCACATGGATTTTGATCCCCAGCACCACCCTCCTGGCATCACTGGGTGTGACCCTACTTGCCCCTAGCATTGTGTCCTTAAACTTGAGCACTACTGGGAAGCTCCCCCAGTATTTAGAGCATTGCTTTGCTTTACTGCCATTTGGTGAGGGGTATGCTGCGGAAGAACAGTGAAATGTTGGCAGAGTCTAACAGGATATTTTGCATCTTCCTGTAGCAAAGATTGTCTAGGGGGTTCTCTCCTCTCCTCCACTCCCTTCCTATAGTGAAGCTGGTTTTGTTTTTTTCCCTTTTCCTTTTTCCTCAGCTGTGTCTGTGTTTTTGCTTTTGTGCCACACCTGGTGATGCTCCAGGGTTACTCCTGACTCTGCACTGAGGAATTACCCCTGATGGGGTTCAGGGACCATATGGGATGTCTGGGATTGAACCCTGGTTGACTGCATGCAAGGCAAACGTCCTACCCGCTTTGCTATCACTCCAGGCCTATCTTAAAGCTCTTGGGTGGTTCTCTCCTCTTCTCGGCTCTCCTCTTGCACCCCATTCATCACCCCAGCATGCGCATGGAGCAGGTGCTCCACTGTCGAGATACACTACCACCATTCTTCTGAAGTATGGCTTTGAGATGCTGCATCAAGTCTAACCAACACTGATAATTAGCACTTTGTATGGTTTGTTGGTGGTAGTGTTTTTGTTTGGCCCATATCCATGCTCACAGGGGACCCTGTGGTGCTAAGGATTGAACACAGGGCACCTGTGTGCAAATCATTTGTTCAACCTGATGAGCTCTCCCTGCCACTCCTCCCTTTTTGTTGTTGCAATGCCAGGGATGGAACCTAGTCTTTATTAGTACAAGGGAAGTGTTCTACTGCTGAACCCCATCCCCAGCTCCTCCTCTCATCCCCGTTTTATATAGTCTGATAGATTATTTTAAGAACTCAGAAGGTTACTAATTTTTTGGTTTTTTCGCCCTCAAGTATGCTACTGTGGCAGCACCACCCGAGATGTACTGTGTGGAACAGACATAGGAAAATCTGATGGATTTGGTGACTTTGCCTGCTTAAAGATATGTGGCAAGTAAGATACATGCTTACTTAAAGATCTATGGCTACATAACGATATGTACTTATCTGTTAGAATAAAGCTGTATTTTATGCAGCAGTGATGTTAACACTCTACTTCTTTTCTTGACAGAGATTTGAAATGTGGGAGCCATACGTGTTCTCAAGTGTGCCATCCTCAGCCGTGCCAGCCATGCCCACGGCTTCCCCATTTGGTGCGCTATTGCCCTTGTGGACAAACTCCTCTCAGCCAGTTGCTGGAACGTGGAAGTAGTGGTCGGAAATCATGCATGGATCCTGTCCCTTCATGTGGAAAAGTGTGCGGCAAGCCTCTGTCTTGCGGGTCCTCAGGTAACTAAGAAACTTCAAGCTGCCTTTTAAATTCAGAATGCAAATTTTTGGCCATCTGACTTCTTGGGCAAAAGTGATATGAAACCCCAGTTAAAATATTTGAAGTTTTTCTTAATATTGTAGTCAGATTTATGTGGGTCCTTTTTCTTCTCAAAATGTGAAAATTTGAAAAAAAAAAATGTGAAAATTTGTATTTGCCCAAAGAATAATTTCTCCTTTTGGTTCAGGTATTTTTTGTCATTTCAGATCAGTGGTGCTGATGTAACCCATATCGTGAAGGGTTATGACTTGTTTCTGTTGTCTTTAGCTAGTCTGAACACTTAATATAATTGCCTTTTTAAAATCAAGATCCAGGGTTCAGCCAGTGGGTTTTCACATAAGAACATGTTAAGTAACTGTGACTAAGATGTTTAAGAACCAAAATTCTAAGTATTTTAGTCATTCAGGCAACTTAAATACCATTCTTTATAGCTGAATTTCTCACTACAGGATGGCAATTCCTCTGAAAAGGGGTACTTTTTCCTTGTTGACGGGTCATCATTTTCCTGAGCCTTGTAATGTTGAGTGTACCTCCAGGTGCAGGGATGCCCTTGGGGCATGATGAGGTTTCTCAGGCAAATTCCTCTTGATTCAGTTGTCAGTTTGTTGGGCTGGAGCAATAGTACAGTGGGTAGGGCTTTTGCCTTGCATGAGACCGACCCAGGTTCGATCCCTACCATCCCATATAGTCCTCCAAGCACCACAAGAGTAATTCCTGAGTGCAGAGCCAAGAGTAACCACGAGTAATCACTGGATGTGACTCAAAAAGCAAAAATAAACATAAACAGGTTGTTGAAACTTTTGGGGGGGCAGAGGTCACACCCAGTAATGCTCAGAGGTTACTCCTGGCTCTGCACTCAGGAATGATTCCAGGCAGTGCTCAGGGAATCATATGGGATACGGGGGATTGAACCCAGGTTGGCTGCGAGCAAGGCAAATGCCCTCTCCACTGTGCTGTCTCTCCAGCCCCCATTGTTAAAGCTTTTGTTTTTGTTTTGTGTTGTTTTCGGGCCACACCTGGCTGTGCTTGAGGGACTATATGAGATGTCAGGATCAAACCTGGTTAGCTCCGCACAAGGCAAGCCCCCTACCTGCCGTACTATCACTCCAGCTCCTCCTTACTCTTAAATTGAAGGTGCTCAGGGAGCTCCCTTCCTCCACGTAGGACCACCACGGACAGGAGGCACTAACCCAGTCACAACAGGCAAGTATTCAGGGATCTGTCATCTTTTATAGGGCAGAAACTCACTTCCTAGGGCAGAAGTTCTTGCTGAAAGATGCAAGCCAAAGAAAAACATTACTGTTATACACCCAATTGCACCCAAAGTCATGGCTGACACGTTTCCCAGGAAGAGACCGCTAATGAAAGAGACCTCCAGGGCTTCAGTTGTGACTCAGTGGTAAAATATCTGTCTTACACACATGAGGCCTGGACTCAGTCCCTAGCACAGGAAGAAGAGGCCTACCGTATGCCCCCCCAAAGAGTCGGCTTTAATTTGAAACTATGTGGGAAATTTCAGACTTAAGGACCTTTGAGAAAACAGTAGCTCTTCTTAATTAACCGCCACTAGCTAAACTTTCGACCCACTAATTCACCGGAGACTGCCAGCCTTGGAAGGCAGTAACCTAGAGGAACCCTCCCGGGATCGGGATCAGTGGGCTTGGTTACCCTGCCCACACCTCAGGCTCTGATTGCTGAGCAATTTATGCCAGAGGGTGTTGTTAAAAACAATAGAACAGTCAGCTAGCAATTAGGAAACCCTAAAGGCTATGCACTGCCAAATGAGACGACTGTTTAAGAGACTGAAGTGGAGAGTCCCTGTTATCCCAGGGATATACAAAAAAAAAAAAGAAAGAAATGGTTTTTAGACTAAAAATTACAAAATAAAGAGAGTGGGAGAAAGCACAGGCAAAAGCTTGCTATTTCCTGAGAGTTCCTGAGAGTCACCTATGCTAGATTCATCAAAAGACTTAATTATTATGAATATGTTGAAAAAACAAAAGAGAAATGATTAAGGAGATGAAGGAGGCAGAAACACTGTGTCTCATCAAAACTGGATACCTGTATGTAAAGAGATAGAAACTTAGAACCCAGTGGAGGGACTGAGGAGGTGGTTCAAAGGGCTGGAGCACATGCTTTGAATCTAGCTAGAAGCCCTGGGTTTGATCCCTGACACCATGGTCCCCTGAGCACCTCTGAGGGTGACCGCCCCTCCCCCCCACCCAACTCCACTGGGTATGGCAGAAAGCAGCAGTAGCATCAGTAAAGCTAAGTAGCTCATAGTATGTTATGATCAGCAACATCAGGTGAAATGGAATGGGGAAGATCACTATTAGGAGGGAAAGGACTAGTTTAAAGTCCTTTTTTCCAAGGAGATAATTTAAAGGACTACAGTGCTTGCTTTGCATATTTAAGTCCCAGGTCAACCCTCACCACTGCATGGCTCTCTGAGCACAGGGCTAAAAGCAGCCCCCAAGCCTCTGTAGGTGTGACCTAAAAAGCAGATTAGTAAGGATCAATTAATGGAAACTATAGAAATAATTCATAGTCATTGTCACTGTCCTGTTGTTCATCAATTTGCTGGAGTGGGCCCAGTAACGTCTCCATTGCGAGACTTGTTGTTACTGTGTTTGTCATATTGAATGTCATGGGTAGCTTGCCAGGCCTTGCTGTGCGGGTGAGATACTCTCAGTAGCTTGCTGGGCTCTCCGAGAGGGTCGGAGAAGTTGAACCCGGCTCGGCCGGGCCGGCTGCGTGCAAGGCAAACGTTGAAGATACATCTCTAATCTTTAATCATTTACAAAAGATGAGTAATTAATGGGAGTATTGAGATGAGAAAAGAACAGAAAATACTAAAAATAAAAATTGAAAATTTTTTAGTTACTGAAAAATACATTCAAGACGCTACAAGAAAATCTAGTGAAATAAATTCAAAGAAATTTATAGTCACCTCCGGGTGTGACTCAAAAAGCAAAAAAAGAAATTAAATTAAAAAAATAAAAACAATATGTACATGCTTACATTGTTAGGCCTTTTGCATGTCAAAGTACACCTAATGGGCTGGAGCAATAGCACAACAGGTAGGGCGTTTTCCTTGCATGTGTCCAACCTGGGTTTGATTTGTCCCATACAGTCCCCTGAGCACCGCCAGGAGTAATTCCTGAGTGCAGAGCCAGGAGCAACCCCTGTGCATCGCTGGGTGTGACCCAAAAAGCAAAAAAAAAAAAAGAAGAAAAGAAAAGAAATATACCTGACAGTAGTAGCACAAAGGAACTGAGTTAGGAAATGACACTGTGGTAATTCAGATTTTGCAGGAACAAATAAAGAAAACTAGAAATGGTAAATAAGATATACACAATGCTATAAATATATGCTAGTTATTTACTGAGCTTTAATGGAGATTATATAAATGTAGAATTATTTTAATGTATTTTGCTGGGTTTATAACATGGATCTAATTGTATATAGCATACAGAAGAATACACACACACTCTTAAGTCTTCTATATCTCACTAGAATTGGGTCAATATAAATCTTTAATAGAGGGGCCAGAGAGATAGTATAGGTGTTAAGGCACTTGCTTTGCATCCCACCAATCATGGTTCCATTCCAGCACCATATATGGTCCTCAGAGATACCACCATGAGATACTCCTGAGCACAGAGTCAGGAATAGCTCCTGATTACTAAATAGAATCTGAAAAATTCTGATTGTAAGACCTAGCTAGAATAATCAGGAAATTTACTTTAAAAAATAAATAAAATGGTAAAAAAAAAAAAGCCAAAAAACAGCATTTAAAAGGGGTTGGAGTATAGTAAATTGGATGGGATGCTTGCCTTGCACGTGGCCAGGTCAGGTTCAATTCCAGCAATCCATATAGGTCCCTCTGGCTCTACCAGGAGTAATCCCTGAGCACTGCTGAGTGACCCAGAAACCAAAAAGAAAGGGGTGGGGAGAGTAGTTAAATCAGGAAATATTTGCTAGGAAAGACATCGAAAAAGGGGAAATAAATAAAAAATACAGATATGATATACTGAAAACTAAAAATAAGTGGAGGATGGAATCCCATTATGCCAGTGTATAATAATGTTATTGTCAAAAGATTAAATGTTCGATAATCACAGGTTGTCAGACTAAATTTTTGAAAGCATTAACAGAAGACCAGGGAGATAATTGAAAGTGTTGGAGCACATGTTTTGCATGCAGGAGCCCTGGTTCATCTCCAGCACTACTTGATCTCCCAAGCACACTGCTGGGAATAGCCCCCAGTACTTGAGTGTAGCCAAACAAATAAAACAAGCAAGCACCACTACATGTGATTTTCAGGAACCAGACTGTAGAACTACAGATACAATTAAGCTGAAAACAGAAGGATGGGGGAAATGCCGTCCTATCAACAGCTGTCATAGAAAGAGACTGAGGGCTGGAGTGGTAGGATAGTGAGTAGGGCGCTTCCTTGCCCACGGCCAACTTGGTGATCCCCAGCACTCCGTATGTTCCCCCAAGCCCTGCCAGAGTAATTTTCTTTCTTTCTTTCTTTCTTTCTTTCTTTCTTTCTTTCTTTCTTTCTTTCTTTCTTTCCTAATAATTTTTTTCTCAATTTCCTCCCCACCAGGAGTAATTTCTTTCTTCTTTTTAATTTTTTTTTAAATTTCCCTCTTACACTTTATTATAAACACTGGCTTACAAAGTTGTTCATGATGATTTGTTACAGGCATTCAATATTCCAACACCAGTCCCACCACCTTTACACTTTATCTCCACCATTTTCTCCAATTTTCCCAACCACCCCTTAAGCCTGCCCCCATAGAATACCCTCAATTATTTAATTAATATTGCTTGTTATCAATAATTTGCTAAGGGAATGATCAAAAAATTTTTTCCTTTGAAAATAGTGAAGATTGTTGTGTCTCACTTTGCAGACTTTAAGTCTTTGTATATGAGATTATTAAGATGTTGTTACAGCTTAAGCCTTCTGTGTTTATTTTTGTTAATATAAAGATTTGTTGCCTTCTCCATTATATCCCATACAATCTGGTGTGGTTCTCCTGGTTTATCAGTGTTGTAGAGTTGGGGATGTCACACAGCCACAAATTCGGCCATGAAGTGCAGAATTTTTAATGGGGTCATGCAACTGGAGTTAAATTTTTAACTGGGGTGTACATTACTGCTAGGGCTCTGGAAGTACAGGGAGATGGGAGAGGTAGCCCATCCCAACTTCCATGAAAACCTGGAGATGTCAGTCACGAAACCAGCATACCTGAGCTTGTCAGCAGATTAGTTTCTGGATGAAGCTCGTCCTGAGCATTGGGGTCCAGCCGGAAGAATGGCAGCAGTTGTGGAGTGTGGAAGTTACAGCTGTCGGGCCTCCTTTGGGCGGGCCCTAGGCTGACCTGCCTACCAGGAATAATTTCTAAGTGTAGAGCCAGAAGTAAGGCCTGAGCACTGCTGGGTATAGTCCAGAAACCAAAGCAAAATAGGAAAAGAAACTGAGTGATTGATCACTGAGGAAAGCTTTAAAGCAGAACTTGTGATGCGGAGACAGCTCAGTAGTCAAGGACGCTTAACTCCCCAAATGGGATACTCAACACCACACAGCCCCTGACCACCATTTGGGGTAGTCCTGTTGGCCCCCAGCACAACAGGGCCCAAGCAAAACCATATTAGTGGGTTCTGGCATTGAACCCTCTGGCCTGGTTGGCTGAGTATCACCAGAAATGACCCTTAGGTCTCCTCTTTTACTGCTTGGGAGGCCAGAAAAGGGAAAGGAAAAAACAAAAATAAGACTTGTTCTAAACTTAGAGTTGGAGAATGAATGGCTGGCCTCCAGACATTCAAAGCACTTGAGTCAGTGAGATTACACATCGGAGTTTCTAATGTTTATAATTGGATGATTTTAACACTTCACTATGGTCATTTTTGGCTACAAGGTTTTGTTTGTTTATTTGTTGGGAGTGGGGCGGGGGGGGCGGGTGGTTTGCACCACATCAGCAGTGCTCAGGGCTCACCTCTGACACTGCCATCACTCCTGGTGGGCTCAGGGAGACTTGGGACCAAAATAAAGTCACTGGATCTGTTATTTGACAAAGTAGCATAGACTCCAGAACACATCTCAGTAACTCACACAGGGCCCTGTTCTTGCAGAAAGGACCTGGCCTACAGCTGGGGAAACAGGGACAGGTAGTAATGACAGCATTCTTACCTCGCCCTGATTCTGGAAGTCTCAGGGAGTAGAGGTGGAGACCAGTGAAACTGGTACATTTGGAGTTTGAAAATGTTTGGTTGCAATGTTCATTCCCATCTCTTTTCATTTTTGCTCAAGATTTCATTCATACCTGTGAAAAGGTCTGCCATGAAGGAGAATGTGGACCATGCTCTCGCACATCAGTTATTTCCTGCAGATGCTCTTTCAGAACAAAGGTAAATCTTAAGCAATGCCGGGGTTGTTGATACCAGAGCCTTGTACATTGATGATTATGGGACAGTGAGAATCCACACAAGCAGTCACAAGCAGTGTTATTTCTATCACTGTGTAATTGATTCTTCCAGCCAGTATGGGGGGGGGGGGGTGGGGGGGCGGGGAAGGGAGGATTTGGGGCAAGGCTCTGACTGATTCTCAGGGATGAGAGGCAAGTAACAGACAAGGCCATGTACAAATGACCCCACCAGTTGTGATTATGCTAGATCCTGGAAAAGAAAGGCACTGTTGGGAGAAGTTAGAGGAAACGGTTCCCAAGGTGACCTCACTTCTGAGATACACTGCAAGAATTTAGACCAGAGATTGCCCCCTTTTCAGGAAAAAAATTACTTAGTGCCCCCCACCCCTTGAAATCTGCTTTTTGTAAGCAAGCAAATAGCAACCTTCAGTTGCACTGGAGGCTACTACTTCCCCCGCCCTTATTATCATTTTAGTGCCCCTCCCCACCCCCCAGCAGGGTGATATTCCCCCACTTTGAGAAAAACTGGTTCAGACAGTTACTGAACTAGAGCAGTTCACATGGTTGCCCTCACTGCCAGTCTAAAAGTCCCAGAGACCACCCTTAGATTCGCTAGAAATTCTAGACTCATCTCGTTAAAAGTACTTATATTCATGGCCAGGTTTATTACAGCAGAAGAATTCAGATTAAAATCAGTCATAGAAGCATGTAATGCAGAGTTCAAGAAAATTCCAGATGGGAAGCTTCCAGTTGTTCTCTCCTCAGGGAGTTGTTATACAGCATTACTTTCTTTAGCTTCACTGTGTGACCAAATGCTTGTAGTATCGCTGACAAATGGGAGGGAAAGTAACCAAGCCAGGGTGGTCAGTATTTACTGGGGCTCTGTGGTACAGGCATAGTTACTGCCCATGTAGCTGATCGCAGTTTCCAGTTGCTATGGAGGTTTGCTATTACTATGGGACTCAAAACCCCCCACCCTAAATGATGGCATAGATCTTTTCTTGTGGCCAGTGTCCACCCTAAGAGTATCCTATGTGGCCAGCCTTGTATCCTCAGTCATAACAGATCACCTGGTGACTGAAAGCCTTGGGCAAACAAAGGCCCCATGCTCAGGCTGGATATTCTAACTTCATAGAAGCTGATCGTAAAGGTCATACTTCTTTTTGGGTAATTCCTCAAAACAAAACTGATGTCTGCTTTCTGCCCAGGACAGGCTTTTTTGTTTGTTGTCCATAGTTTAGAACCCAGGCCTGGCATATGCAAGGCAAGTGCTGTGCGGATGAGCTACAACTTTCACCCCAATTTATTAGATTTGTTTAATGAAAGGGTTCTCTTTCTAAAAAAAAAGACATACAGTATTAGTGGTGACTCAAAAATAATCTGAATAGAAAAGTTCAGATTGAGGCCAGGGATATAGTTGGTGGTAGAGCATTTGCCTTGTATGTGTGTGTGAAGCCTTGAATTAGTTTGATTTCCCTGGCACCACAAAAGTAGTAATAATGATAATGATAAAAGGATAAGGGGCCGGAGCGATAGTACAGCAGGTAGGCTGTTTGCCTTATACCCAGCCGACCCCAGTTCAATCCCCAGCATCCCACATGGTCCCCTTGCACCACCGGGAGTAATTCTTGACTGCAGAGCCAGGAGTAACTCTTGAGCATCGTTGCGTGTGACCCAAAAAGTAAAAGTAATAATAATAAAAGGATAAAAGGGAAATCTTGGCCATTTTTCAAGTCTATATTCAGAAGAACCAAGAATCCTTTCTTTGTAAGTATTTAGGTGCTTCGACTTGTAGAACTTAGTGAATATTGATCAGTTCTCTCTGACTCACTCTGGTCATTTCTAAGAACATCAGCCCCTGTATTGGTTGATGCACATCTCAGGCAGAGTTCCAAACACTGGAGTCAGTTGTTTCAGTTATTCACTACAGCCCAAAGTCTGGGTAGCAGTCAACTTGCAAATGATTCTAAAGATACCATTCTTAAGTTGAGAGCTAGACTAATAAGATAAACATCAGAATAAGTGGGAAAACTTTTAAGATTGTGTTTTTGTTTTTATTTTTTTTAAATCCCTAGAATACATGGTGTGGGGCCAGTAGAGACATTTTTGCAAATAGAAGTTTTTTCCCTTTCTTTCTTTCTTTCTTTCTTTCTTTCTTTTTTTGTTCTTTTTCAAATAGAAGTCTTATCCTATAATTGTCAGGGGAGCTTACTGTTACTATGAGTTCCATTGAGCCCTTTTTTGACAAAATTTAAAATGTCTTCAAAATGCTGGTTAATCATCAGCTCATTGTTCAGCTGAATTTTTCAAGGCATCCCTTTGTGATGAAATATGCTTTTCAAGCTAAATAAACCATTTCTTTTTTAAAGCTTTTTAAAGGTTGGTGAAAGTCTTTGAGAAATCTGTGCTTTATCTTAATCTTTTTTGTTGTTGGAGCTTTTAGGCCATTCCCAGCATTGCTTAGGGGTTACTCCTAGTAGGCTCAGGGGACCTAACGGAGTGCCAGGGATCAGATCCAGATCAGCTACATGCAAGGCAAGCTCTATCTCTGGCCCCAGCTCTATCTTACTCTTAATAAAGACTATTATACTTACGATATATTGGTAATTAATTTCTATTCCTAGGGATTTATGGGGCCTGGAACGATAGCACAGCAGGTAGGGCGTTTGCTTTGCACGTGGCCGGCCAACCCGAGTTCGATTAATCTTCCCCTGTTGGAGAGCCCAACAAGCTACCGAGAGTATCTCGCCCGCACAGCAAAGCCTGGCAAGCTACCCGTGACATATTTGATATGACAAACACAGTAATAAGAAGTCTTAACACTGGAGACGTTACTGGGCCTGCTCGAGCAAATCGATGAACAACGGGAAGACAGTGACAGGGATTTATGGAGCTCTGCCTTTCCCTGAAATCCTAGATACCACTGCAGCCTATCATTTTTTCCCTACAATCCCATCTGTCCCAGCTGGAGAACTCATTTAATTTCTGGAGTCACTCTTGTTTTTTATCTTTACAGAGAAGTCTCTGTAGAATATTTAGGGGACTCTCATATCCTCAAACTTAGCCAACTCATGAATTTATCTCAAGCATCCTTCTAACCATGAAGCTTCAAGCTTTCAGATCCCTTTACTTCTATTATTGAGTCTAGTTTCTGTCCCTTTATTTCAAGGTTATTTTCACTAAGCTGGACTGTTCTTAACTCCTTTGCTAGTGTCTGGATACCCAACAATCTATGACAGCAAAGCCAGGTTCAGATGTAGGTGTTGGATAGCTACTATCCTGCACATGGCTGACTTGCTAACATTACTCAGGGTCTGCCCTCAGCAGTTATGTGGAATAGACCCTTCAGGCCATTTTGACATTATTGAAACTCCCTAAGGAAACTTTGAATGTCAGAGGAGTCTTCAGTGAAAACTGTTCTGAGGGCTCCTAGTATGTAGGGCTATTTGCTCTTCATTATGAAGTGGCACCTGATTTCCATGGGGCGGGGCGGTGTATACACTTAAACTTTCTGTGACTTTTTTTTCTCTACCCTTACTAGGCTATTATTTCTCTTTCCTTTGCAAATCAGCCTCTTCACATTCAGATTTTATAATTCCTAATCTGCTGGGTTTGGAGACCATACCATAAGGATTATATCATTGAATTTTTACAAAATGTCAGTTTGCCTGAGGCTTATTGTGAGCAAAACATATTAATATAGTGACTCAGGTAACCCAGACTGATGAATAAGAAATAAGTAAGCAGTACAGAAAGTTTGGAATATACTTGTAACATTTTTGCATTGTACAATGGTTGTGTTGTCTGATTTATTCCCAAATGACTGTTTCTTTTTCATTTTCCACAGGAACTTCCATGTACCAGTCTCAAAAGTGAAGGTATGACTGGGAAGGGGCTGTGAGGAATTTCAGATATGAATGTTGCGTATCTTGAATATGCGTTTAGGTTATTTTTCAAACCTTAAGATTTATGTATTTCATTGGATGCAGCTTTTACTTCAGAAGAATCTTAAATTTGAATGCTAGTTAACAAAGTGCTAGAAAACCTAGCAGAACTCTACTCAATGTTTGCTGCTAAATGCTTAAGATCTTTCATGGTAGAATGTTGATGGGGTAAGTGAAAGCAGAATACATCTTCTGAAACAAGCTTCTGTACAAACTGATCTGGTGTTGATCCTCTGAAGATTTGTTAGGGTATTGGAGAACTGAACTAATGCAGCCGGCAGCCTGTTTTGGTTTTTTTTTTCTTCTTCTTTTTTGGGTCTCACCTGGCGATGCACAGGGGTTACTCCAGGCTCATGCACTCAGGAATTATTCCTGGCGGTGCTCATGGGACCATATGGGATGCTGGGAATCAAACCTGGGTCGGTCGTGTGCAAGGCAAACACCCTACCCGCTATACTATCGCTCCAGCCCCGACAGCCTGCTTTAACCCCAAAACCTAGAATATTGTTTCTTTACTCATCCTTATCTCACTTTATTATTTTTCTTTCTTTGTTTTGTGCTCATCATTAAGTCTTTTGTTGAATCCATTTAAATCACCTTTTGGGGAAGTGAATGGCAGCGTTTACCCAACTCTTGTTGGGTCAGGAAGAGAGTTGTTTTGCTTAGGATACCTGTGACTCCAGTTTTGGGAAAACTGAAGGAACAGTTTACTAAACACCAAAGGGCTTGCACTCCCTTGCACAAGAGGGATTCCTGAGGTAGAACCAGGCAGGGTTGGATAACCCCACGCTTGGTAATTACAAATTAGCAGTTCAACTTCACAATGATGTTCCCAGTTTTCCCTCAGGGGCCAGCTACAAGGACTCTTGACCCAGCAACAACTAAAGGAAAAACAGGGAGACTAAACCTTCTCTTCCTTGTGAAGAGGAAGGATAAGGCAGTGCTGAAAGGCTTTCTCCTTCCGCCTGCAGCATGTGCCCCTGCCCAGAGCCTTCCCTCACAGGGTGGGTGACAGTAGGGGGTGGACTCGGCAGCTTCCAACTGAGCGTGAGTTTCTGAGCACAGTGAAGGCCTGAAACAGGTGTGAAGTGCCTTATTGGGTGGGGGGTGGGGGGGGCGCATGGGAGGGGGTGCGAAGTATCTACCTCCAAACTAAACTTTGGATTATTGAAAACCTGAGAGGTAGTAGCACAGGGTGGTTGCTCTGCACATGGCCAAGCCAGGTTTGATCCCTAGCATCCCATGTGGTCGCCTGAGCACCGCCAGGAGTAATTCCTGAGCAGAGAGCCAGGAATAATCCGAGTATTGCCAGGCGTGGCCAAAACAAAATAAATAGATGAAAATTCAGTTTGATTTTTGGGGCCGAGCGTGTAGCTTCAAGTTCCTGGGGCCTATCCCTGGCACTGCCTGTTCCTCCACACAATTAAAAGTAAATAGAATATCATTTAAGAGCTGGGAATAGCACTCAGTGGTAGAGTATTTGCCTTGTATGTGGTCTTGAGTTCACTGGGGCTCGCCAGAAACAAATTTTAATTCAAAAAGATGTTTATAACATTATTACTACTTTTTTTTTTTTTCAGTACCACCTGTGATCGAATCCAGGACCTTGTACACGTTAGGCACATACTCTGCTACTGAGCCATATCCCTATCTGCAACTTTAATGTAATTTTACAATAAATAGAACAATAGAAAGCAAAGCTACAGCCTTAGCCTACTCTTCTCTCCTTATTCCACTCCCCTGACTTACCATCAGTAGTTTGTATGATTCTATATCTTTCTATGTACATTATATATCTATTCTATATACATTCCACCATTTTTTTCTTTTTTGTAGTTTAAAGCCAAACTAAGTTGGTAAGAAGGGATATCATTGTAGTTTCTATTTTTAGCCCCCTAATTGCTAATGATGTATAGCAAGTTTTTATTAAAGTCCTTTGCTCTTTTATTGCAGGAGTGGGGAGGTCACACCTGGTAGGGTGGGGTCTACTCCCATCTTGGTGCTCAGCAGCTGCTCACTGAAGTGCTCAGGGACCATATAGTGACAGAGGTTAAACCAGAGGTCAGCCCCATGCAGGGAAAGTGCCTTTGCTCCTTTGTCCATGCTTAGAATCAGATTGTTTCTCTTTGGGATGGGAGTGTGGGGGACTCAAGGAGCCAATGGGCCACTCCCAGCAGTGCTTGGTTCGTGCTGATCAGGACCCGGACCAGCAGGGGTGCTCAGGGGTCCCTGCAATGCCGGGTATGGATTTGGAGGCAGGCGAGAATTCTTCCCCTGAACCACCTATGCATCTGTAGAATTTGGGGGATCTCTATTTCAGCCCTCTGCACTCTCTTCCCCGACTGCTTTTCTCTTCATTGTTAAGTTTTAGAAGGAAGAAATACTCTATGTACTGGGGGGTCCTGGACCTTCAGAGAAATCAGATTTATGCTTATTTTTCCCTGTCGGTCTTTTCACCTTTCTTGATGGTATCCCGTGACGCACAGAAGCTTTAATCACAGCAGGTCCCGTTTAGGGTTTATGTTTTGCTTCCTTGTGCCTTCAGCAACTGGGCCATTTTTTAGTCTGTTCAAAAGGACTGCTTAAAGTGAAGTTTCCACCAAAAGTTGTACTCCCACCCACAAGGTGTGAGAGAACTTTTTCCTCCCTCGCCCATGCCATATGTTAGCCAATTTTTTTCTCTCCGTTTCCTATTTTCAATGGTTTGACCAGTGAAAAGTCATAGTATACATTTTTGTCATCACTGCTTACATTATTATATTTGTATTTCTTCAACCTATAGCTACTCAAGTATTTTTTATTTTGTACAAATGTTCATAGCCTTTGCCTTTTTTTTTTCCCTCTTGTTTAATTGGCCTTGGCAGATGCTACATTTATGTGTGACAAGCGCTGTAACAAGAAGCGGTTGTGTGGACGGCATAAATGTAATGAGATCTGCTGTGTGGTAAGTGTCGCTGTCAGATTGTATTCATCCAGGCTGGCAAAAGCCACTGTCGGGAGGGCTGGCCGGATTCCAAAATCACTGGGCGGGACCATGGGGCTGGCAGCTGGGAAGAAGAGGATGACAGGCCTGAAACCTCAGGGGATTGTGTGCTGGCACCAGGGTGTGTGTATGTGTGTGGAGAGAAAGGAGAGAAAGAAGAGGTTGCTCAGGTGAAATCAGTACTTTGTGTTTTATGTAGCAGGAGGTATGGGTGGGGGGGGCGGTCAGGGGGTTAGTGGAGGGAGAGGGAGAGAGAAAAGAAAGAAAGGCTCCGGTGGCCGCTCCCAGAGGTGCTCGAGTGAAGCCAGTGCTCTGTGTTTGTTTTCGTGGTAGTTTTCTGGCAGAGATGGAACACAAGGTGTCCACCATGCGGGGCGTGTGCTCTCCACTGGAGCCCTGAGCCCGGGCCCTGTGGTTCCTGAAATGTCGGTCTTGAAGGCTCGGGGCAGCTCCGTGTAGAGCAGCTGTCCTGTACCTGTCCGGTCCTTGTTCGCTCCCCAGTGCCACACACACAGCCAGGCCCTGGCATCAAACAGTCTGGGCCGTGAATTGCTGTGGTGACCCCTGTAGCCCCGAGCACTATTTGGGAGGCCTCTGCCAAGAAAAGAGTAGTTGACAACGTGAATATTGACAAGATTGTCCAGTGTGTCAAGACTTCTAGACAGTAACTGAGGACGTCAAGACTTCATCTTACGATTGAACTCTTCAAATCTGTGTGCTTTCCCAGCTGACCTTGTCTCAGCTACATCACCACCTACTCTGACTTTTTTAGGGGGATGTAGGCATACCTGCTCAAGATTTATGTGCTCAGGAATCACTTCCTAGCAGGACTCAGGGGACCATATATGGTCCGGGGATGAACCCGGATCAGCTATGTGCATGACAGATGCCCTACCTACTGATCTCCCGCTCTCTCTGGCCAATTCCTGGAAAAGCTAATCTAGTCCTCACTTTACCTGTGATCATGGAGAGATTGTTTTTTCATCTTGCGGTTATAGGAAATAAAAATGGGGATAATGTAAACTGATACATACCTCTCTTCCTAGGATAAGGAGCACAAGTGTCCTTTGATTTGTGGGAGGAAACTTCGTTGTGGCCTTCATCGATGCGAAGAGCCTTGTCACCGTGGGAACTGCCAGACCTGCTGGCAAGCCAGTGAGTGTCTCCACTGAACAGGATAGTAAAGAATACTGTGCATGCGTGTGCAAGAGACACTGTAGAAAGCGCTTGTGATCAATTCAGACATAATGTATTTTGAGAGATCAATTTGCTGAGATTGGTATGGATTACTGACCTGGGAGGGAGGGGAATGGGGCAGGGGGGTCGCTCCTGGGAATGCTTGGGAGGACCCTGCCACGCTGGGGATCAGAACAGGCCTCCCAGATGCAAAGCATGCGCTCAGCCTTTAAGCTGCTTCTCCAGCCCATAATGAACATTACAAGCACAGCACCATCATCCCTTGAACATATGCAGTGACGTATTAGCAGCCATCTCTGGTTCATTAATGAATTTAACTACCTGCTTCTTGAATATGCTTGACAAAGAGTCCGTCCTTGGCAGCTTTCTCATATCTGAGCAGAATTTGCAAATTCTTTGGTCTTAACTCATGCATTTTCTCCTTTCTTAATCAAGAGACTATCCGTTAGCCTGGCTATTTGTATTTACTGTGTGGTCAGTGTTAATAGGCCAATGGCTAACCTTAGTAGAAATCAAGTTAAAGAAGTCTTTATCAAAGGCACAATACACTCAGAGATATAGCCTTCGTCTTCTCAAAATCTTCTGTGGAATCATAATTTCTGAGGCAATCTGTGTATCCCTTCTGCTTTTGTTTTGCCTCAGCAAACTTAGAGAAAGCAGCACCCCGAGAACATAATGAATAGGATGCAGTTTGTTGAAGTTTCGTAAAAGGACTGGAGGCCATGGTAGTTACTATCTTTGATAGCTCAGTCCCAGTATTCTTCTAGGTTGACATTCTTGAAAATCATCAAAGACCCCCCCCCCCCCCCAAAAGAATCCTCATGTAAGTTGTAGCTGTAATAGTTTCCTTGTTAGGAATTAAAACAAGATCAGCAATTTGCTGATCCTTTTTTTTTGGGGGGGGGGGGGGGGCGTTGGGCCACATCTGGTGTTGCGCAGGGCTTACTCCTTGTTCTGTACTCAGGAATTGCTCCTGTTGGGCTTGAGGGACCGGATGGGATGCAGGGTATAGAACCCAGGTCATCCATGTACAAGGCAAACACCTTACCCTTATACTATCGCTCTAGCCCGATCCATTTTTATAAAAATAGTAATATGCCCAAGACATGTAAACATGCATAGCAGTACTTTGATAACTCTTTCGGTAATTCTTCCATTTCTTTTTTGGTAGTTTTTGACCACACCCAGCTGTGCTAAAGGCATAATCCTAACTTTGTGCTCAGCGGTCAACTTCCTGGTGATCCTGGTTAATTATTTTCAAAAATTTGAGTGAGAAGAATAGATACCCGAAGACAGTTGGATTCTCAGATCTGCCTCTCTTCAATCTGTTGCCATATACTTACCACATGTGATAAAAATCTGGCCACATGGGATAACTAGCTGAAAGAAGGAACAATACATTTAACACTTCTCCATGAATTCTGGGGTAGTCAGGGGCATAGTGTCTGCCTTCCTTGTCACCTAGGACTGGGAGTCCACCAGTGCCCGCACCATACTAATGTGCAGTGCAGCCCAGCAAGAGCAGTGGCTCGGTGCATATAGCCCCAGTCATCACTGACGGCAAAGGGAAGAGAAGGAGACATTCAGATAATTGTGGACTTGAGAGGCCACACTCGGTCGTACTTGGGGCTTATTCCTCGCTCTGTGCTCAGTGATCACTCCTGGTGGGCTTATGTCGTGCCAGGGATTGAACCAAGTTCGCTGCATGCAAGGCAAGTGCCTTACCCACTGTACTATTGCTCTGGCCCTAATTGTGGATTTTCTTCAGATTTTTTTCTGGGGTGGCGAGTGGTCACGCACAGGCCGGGTTGTGGTGCTTGTTCTTGTGCTTGCCAGGGATCACACTCCTTAGTTCTGGTGTTCACACCTGTTGTGGTTTCAGGACTGCCAGCATTTGCACTTTCTGCCCATGGGACTCTGCACATTTATAGTTGTGGCACTCGCCAGGATCTCACGCCCTGAGATGTGAGGTTTACATGCCAGAGTGCAGTGTGTCCAGAAGTCATTTGTGGTGCCAGAGATCACAGACTTCAGAGCTGCCAGATCCCACAGCTGAGATGGTTTCCTGGACACGCAGTGACACTGGGCTTGGTCTCTGGCCTTCTGTTCACACTGTGCACCGTCTAATCCGACCCCAGAGACATTTCCCAGGCCTTTTTAGTTCAAACTCAACCTTATTTATAAAAGGACTTGAGTTGATGTTGTTGTTTTTGTTTCTTGTTTTCTGTCATGTTAAAAATGATTCATTTCTCTTATGCATACGCATGTGCATGATTTTGCGTGTGTGTGCGAGTGTGTGTGTGCGTGTGTGTGTGCGTGCGTGTGTGCATGTGTTTACGCACGTACGTACGTATGCGTTATGTGTATGTATGCTGGGGATCGAATCCAGGGCTTCAGGCGTGCACGGCAAGTCTATACTAGCAAACTATACCAAGACTTCCTTGTACTTTAAATGAATCTTTTTAGCAGTGCATGATTTTTATAATATAATAACATTGACACCTTTTGGAAAAGACTTCTTCATTGGGTTGTGCAGATTTTTGAAATGTTGATAAGGCCAACTCTTGAGAGTGGGTTGTTATAACTGTCCTGTGTTAGCCCTTGGTTTGATTGAGTATGTGAACCATCCCCACAGAATGCAGAGCTCTCTGTGTGTTTCGTTTCACTTGAATATTTCTAACATAATAGATACTGATTTATAAGAATTTTCTTTCTCTTGTTGTTCTGTTTTGTTTTTTTGGGCCACACCTGGTGATGCTCCGGGCTTACTCCTGGCTCTGCATTGAGGAGTTATTCCTGGGGCAGGGCTTGGGGTACGCCCTATAAGACTCAATTCAGCCACATGCAAGGCAAGTGCTCTACCTGTTAAACTATCACACTGACCTCATGTAAGAATTTTCTTGAATGACTTCAGTGGCTCTAATGGCTTTTATTCCAGTGCATATCTTTGTGTGTGTGTTCATTATCTGAGGCTTATCATCTCTTTCCTTTGTCTTAACCAGATTTTTTTTAAGCCGTAACAGCAGAACAGGCTGAAGAGACAGTGAATAGGCTCCTGGGTTGTGTGTGGCCAACCAAGGTTCAATCCCCAGCACTACGTATGGAATGATCCCTGAGCACAGAGATCCCCTCACCACCACTAGGTGTGGCCCAAAAAATCTAAAATTTTGTTTCGAGACTGGAGAGATAGTACAGTGGGCAGGACGCTTGCTTGCCTTATGCATAGCCGACCTAAATTCAGGTCCAGGAACACATAGGGTGCCCCCAGCTCCACCAGAAGTGATCCCTGAGCGCAGGGCCAGAAGTAGACCCAAGCACAACTGAGTGTAGCCCCAAAACAGATTAAATAGAAAGCTGTATCTGAGGGGCGGAGTGTATCTCAGCAGCAGAGCACTTGCCTTGCTTATGTGAGGCCCTAGGTTCCATCCCTAGAACTGCAAAAACACTTGTGCACCCACATGTGTGCATGTGCACATGCGTGTGCACACGCACACACATGCATGCACATACACTAGCTTGATCTCTAGCAAAGCTCTTATTGTTCTCTTAGATCTCTAAGAGTATCTTGGATGACTCATGGACTTAGTATCTGTCACAGCAGTGAAAACATTGCACATCTGTTTGCTCCTGTCACCAGCTCAACTTTAATGAAATTAAGTATGCACCCTCCATCCCAAATTCTCCTCTAGAAATACAAGCCAAAAAATTACCCACAAAAAGAAAAGAAAATCAAGCGCTAAACGTCCCCAACTCACAGGGTTGTTTTGTTTCCCGCACCGCTCTACCAGGTTTTGATGAATTAACCTGCCACTGTGGCGCGTCAGTGATCTACCCGCCAGTTCCCTGTGGCACCAGGCCCCCTGAATGTACCCAGACCTGCGCCCGAGTCCATGAGTGTGACCATCCAGGTGGGTCCCATCTCCTGTCTCCCCACGTCCCCGCTGCTCACCCCAGCATTGAGGCTGCCGCCCCTGCTGGACGTCAGTGCTCTGAGCTCCCAGCCCAGGCCCAGGGACTGCTCTGTGACAGCGGGTGTCCCTGGGAGTGTCCCCCCTGCCTCACTCTTGGGGCTAGGCACTTGCCCACAGGCCCGAAAGGCCCAGCCGGGCCCGTCTTCCAGGGACAGCTCTTTCTCAGTGGCCTCCACTTTGGATGCTGGTTTCAATGGTGAGCAACATTTTTCACAAAATCAAAAGTAGTGAGGGTTTTTGTCATTATCAAAGCAATATATACTTAAATAAAAAGAAACCGGAAAGGAAGTTAGCAGATAGGCATTAAATCACATCATCCAAGAATTACTCCTTAATCTTTATTTGTTAGCGCCTTTTCCCAGGGGCAACAATCAGTATTTGCCCTTTTCACTCCTCCTGAATTTATTGTTTCATTATACTTTATTTTGTGTGCATATGTGTGTGTAGTAGCAGTCAGGCATAGGACTTCACACCAGCCAGGCAAAGTGCTCTGTTGCTGAACTACATCCTCTGCCCAGAATTTATCCATTTTTAACTAGCTATTTTCCCCTCATCTTGGGATAATTTTAATCTCTGCTTACCAGTGAGTATTTTCTTACAATACAGATTTTGTTTCGGAGTCATACCCAGTGATTCCTGGCTCTGTGCTCAGGAGTCAGTCCTGACCATGCTCGGGGTGTGGTACCTGGATGGTACCGGGGATTTGAACCAGGGTCATGGGCTGTTCCAGACACATGTGGAGTTTTTAAGACAGTGGAGTGTTTTTTGTTACATAACATGGACTATAACATTTCCCTATATTTGTTTTCGGTTTTTCACTGATGGGCTGATGTAGGCAGTAGGCCAACACCAAGTCTGGCCGTGTAATTCAGACTAACATAGACAACAAAATTTTAATTGTTAAGGTTAATAGAGTAAAATAGAATTGAGTGGATTCATCAGAAAGTGAAAGCCCTTCCCCTTCCTGGGTACCCTTTGATGGTCTCGTGGCTGTCTGCAGGCCTTGCTGCACTGGGTCAGTACCCCACCAGAGCTCACTCAGTCCCTCCTTTCCGCTCACTTAGAGGGATAGTAAGGTAACATCCAGAATTTGCTGGTTGATATCTAAAACAACTGAGCTTGCTTTTTTGTTCAGCATTTACTCAGCTTTTCTTGATTGTGTATTGCATATCAAAAGGGAGCTTCAGAGGAAGGGGAAAAAATCGTGTGACCTTGAGGTTCTCCCTAAGAGGAAGAGGCTAGCACTTATGTACACGTGACACAGCCATTATGCAGAGGTGGACCAAATAACATTGCAGCAAGCCGTCTGTCTGTGTGCTCAGACACGGGGGAGTGTGAGAGAGCCTGGGTTCCAGAGCGAGAGTGCAGGGATTATGGTGCTTGCCCGGCATCCTGCTGATCCCCATTCAGATCTCAGGCACCACATACGATCCCTAAGCACTGCCAGGAGTCACTCTTGAACACAGAGCCAGGAGTAGCCCTTGGGTACTTGTAGGGTGTGGCCTGGCAAAGTCGCCTTTGCTGTAGGAGGGGAGAGTAGCCTCTACTGAGAGTAAGGGAATCAACAGGTGTCCACCCGAGGGTCTTAGATGCACTGGGCAGCAGGTGCCCAGCCACAAGTGAGCAGACCCTGTGGAAGGTAGAGCTCCAAGCATGAGTGGAGTGCACAGAACATAGAACCACACCACCACCGGCAAAGCAGGAACAGGAATGCTGCCTCCCTCTCTGTTCCTGTCTGTTACTAAAGCACTCCCAGCCCTAAATTTGAAAGTTTTATATCGCGGGGCTGGCAGTGTTGCTTCGGTGGTAGAGTGCTTGCCTTGCTTGCGTGAGGTCTGGGATTCGATCCTTGGAACCACCTCCCCCCCAAAAAAAAATTGCTTTCATACCATGTATCATAGATTCTATGTCTTTCTTTAAGCATTATCTTTATTTTATCTTTTGTCTTTCTGCAGTCTATCATTCTTGTCACAGTGAGGAGAAATGTCCCCCGTGTACTTTTCTAACTCAGAAATGGTGCATGGGCAAACATGAGGTAAGTTCTCACCCCCAGAGTTGTCCTGTTTAGCCAGAGATTTATGAGAGAGCTGCTTTGAGAGTTGTTGATCTCACCTTGTCTCAAAATCAATATTCTCCAAGAAGCAAGCAGTGGTTTACTGTTACCGCTTTCCCCCCCAGTTTTTAATGACAGTGTCTAGAAAATAAAACGTGCTCTCTTCGCATATGGATTCCAGGTTCTGATAAAAGCGCCATTCACCCGTGCAGCCATCACTGCAGTCAAAATGGAGAGCAGTTCATTCTCCTCTGTGCTCCTCTGTGCTTACTTCCCCACCCCCAGCAGTCTCCAGGGAGTAGCAGCTGGGGATTGGTGGCTGACCTGGTAGTGTGCCTTTTCCAGAGTGTTCCACAGATAGAGTCACAGGGGAGGAACCGTTTGAGTCTGTTCTGTAATCTGGTTGCAATCAAATGAAGCTCTGCCCAGTAGTCCTATGCAGCAGGGGTGCGTTCAGAGGAAATTTGTAGGTGCACTAGCTTGGGCAGAGTGGCTTGCCTGGGAAGAGGTGTTAGAGCAAGACCATCCAATGAATGGTGGTAAGCTCAGCCCACCAGCAGCGATCCCTAAGCACATAGCCAGGAGTAAGCCCAGGAGAAAACAGAAAAGGTCACAGGTAACGTGGGGAAGGGACAATGGAAGCACGGCTTGTGCTACCGTTTCCCTGGGAGTAGGCAAGTATTGATTGATTGGGAGTGTCGTGCTACCAAGCTATTGATGCCACAGCAGTTGCAGCATTGCTATCCTTGACTTTATGGGGTTTTGTGTTTGCTTTGGTGGGGAGGGGGATTCTCAAGGGGAGCTTAGACCCGGGAATTGCTGACAATTGTGGTTCTCAGCAGTTTGGGCCTTTAGCTCAATGAAAAGGCCCAACAGGATTCTGTGTGCCCAGGCCTAGGCCACCCATCTGCTGGGAGTCTCCAGGGCCACTCCCAGCAATGCTCAGGGGATCGCATAGTGCTGGAGATAGAGCCAGACCTCCTGCATGGCAAGCCTGTGCTCAGCACAGAGTAGAGCTGTGTTTTTCAGCCCTTGTCCTGGACTTTGGAGCTGCTTCAAGGTAGAAGTCATGTGACACTGAAGTCAAAGTACACTCTACACTAGATGGGCACCTTCGAGAACTTGAGTGAAGCTGTCAGGAATTGGACCCACGAGGAGCCAGAGAGATAGTACAGCACGTAGGGCACTTGCCTTGCATGAGGCTGACCCAGGTTCCATTCCCAGCACCCCATATGGACCCGTGAACACCACAAGGAGTGATTTCCTGGGTTCAGAGCCAGGAGTAACCCTGATTGTCACTGGCTGTAGCCCAACAACAAACAAAAGTTGATCCCACGAAAGTAAAATTTCAGCATCTTTGTTTCTGGAGAGAAGAAACCTGGAAAGGCGATGATTTTCCCAACAGAAAACAGATTGAGGGTTCTTTGACCTGTTGCCTCTAACTCAGAATGACCAAATTATCTGAAGCGATGGAGATGTCATTTTCGGGATCAGAGGAGAGTTGGGCCTATTCCTAGACAGCCGCCATGCCTTGTGTGTAGTCTCTGGACCACAGGCCAGGAAGCTCCTGTCTCTGAGGGTTGTTTGATCAACTTAGTGCTCTTACTGTTTGCACAGGAGAGAAAGAATCATCTTAGTTGTTTATCATATTTTCAAGTACTCTAATTTCTGAGCTTCTTACCACGTCATCCAAGTTAGAAGAAGGGTTTATGTCCCAAATTAGAATTATCTGCTCCCACCAATCTTTGGACCCAAGCAAACATTAAAGTTCAGGGTTTTGATTTTGTTTTTGCATTTTGGGTCACACCTGGCAATGTGTGACTGAGGGGTTACTGAGCATCTGGCTCAGGAATTACTCCTGATGATGCTGACGGGACCATATAAGATGCCAGGGACTGAACCTGGGTCGGCTACATGCCAGGCAAACGCCCTCCCCGCTGTACTATCGCTTTAGCCCCAAGGTTCAGATTTTTTTTTTAAGTTTAGAAATATTTTAAGTAGGAAGTTACAGATCACTCCAGATCACTCCCAGAGATGACAGCCTGACCTCTTCTGTCTCCCAGTTACGCAGCAACATCCCCTGTCACCTGGCTGACATCTCCTGCGGACTGCCCTGCTGTGCCGACCTGCCCTGTGGGATGCACAAGTGTCAGAGACTCTGTCACAAAGGAGAGTGTCTCGTGGACGAGATCTGCAAGCAGCCCTGCACCAACCTCAGAACGGACTGTGGCCACCCATGCATGGCGCCCTGCCACCCCGGCTCACCCTGCCCCACAACTATTTGTAAGGCCAAGGTACACATATCCTGGCCCCAGGCTGGCCTCCACTGTTCCCCTGGGGTAATGAGTGATCCAAGCTGCCTGCAGTGGTGCCGGGTACCCCAGGAAGTTAGCCAGGGAGCAGGGGAGCAGACTGGGTGGACTGCTTCCTGCCCCCTGCAAGATGGTCCCCACTGCACCTGACCATGTGCTCTCCTTAGGTAAAAGTCTCAGGAGGAACTCCTGAGAGCTCACTCTTACCTAGTTACCAGAAATGTCAGTGTTTGTTTTGTGTGAGAGATAGAGGTGGTACATCCCAGGGTAACACCAAGGGAGCCAGAGACTGTCCCCTACAGTTAGGCGAAAAAGATGCTAATGATTCACACAAGGAAGTGTGCTGGCCAGGCCTACCACCTGGAGAAGTCATTGCTCCCTTCTGGAGGATCCTGCACGCGGGGTGGGGGCGGGCTTCACCTGGTGTGAGGAGCGAGTTGAGAGTAGAGGCATGAGGTGGAGTGTGGAGGTAGGCCTGGGTTAAGTGTCTGCTCCAGTGATGAAGCCACATTGTAGGCCTGCCCCTTCAAGCAGGGTCAAAGACGAGTGGTTTTCAGAAAGGGACCCTCAGGACTCTGCTGTCGCTCTGTTCTCTGCTGTGGCCTGATTTGAGAGGGACTTTGGGAGTATTCCAGTGGATTCTGGATTCTTGATTCAGTGTATTCTTTCAGGTCGAGCTACAGTGTGAATGTGGGCGAAGGACAGAGTTGGTGATTTGCTCCGAAGCGTCCAGCACTTATCAAAGGTTAGTGGCTACTTCAGTCTTAACCATTCGTGCGGCTGGGTCCATAGCAAGCCTGTGCTTTCTGGGGGATCCATGCAACTTCTAGTTGGACGGTCTTATATGTTTTCTTACATGTAGTTTTCTGGTTTAGTGAGAAGGTAAGGCTTTACTTTTCCTTCCCGAACTTCAGTTTGTAAAGTGACTTTTCTTCTTTTCCTCCGATCCTCTCCCCCTTTTGGTCTTACGCCATCAGATCAGAAGGGAGGGTGCTCTGAAGTTGCCTTCTGTAATGTCCCACTAGTTGTGGTGACACTGAGTCAGAACCTTGTCCTGTGCTCCTCCCACGGGGTAAAGGTTTCTGGCCATTGTGTGAGGTTGCTCAGGACCCACCTACAGGCATCTGAGGTCAGAAGTGTAGGTGTCCAGAATGGGTGGTGGGGTGTGTCCCGTTGGGCAGGCATGTGCCCAGGACTCAGAATTACAGCTGCAGCAGTCAAGAGTGGCCGAGTTGGCGGACCTCCCTATTCTGGGGGTTATGGCTGGGGTGCTTGAGGAAGCATGTGGAGTGGGTGATTCCTTGCTCCCTTTGGAGCTCTCTAAGTCTTTGTTAAGAAGATTCAATATAAACACGTGGGTACTTAGTGATCAGTGGGCCTCTGAGTCCCCAGAAATTGTCAGGTGGTGCGTTGACTGAAAGAGATCTGTGTGAAGGAGATGCTTGTGAAACTGCCATGTCATTTCTTTCATTTCTTTTTCATACTTCAGAATAGCTGCTATTTCCATGGCCTCCAAAATAACAGATATGCAACTTGGAGATTCCGTGGAGATCAGCAAGTTAATCACCAAAAAGGAACTTCACCAAGCCAAGTAATTGTTTTCATCTTTGTTTTGGGAGCCAAACCATCGGTGCTTGGGGCTTACTCCTGGCTGGGCTCAGGGGGTCATCTGGGGTGCCAGGTTTTGAACCCAGGTCAGCTGTATGCAAAGCAAGTGCCCTACCAACTGAACTGTGTCTCCAACCCAAGCCAAGTAATTTTTTAAGCGTAGAGCTGTGCCTTCTTTGCTTTCTTCTGTTAAGCTTTGTGTGTAGTGAACAGGAACTGTGCGTTTATCTCAGTGCCCTCGGTCAAGCCTTGCCCTCATGGTTGACGTTCAAGAGATCACATTACTCCAACTCCACACGTTCTGGTCACAAAAGAACCTCATCCCAGGCAGAACCCATGCGTGCTCAGACCAGCAGCCCACAGAACAGAGAACCAGAGTGGGGAGTGTGCAGAGGCAAAGAGAGGGACAGGGAACATGCCAGGGGCTGGGCAACTGGGGGGAGGGGGGGAGCACAGGGGGAGGGATGCCTGGAGTCCCATAGCTCAGGGCCCTAACCTGAAGGACCGCTTGCAGCTGGTCTTGAGTCGAGGCCTGCTCTCTTTCCAGGCTGACTTGCTTGGGTCTTAGACCAGCTCTCACTGCAGGAACTGTGCTGACTTTATTTTTTCATTTGCCTTCAAGGTTGGAGTGTGACGAGGAGTGTTTAGCCTTGGAAAGGAAAAAGTAAGTCATTTCAATTACTCTTTACCTTCTTCTGCTGCCCTATGAAATGAATGGGAAAGAGCAATCCTTCAGACACTCAGCACCTGCTCTGAGTCCTTGGCTGCAGTAGGAGAGTTTGCGAAATGGGACTATCGAGAGTGAAAAGTATCTAAGGATAAATCACTTAGGTGATTTCAACATATTTCTGAAACGTGAGCAGGATTTGGTTTCGGGCATGGTACAGTGATCCCATGCAGGAGCATACTTACTCGGTGACTCACACTTCCTGATTCCAGTGGAGATAAAGGGGTTGAGAAAGGCTAGTGACCTTTAGATTGAAATAGAGCCGTGCAGAAACAGATTAGTTGTGTACACCTCAGTGAGTCACCAGCATCCAGGTCCAGAAACAAACTGATTGGAATTCTGCTTGTACCTCCGAAAGAGACAACCTCTGTCTGCCCTGCTTACGCAAGAAATACATTTTGTCGATTTTTGACCTTTGCATGAATGATAAAATTGTGTTGCTTATGTTAGTTCTGCCTGCTGTCTTTTATTACATGTGCAACATTCATTCCCATTGTCTCATTTAGCAGAAATACTGTTTGTTTTTACTTCTGCCATATTTTTTACTACCTTATATATCATAGTTTATTTTTATAGGGGGGCTGGAGCAATAGCAAAGCTTAGGTAGGGCATATGCCTTGTACGTGGCCGGGTTGGCTGACCCAAGTTTGATTCCTCCGCCTTTGATTCCTCCGCCCCTCTCGGAGAGCCCGGGCAAGCTACCGAGAGTATCTCGTCCAAACGGCAAAGCCTGGCAAGCTACCCATGACATATTTGATATGCCAAACACAGTAATAAGTCTCACAATGTTACTGGGCCACCTCAAGCAAATTGATGAACAATGGGAGGACAGTGACAGTGATTTTTATACAGGCCGGAGCATAGTACAGCTGGTAGGGCTCTTGGCCTTGCCCGTGGCCAACCCGGGTTCAATCCCGAACATCTCATATGGTCCCCCAAGCCCACCAGAAGTAATTCCTTAGTGCAGAGCCAGGAGTACCCTGAGCATCTCTAGGTATGACCCAGAAAACAGAACAAAACCTTACTTTATAAAATTTACTGTTAATAGGGGCCCAAAAAGTAGTGTTGTAGTGGGTTAGCTGGCCCAAAATCCACTTGCAAAAAAATTATGCTTGCTGTTAATAAATGTATGTCATCAGTGTTGATTTGTTAAAAATAATGTTCTGTTGAGAATATTTTCTTTGCTCTATATATATGTACTCATTTTATTGAATGTAAACTTAGAATTGATAATTGATAGGTCACAGATTTAATCGGTACTGCCAGTGTCCAAAGTGGTTGTACAGATTACAGTCCCAGGACAGGGTTCTCACCCCCTAATTGGGCTTCAGATTTGTCTCTTTTTCTTTTTTTAATTGTGATTCAGTCTTGGGAATACAAAGTGAAATTAGTGAATGTCTAAATTTTCCTCATGATAGTGAGATTGGGCATCTTTTCAGGGTTTGGGGGAGGGGTCCTGAGGGGGCACACCTAGTGTTGTCCAGGGTTACTCCTGATTCTGTACTCAAAAATTATTCCTGATGGTGATTGGGACACCATATGGTTTACCAGGGATTGAACCTGGGTTGACTGCGTGCACGGCAAGCTCCCTACCCGCTGAACTGTCTCTATAGCACCTATTTATTGGTCTTTTCTATTCATGTCTTGCTTATTTTGCGTTGCCTATTTTTTTCATACTAATTAATAAAAGCTCTTTATGGGTTTTTTTTGTTTGTTTCTTTTTTTTTTTGCTTTTTGGGTCACGCCCAGCAATGCACAGGTTACATTAATATTTAAAACTTGGCCCAAGTTTTAAATATTAATGTTGTCCAGTTTAGTTTTTTCTTATGAAGAGCAACTTTCTTGGCTCATTGAAGAAATATTTGTTTAGCCTGAAATATTATTTGTTCATTTTATGTCTTACTGACAAAATTAGTCGGTGGCATGAATGACTGTTGACTAGTGACATAATTTCACCATTCACATTTATATATGCAACTAAATCTGGATTGATTATTTTTTTCCCTTGTGACTCTTGATCTGAGGAGTGCTAAGATGTGCGTTTACCAGGACTGCCAGTAGGGCACTTGCCTTACATGCAGCCAACCCAGGTTCAATCCTCAGCATCCATATGTTCCCCAAGCAACTCCAGGAGCGATTCCTGAGTGCAGAGCCAGGAGTAACCCCTGAGCAGTGCCAGATGTGGGGGGTCCCCCCCCGCAAAAAAAAAAATAATAAAGCAACAAAAATATGCATTTCCTGGTATTCTGTAGTGCCAGGTCTTTAGCCGACTATTAAACTATGTGTGGACACCTCTGAGCTCCTTCTGTTCCGTGACACTAGTACCACACTGGCAGAACTATTTAAAACAAGCCGGTGTCTCGTCATATGTCTCTTCCAATTTAGACGTTCTTTGGAACGTCTAAGATATTTTGGGCCGTTGTTCGCTTTTGCAACTTGGCCTTTAGCGTTTCCGTTAAAATTTTAGAGCTAGCTTATTGATATCCACCCAGAAAATTCTGCTGGACTGTGATTGAGTTAGTACTTAAGTCATTTGAGGAAGATTTAGTGAGTCTTTCTTATGCACGATGAGCTACATTCTTTCGTAGAGAAAGTCCCCCGCATGAAGCAGGTCCCAAGCACTCTCCCCAGCCTTCTTCCACCAAAGAACCAAGTGCCCGTGTCAGTCTATTGCTTTTTCAGGCTCAAAAAGTCAAGCCATATCCTGCCCCACATTACCCTTTCCTTCACAGTCTGTTCTACCAAAACAATTTCATGAAGGTGCTGCCCTGGCCGCTGTTCTGTGCCGTGGAGTTGTTCCCCCCACCTCACCACCTCCTGACCTGCTTCTCTCTGACTTGCAGGCAGTTAGCAGAGGCATTTCATATCAGCGATGATTCTGATCCTTTCAATGTACGTTCTTCGGCATCAAAATTCAGTGAGAGTCTGAAAGAAGATGCCAGGTATGTAAGCTGGGAGCTCTCGGGCATGTTCCCCACTCGGAGCTCACGAAAGTATCCCACTGTATGCGTGCTTCCCTGTGACCCACCAGTGGAATAGAAAGCCCTGTTTTACCCCTCAGTCCACTTGAAACCAGGCCAGTGTCTGTGGGAGAACTTGCGTTCCCCCTGGGGCTGGAAGGGTCTGGGCCTTGTCTGCCCTGTTGCCCCAGGCCTCAGTTGGGCATTCACAACTACTTGCCTCCTGTTTCCTGCCCTCCAGTGGCCACATCTTCTATTTTCTCTTTATTCTCTTCCCTCCTCCATCCCATCACAGCCAGCCTTCTGTTATCTGACAGCTCCTGCCCACTGCAGTTTTTCGGCCCACTTTACAGGTCAAAGGTGGGTGGAAGGAATTCTTCAAAGAATATACCATGTGACGTTAACTGTGGCAATCTGTCATTTTTAGGAAGGACTTAAAGTTTGTCAGTGAAGTTGAGAAGGAAATGGAAGCCCTCGTGGAAGCCGTGGACAAGGTTAATGTCAAAACATCCCACCCGACATGACTCTTCTGAGGCCAGCTCGACAAAAATCAAGTTCCGGAAATGCTGTCAGTGTAGAGTAGTTGTAGGAACCACTCACCGTTACCTCCTGCCCTGGTAACACCCACGGAGGAAGTCTTGCCCAAGCTCAGGAAAGACACCTGCAGTCAGATTAGATGTAACTCAGATTCCACACTTGCTGCCTTAGTGGCTGGGGAACTTGTGACACGAGTTCGGTGCTAAGTGTTGAGCACTTCAGGGGCTACTTCAGAGGACAGCACCCTCTGAAGGGCTCTTGCCTGTTGGGACCCCTCAAGATAGGTCAGAAACCTGTCAGGGCAGCAGATCCCCTGTCCGTGAGGCAGGAGCAGCCCGTCCCTGGGCAGGGTCCTCTCCTGCTCTCCCATCCTCCCTTCTGTCCCCACCCCCAGCAGGATGCCAGCAGAGAAGCTGGAGTCATGTGCTCTTCATTAAGAAGCCCAGGCAGATGTCTCTCTCTGCTTGGGTATCTCTATCTGTACACATGACTGCTTTAGCACAGAACATACTTTTTATGAAAAACGACCATTTCTGGGGCCAGAGAGAGAGAGAATACAGTGGAGGGGGAGCTAGCCTTGCCCTGCATACAGCCAATCCATTTTTTTGTTTGTTTTTTGGGTCACACCTGGTGATGCACAGGGGTTACTCCTGGCTCATGCACTAAGGAATTACTCCTGGCAAGTGCTGGGGACCATATGGGATGCTGGGAATCGAACCCGGGTCGACCGCGTGCAAGGCAAACGCCCTACCCACTGTACTATCACTCCAGCCCTGAAGCCAATCCATTTTCTATCCCATGCACCCCATGCTGTCCCCCAAGCACTGCCAGCTGCAACCCCTGAACACAGCCAGAAGGGAGCCCTGAGCACAACTGGGTGTGGCCCCCTTTAAAAAAAATTAATTTCTTAGGCCAAAGATAGGGGCAGGGGTAAAGGGCATTTGCCTTGCACACAGCCGGCCCCCCATTTAATTCCCTGTGCTTGCTGTCCCCTGAGTATTGCCAGGAGTGAGCCCTGAACACAGCTGGCTATAGCCCAAAACCAAAAAAAAGTAAATTTCTTATAATTTATAAATCTCCAACTTACCTAGTTATTTCTTGGGACTGTCACTCACCTCCTATATCTGGCCCCCAGAGGAAAAAATTCCGCTGTCTGCTTCAGTTAGGATTCGCTTGCCCTTGATCCCTGCTCCTGCCCAGCTGCTCTTTTGGTGCTCATAAAGTGAGTGAAGGCCGTGGTCCTCCCTGGGCAGGTGGGCCTGACAGCTCGGCCACCACTCCCTAGTCCCTGACTCTTACCTCCGTAAGTACCTGCTGTTTCCAGGATGCTTTATGACCATCATTTCCCCCGCCTCTTGCAGGGAAAGACCGGTAAGAAGAGCCACTCATTCCCTCCCATGAACAGAGACCACCGCCGCATCATCCACGACCTGGCCCAGGTTTACGGCCTGGAGAGCGTGAGCTACGACAGTGAGCCGAAGCGCAACGTTGTGGTCACCGCGGTCAGGTGGGTGGGGCTGGCCGCCACGGGATGGCCACTGTGGGTCAAGACGGACTTGGGAAGCAGGGCCCAGAAGGATTCACAACCTCTGTTGGACAAGTAACTGGGCAATGTGCTTCAGGGACAGTCGTTTTGAGGTGAGCTAGAGTGGACGCAGAGCCCGCAGGCCATGTCTCGGGCCACAGGGCAGATATACGGGATAGTCCACCAGCCTCACACCAGCACGTCAGACCCCAGAGACAGCATCTCTCCAGGCACGGGCCGAGACCCGTGATACCTGGCCTTCGTGTCTTCCCTGTTTCCTTCTGTCCCCCGGGCAGAAGGGACGAGTATGCTGAAACCTGACTCAGGGCAGCCTGGGAGCAGGATTGGCCCTCGGAGTAAACTGAGGCAGTAGTGTGAGGCCGAGGTCAGTCAGAACCTTAAGGGGTAGAAGAATCCCCAACAGAGACGGCTCGGAAGAATATGAGAGAGGCAAGGAGCAGCTTAGTGTTAAGATGGGCCTGGAGAGAATTTTGTGCAGGAGTCAGTGGCTGAGAAGGGACGTGGCCTGAGCTGGGCAATGTCACACCATCCGGGTAATGGGCTGAATCTCCAGCTGTCTGCTTGTCCGCGAACACATCTCTCTGCTGAACACTTTGTCTTGTGATTCTTATCAGAGGGAAGTCCCTGTGTCCTCCTTCCTCGCTGACCAGTATTCTGGAAAGGGAAATGCAGTCCCGACCTCCACCGCCGATTCCTCATCACCGACATCAGACAGACAAGTAAGGCTCCGTTGCTGCTCTGCAGAGGTTCCTTCTGGCCAGCAGGGCCAACAAGGGTCAACTGTACCGCCCCTCAGAGTGCCGTGCTCCAGTCTGGCTAGGACGTGGGACGCATTTACTCCTGCCAGCGGTGTCCCAACTGTGACGTTTGTAATGCCCCCTGGCAGTCTACGCACACGCAGAGGACGGCACCCTAGAAGGTTCATTCGGACTGGCCCTGCTGGGTGCCCTGCTAGGGCCATCATGGGGTTCACAGCCATTGCTCCAGAGAGGGGGGTGTTGGACGGGGGAATTGGTAATGGTTCATGTTCTGTTCTGTTGGCTTCGTGACTTGCATTATCTTACAAGAGAAAGCATGTGGTACAGGGGGGAAAGGGTCCATCAGACACTAATGGGTGGGAGCAGGGGGGCGCTGTTCCTCCTTCCCTTTCCCCCCACAGGGGGCTCCCCACTTCTGAACTGCCTCCACTCAGAAGCCCTTCGAGGATGAGTGGAACAGTTTGTACGGTTGCCCCATGAGTCAGCGCCATCAGTGTCCCCTGGAGCTGGATGAATGACAATTGGGGGAGGGGGGGGGCAGCTGGAGCATGTTAGGCCCCAGAACCAGCCTCCCTGCCCCCTGGGCCCTGTGTAGCCAGCAGCCCTGCAGCTTTGCCAGGGCGGGCAAATCGAGCAACAGGGAACCTGTGGGGTCCAACCTGCAGGTTCCATGCGCTCCTCAGTTTTTTGTAAAACTTTACCGTGAGGGGGGCTAGAGCAATAGCATAGCAGGTAGGGCATTTGCCTTGCACGCAGCCGACCCTGGTTCGATTCCCAGCCTCCCATATGGTCCCCTGAGTACCACCAGGAGTAATTCCTGGGTGCAGAGCCAGGAGTAACCCCTGTGCATCGCCGGGTGTTACCCAAAAAGAAAGAAAAAAAATTTACTGTTAGGGCTGGAGTGAACAGCGTGCAGGGCATTTGACTGTCATGGGGCCAACCCAGGTTCAATCCTCAGCATCCCGTATGGTCCCCTGAGCCTGCTAGGAGTGACCCCTGAGGAGTACAGAGTCAAGATTAAGCGCTTGGCACCACTGGGTATAGCCCAAACACGAAAATAAACTTGACTGTGGACAATGTTTAGGGCAAGTAGTGACCTACTGAGTCCCTGCATTTGGTCCAGATTCCAACTCGGCAGTAATGAGGTTCCCGTTATCTTTAAAGCTTCCCAAACGATCTTTCAGCTGCTGATTCTTAACCTTCTGAAGAACTGAATCTCTTTCCCCTGACAAGATCATAAAAAAAAAAAAACCTGATCATTCTGTGTTTGCTTTGCAGGTATTCTGGGAGCTGTAATTTACAGAAAATATCCAAGGAGCCATTAATCGATTACTTTGATGTCCAGGACTAAAATCACGACAAAGGAGTGATTAGGTGTGTCAGAGGCCCCTTTGCCAGCAGTTAAATCATGCTTGTTCTCAGCTGCCTGGTGGACTCACAGCCTCACATACTGTCTTGTACTGGTACACCCAGAGCATGAGAGTGTCCAAACCCCCGTGTCCTCCGTCCTGTCTGTATAAAGTATTTCAGTATGGCCAAGCCCTGACTGGACAGCCCCTGGTTCCTCAGCCCTGGGTGAGCAGAGGCTCATCACCCGTCACTGTGATTGCAGGAAGGTCTGGGCGAGCATTGGACACACTAGAATTTTAAACAGAAAGTGACTTTGGGGCACTTAGTCAGACCCTCAGCCGTCCTGTTCTTCCTCCTTGAAAATGCCTGCGACGCATCAGCTTCGCCTCACTTGTAATACAAAAATCTTATGTTCTTTGGGAAGACAGTGAGTGACCATCCGCACAGGCCAACATGCAGTCGCCACGCCATTTCTGGAACCACACATGGTGTGTTAAACCCAGCTGTCTAGCCACGGCTTTGGCTGGAAATACTCCGAGGTCTGTCTAGCTGGACCCATTTTGTGGTATCAGTCCCAGACGTAGGAAAGGGGCCCGGCGGCTCTGTAGAACCCCCGAGGCGTTTGTCTCAGGGCAGTGAGCCTGTTTGTTGGCGCTTGCCTCCGTTCCACGGGGCTGGAGTAGGTCACGTCCTGTGGCACAGCAGGACCCCCTGCTCCGGGCTCAGCACTAACTGTGTTGGATGAGGAAGAGTCTCATAAAGTGTGGCCCTTCCCAGGCCTGCAGCCAACCATCCTGGCGCCCCTGAGCTCTGAGCTCTGTTCCTTTTGGAGGGTCTGCTGACAGCCCAGACTGGCAGCTCCTGAAGGCAGGCATGTTGTCAGTTATCGCTGGTCTGACTCTCCTCCCACTGACCTCCCCACCTCCGGCATGGAGCCCTGACTTCCAATCACGTCCTGCCCCAGAGCCAACTGCCAGCCCCAGGAGGATCAGAAAGACTGTGTACATCCCTGACCCCTGCGGGAAGAAGCCCACCCCCGGCCGCCCTGCCCCAGTGCCACACAGGGAGGCCTGTGAGCTCCCACGTCTTCTTTCAGCTTTGTGTTTAATGGAAGAACTTCTGGGGGGCGGGGTGGGGGGATGGGATGAGGTCTTCGGGTGTTCCAGAGATGCACGCCTGCCCCTGGCAAGCGCCCTTGTAACATATCGTCCAAGAAAAGGTACAGACCACCTGAGGCCCGGCCTGGCTCTAGCACAGTGGGGCGTGTGGCCGATCCCGTGGGAACGCCCCTGAATAAATACCCAGAATGGAATTGGCCGGTCTGGACAGATAGGCCTGACGTCTGTTATTAAAAAGCAAAACAGCAAATGGAGGATTGTTTGGTGCCATGCTGTGAAAGGGGCTGGTGCTTCTGGCTGCGGGGGTGGTGGGGCTGGGCACGGGGACTGGGGGGAGGGAATGGGCGCTCGCTCTCTCTCTCTCTCTCTCTCTCTCTCTCCATTTCTTCTCCCCCCCACTACACACACACATACACACACACACACACACACCCCTGTTCTTACACTCCCCGTCAGTATGAGAAACAGGATGGGGCCTCAAGAGCAAGAGGCTCAGGCACCTGTCACTGGATCCATCCATCCCAGTCAGGAATATGGGGGTGCGGGGGGGAGAAGAGACATTCAGGAAACCTTCAGAAAAGCAGTGAGGGGCCGCCCAGAGGTGAGAAGGCCCTACACCCCTGGAGTCACCAATGGCACCCCAGCCTCCTCAGCAAAGGGAAGCTACTTCTGCTGGGCTCTACAGAAACCAGCGGCCTGCGCAAGTCTTTCTGTGAATGTGGGCTCAAAGGACTGTCCCTCGGACGCTGCACGGACAGAGCCTGGGGGCTCGGGCTTCACTTGTACCCCCAGGAACCGCGTGGACACTCCCCTCATCTCCAGCCCCACACTGGTTCACAGGGCCAGAGCTTTCCGGAGCTCAGCTCGTCTCTGAGACCCCTCTCACTGCAGCTCTGTGCGGGATCTGGGGGTCTTGGGGGTGGGAGCCCAGGGCCTCCTGCTAGAGCACTGTCCCATGCAGTCACCTGGCAGCAGACAAGGGGAGGCGAGAGGGAAGGCCAGTGGGGCGGGGGTGCAGTCTCTGTCAGGAGTCCTGAGGTTGAGGTGTGGAGGACTCTTCCCTTGACTGAGAGCCTGGACACTCCGCTGAGGTGGACCTGCCCGTTTCACATCTAAAAAGGGCAGCTCTGCCTGCCTCTGAGCCCCCCAGGAAGTGCTGCACACAAACAGCCCCTTGAGAAAGCGCCCAGGCTGCTGCCCCCATCCTTGCCGCCTCAGTAAGGACACAAGCTCTGCGCTCCCTCTGCGCAACCAGGACTAGATCCAGCCCAGAACCGCTCTGGGCCCCCTGGGTAGCGGTTTAAAAACTCAGTCCTTGGGAAAGGGAGATTGTCCTTCTGGTGTTCACAAACCAAGCTCACTTGATGTCCTTCCCAGTGGCCAGTGGCCCAGCCACCTTGAAGCTGTTCACTAAGACACAGCCTCCAGAGGACAGTGGGGAGCGTGTTTGCCTTCTACACTGCCAGCCCAGGGTTGATCCCTGGTGCCACATAAGGTCCCCTGAAACCCACCAGGAATGATCCCTTAGCACAGCCAGGAAATAACTCTTGAGTACAAAACCTGTCAGTCCTGAAAACAGCCAAGAGTAAATCCTGAGCCAGTAGTCAGTCCCGGCACAGAACCAAGAGTAGTCGCTGGAACTACTCAGCTCCAGCACCAAGTAGCCGTGACCCCACACTCCCCAAAGGTCTGAGTGCCAGAACCCAGCTAGCAGGTACGGGCACTTCATGTAGCTCTCTCGCTGGGCACTTTGTTTTGGGGGTCGGGGCATCAGGGGTTGGTTTCTGCCTTGGAAAGCGGTGAAGAGACTCGTGGGGCCACACAGTGCATCTGAAGCCTGCCCTGGACTGCCCCAGGAGGAGCAGAGTTCCCCTCCCCCCACCCACTACCCCAAGCTGGACACCAGCTGGTCGGCAAAGCCCTCATGTCTCCAGCCTCCCAAGAATCTCTCCTGCTGACGTCTGCTTCCTCGGGGCCCCGTGCATGCATCCACGCAGTAGGAAGTCCTTTGGGGAGGCTCATGACAAGTGTCTAGCCAGGGCTCAGCAAGAGGCCAGCAAACGAGCCCCTAGGAGAGAGTGCCCTGGTTCCAGTCGGAGTGCCACATGGCGCAACTGTCTGCAGTAGTGGCCTCTGGGGGGCAGTAAGGATCCCTCACACCAGAAAGCCCAGGATGGAGTGAGGCAGCGCTTGCACTTTGCTTCAGGAAAGCTCTTCATTGAAAACATTTTAATAGGCACTGGAGCCTTAGTACAGACAGTAGGCACTTGCCTTGCACATGGAGTCCATCCTACACCCCAGCTAGCCCCTCAAGCCCCGCTAGTAAGTGATCCCTGAGCAGAACCAGGTGTAAGACCTGAGCATCGCTGGGTGTGACGCCGAAGAAGAACATAAAATATTTAAATAGGCTTGTAATCAGTATCCTATGTTTGCCAGTCCGTTATTCCTCCTCTCCTCTGATAGAGTAGGAATGGAAGGGTGGGGTGCCAGGCAAACTAATCAAAAATTAATCTGCTCCATTATTTAATCTCATCCGTCCCGAAGAGAAACAGGACATTGGTGGAAGGAAATGGACACTTGTGAAGGGATTGGTGTTGGAGCATTGTATTCCTGAAGCCTATTTATGAATAACTTTAAAAGTCACAGTGCCTCAATTAAAAAAAAAATAGGTGAGGACTAGAGCCATAATACCGTGGGTAGGGTGTTTGCCTTGCATGTGACTGACCTGAATTAGATCCCCCATATGCATTGCATATGGTCCCCGAGTAATTTCTGAGTGCAGTGCCAGGGGTAACCCCTGAGCACCGCCAGGTGTGACCCAAAAAGCAAAGAAAAAGAACAAAAGCAACCTGTGTTGGCGTGGATGTGGTGAGAAATGGACTCTCCTTCACTGCTGGTGGGAATGCCGACTGGTCCAGCCCTTTTGGAAAACAATGGACATTTTTAATTGTATGGACAATTCTCAAAAAATTAGAAATTGAGCTCCCATTTGACCCAGCAATACCACTCCTGGGAATATACCCCGGAGAGGCTAAAAAGTATAATCAAAATGACATTTGCACTTCTATGTTCATTGCTGCACTATTCACAATAGCCAAATCTGGAAAAAACCTGAGTGCCTGAGAACAGATGACTGGTTAAAGAAACTTTGGTACATCTACACAGTGGAGTACTATGCAGCTGTCAGAAAAGATGAAGTCATGAAATTTACATACAAGTGGTACTACATGAAAAGTATCATGCTAAGTGCAATGAGTCAGAGAGGGACAGACAAAGATTGCATTCATCTGGGGTACATAAAATAACAAAATAGGAGACTAACACCCAGGAATAGCCAAGATAAGAATCAGGAGGTTCACTCCATGGCTTGGAGGCCAGCTGCTCATACTAGGAGAAAAGGCAGCTCAGATAGAGAAGAGAGCACCAAATAAAGGGTGTTCGGAAGATCCTCCCAGGATGAGAGATGCGTGCTGAAAGTAGACTATAGACCGAACATGGTTGCCACTCAATGTCTCTTTTGCAAACCACAGTACCCAAAAGGAGAGAGGAAACAAAAGGGAATGCCCTTCCACAGGGGTGGAGTGAGATGGGGGGGGATGGAGGGGTAGGAGGGATACTGGGAGCACTGGAGGTGGAGAATGGGCACTGGTGGAGGGATGGGTACTCAATCGTTGTATAACTGAAACCCAAGCACAAAAAATTGTAAGTCTACAACTATACCTCATGGTGTTTCACTAATAAAAATTTTAAAAAATAATAAAAAGCAAAGAAAAAAATTTTAATTCAATTTTTTAAATAGGTTATGATAGCTGGGGTGGGAGATAGAAGCTTGCAGCAGGGCAGAAGGAGTCTTAGGGGCTTTTTCTCTCTGTGTGTCTTTCTCTGTGTATGTGTGTCTTTCTGTTACACACAGACATCTGTCTCTGTCTCTGTCTCTGTCTCTCTGTCTCTCTCTCCTCCCTCCCTCCCTCTCTGTCTCTCCTCACTTAATGTATGAACAGATGGCAGGACATGTAGGATCTCATCCCTGCACACATGGCTAGAGACTAAGGAAGCCAGGACAAAGACCCTCTGGGGTACAGTCCTAGAGAGGCCCACCTGGCAACAGATCACAGAGCAGCCAGGAGACAAGGTGACAAGGGCTGTGGACTCCAGACTCCAGATGATAAAACATGTACATTGGACAGAGAATGGTGTAGGGAAGAGCCGATCATTACCCGGGGAGCAAGAGACTGTCAGTCAGTCAGCAAGAGACTCACCTTGTACCCCAGGAACCTGCACCCACCTAGTTGAGCTATACAATAAGCTTTAACTTCTTTAGCATCTGAGGATTTTTTTTACTCTCTTTGATTTATTTTTCTAATTTGGGGGCATGTCTGGCAATACTCGGGTTAGCCCTGCCTCTGTACTCAGGGATCCTTCCTAGCAGTGCTCCAGGGACCATATGGGATGCCGGGGATTAAACCCAGTTCAGCCTTGACGTGATGCACATAACCTCCCAGCTGTGCTATCACCCCAGCTTCTGCGTCATGAGGGCAGGAATAAATCTACTTTAATGCTAACACTTCTTTTGACCAAAAGGGGGAAAACAAGCTGGGCTGCTGTCAGAGACCTCCCACGTCTGTTCCCAGGGAAGGGTAGCGCGCTGGGAAGACTTTGTATGAAAGTGGACTCGAGGACTCTACGTGAGCAAAGCCTGTGGTTCCCCAAGAACCAGCGCTCTTTCCTCCTCTTTCCAGCCCCGAACTCCAGGTTCTCGGAGCCAGGTCTTTCTAGAGGGCCAGGTCTTTATCTCTGCATTGCAAAATCTTTATGGTAGAAATGTGCCGAGCCCCGTGAAGGAACTGCCAAGCCTGCAGTCTGTAGGGCAAGGGGTGAGAGAAGACAGCCCTGGGGCCCTTGGACTGTGAGGGCAGAGGCGGAGAAGCGCAGATCTGGTTCATTCCTCACTCCACGGAGGCCGGCTGTACCAGGAATTTGCCTGCAGGCCTGTGTCAGCTGGAGATGAACCTGAAGCCCCAGCTGGTGCCGAAGTTGGGCCGGAACCTGCAAGATGGCGAAGCAGTGATAAGGAACAGCTGCGTTCTGAAAATATTTTGCAGATAACATGTCTGGGATTTGCTGACTGCTGGGAAGTGGGGTGTCTCTGAGAGGGAGGGAAGTGGCCAGGGAGGACTTCAAAGCTCTGGGCATGGCTGTGCCATTTCCTGAGATTAGAGGGTGGGAGGAGCAGGCCTGGGGACCCAACATCTGCCAGGTAGGCGGGGAACGTGCCAGTCACGGCCAGACTGGGATGGGATTGAGATCTAATTTGGGGTAGCATTTAAAGGCTGGTGAGATCATGTGGGGAGGAGGAGAGAAAACTGGTGCTGGGCAGTGATTTTCCACCTCACGGCCGAGCCTCTGCACCCAAACCATGAAACCCCAAACTATCTGCAGCCCTAAAGCTCCTCGATGGGGGTGTGCGACCCCCACCACCATCCCCACCCCTGCTAGGCTCAATCGGGATTCCGTGAGAGGAATCCTGAACCAGTGAGGACCACGTGGGGGTCCAGAAAGGCTCCAAGATTCCGCCCTAGACTTAGAGTTTCATCTGAGGGCCAGCATGCCCTGGCTCTGAGCACCGTCTTCTCTCAACCCCGCCATCACCCATGTCCTCCCACAGGGTCCAGACTCTCCTTCATCCCCTAGTGACCTCAGCACACCCCCTGCAGCACTCACAGTCCTTGCCCATGAGTATCCCCCAAGGAGAAGTCTGGCTGTCCATCCTGAAGTTCCTCTCTCCTCTGGGCCTCAAGCTACACACTCAGAAATGGCTCAGAGGTTCCCGACCAACCTGCCAGATGGTTTTGTTGCTTGTTTGGGTCTTTGGAGGGAGGGGGTTGTTTTTAGTTTTTGTTTTTGTTTTTTAATGCTTTACTTGGAGGGGGTGTATAGTACAGCAGGTAGGGAACTTCACTTGCACACAGCCAACTGAGACTCAATCCCCAGCATGCCAAATGGTGCCCTGACCACTGCCAGGAGTGATCCCTGAGTGCAGAGCTAGGAGGAAGCCCTGAGCATCGCCAGGTGTGGCCCCCAAAACAGCAACAACAAAACAACTTTACTCTGGATCAGAGTGACAGCACAGTGGGTTGGGCACTTGTTTTGCACGCGGCCAACCCATATTTGATCCCCATCACCCCGTCACCCCAAGCACTGCCAGGAGTGATCCCTGAGTATAGAGACAGTAAGCCCTGAGCATCACTGGGTGTGACTCAAAAACAACAAAAGCTTTACTGATACCTACCAGTATATATTGTGCAACTTCACAGACCGGACCCCTAGTACGGGATTAAGGCTTTGGACTTGCCTGTGGCTGACCCCAATTCAGCCCCTGGCACCACACATGATGCCCTGAGCATAGCCGGAGTCACTCCTGCACATAGAAAGGGGAATAGCTCCTCCTCTCATGGGATGCAACCCAAAAACAATTTTTTTAAAAGGGACTAAGGAGATAACTCAAAGGACTGCCACACAGCTTCATAGTGAGAAGCCCAGATTCAATCCCCAGCACCGCACGGTCCCTAGAGAATCACCAGGAACATCCCCTCCCCAAAAGCCAAAAAACAAGGGTCAGGGCACTAACTCGGTAGGCTGGAGCACATGCTTTACACGCAGCAGCCCCACACCCATCCCTGCCCCAAGAGACAGTATAGGGTTAAGGCACTTGCCTGCATGCAACCACCTCTGGTTCAATCCCTGAGCACAGTGAAAATTTCAGAGCTGGAAATGTAGCCCAGCGGTAGAGCACTTATCTTGCATATGTGAGGTGTTGGGTTTGAGCTCTGGCACCATACACACACACACACACACACACACACACACACACACACACACACAACACACACACACACAAAGTAACCAGGTTTTTCATCCATGGGAGAGGGGTGACATACATACCTTCAGGAACTGCCAGGGGTGAACTTTGAGCAATACCAAAGCCCTGAGCACCACCAGACGTGGCCCCAAATGAAAATAAAAACTGGGACCAGAGCAATAGTACAGTGGTTGGGATGCTTGCCTTGCACACAGCAACTGGAATTTGATCCCCGGCTTCCCCCAAGCACTACCAGGAGTAATTCCTGAGTACGGCCAGGTGTGACCTCAAAACAAGACAACCACAGAAATGTTGCCTGCCTGCACTCTCCTCCCGACTTGCCTCCCAGCTCTCGCCCGCTAATAAATCACCATTCCTTTCTTCTCTTTTTTTCCTTTTATTTGATTGTGCTGGCATGTGGGTTGGCACCAGCCCCGCCCCGCCCCCCCCCCCCCCCCCCCCGGGCCGCAGCCATTCAGACCACGGCATCTGTCTGCCGGAGACCTCGGAATTGTGGTTCCATCCCTTTCCCCCCTTGCAGTGAGCTCACAGAAACACCCCTTCTCATTCTCTCCCAGAGGTGCTCCAGTTCCCAGGCCCAGGAGGAGTTGGAAGAGTCTCTGTGCTCTGGCCTCTGGGCGGAGTGGCAGAACCGCTGAACTAGGGGAGCATCATCCAGAAGGCAAATGCAAGCCTGGGTCCACAAAGGAGGGGCACCTCAAGGGGACAGGGCTTGCTCTATTACATTGGGTGGACTCACAGACAATGCACTTAAAATCGCTCGAGGTGGACGGACTCCTGCAGCTGCTCGGATGCTCTGTCGGGGAAGGGGCTGGTGGGGGAGCCGAGGCTGGGCTGTGCCTTCAGCCCCTCCAGAGGCATCTTGTTCTCGGTGTTGCCCAAGTCATTATCCTTTGGGTTCCACGGGATCCAGAGGCCGATGAAGAAGAGGTAGGTGATGGCACCCAAGTAGGCTCCCAGGATGGGCGCCACCACAGGCACCCACCACCAGTTTCTGGCACTGCGGAGAAAGGCAGGGCCCGCTGAGAGAGGGCGGCCAGCAGCCAGCTCACACCCACAGGGTTCTTCGGAGGGTCTCCAAGGACCAGGAACCCACCCGAGCCCGGGCCCCTGCTCAGTGGCTCAGTCTCATCCTGAGGATGCAGGATGAGAGACGCGGCAAGGACAGGAGCGGCGTCAGGAGCTGAACAGAGCAGTGCTGGGCTGAGTCCTAGGACCCCCAGAGAGACAGGGACGCTGTGGGCATGCCCCCCGCCCCTCTGCTGCGGAGAGTCCACCAAGGACCCGGGGAGGCACCTGAAGACCTCTTTGCCCCAGCCTGCAATGAAGGTGAAGAAGCGTGGAGGCAGGTCTCGCGCCGGGTTGATGGCATAGCCCGTGTTCATGCCCAGGGATACGCCCAGGACCACCACAAGAATGCCGATGAGCAGGGCCTGGGTCCCCTCGGGCGCAGGGCTGTTGTTCTTGTCCCCGATGGCCAAGATGCACATCTGGAGGAGTCCCGTCAGTACCACCTGGAGGGCAGACACCTTGGCAGCCAGGCAGACACAGACCCGGGTCCTCATCGTGGAAGGATGGCCGCCCCCCACCCCCTACTCCCCTGGGCCCGGGAGGGGCCTCTCCTCTGGGCCACTGACCTCGTCAATGAAGCCCCTCCACAGCGACATGCGATCAGGAAGGTAAGTGGCGAAAATGTTAGCAGTGGCCTTGGGCCCCGTCACTGTCAGGTGTGGCCCCGAGTATTCCTCGATGGCTGCTGTAGGGACAAGAGGCCTCAAAAGGAAGGCAGGGCACAGGGCCAGAGAGGCACACAGGGCTGAGTGTCCTGCCACACGCGCGGGGGACTCCAACCCGGTCCCTGGCACCTCACACAGCCCCCGAGCCCAGCCAAGGAGACTCCCTGAGCTGGGAGGAAGCCCTGAGCACAGCTGGAAGAGTCCCAAAACCTCATTCCCCTGCCCCCAGGAAAAGGCGTGTAAAACTATTTTTTTACAGAAATATAATAAAAGTAATATAATAATACAGTTATATAAGATGTTATATAATAAATTAGTTCTACTATGTATTACATTTAATTAATTTAATATAAATTAATTATGTATTATACTTAATCCAATATGTGTATATTGGATTAAATATAATACAGTAAATATAATATAATTATAATACATAAATATAATAAAAAGTATAAAGTGATTTCTGTAAGAAATCTTTTTATATTACTATTGTTATAAACAATAAAGTATTAATTACTGTACCATTTATTAATTATATTAAATATATAATGTATATGTATCAATTGTGTTACTATTGTAATATTTTATATTATCATTATAAACAATAATTTATATTTATTTACTGATAAGAATTTTCCTCTTACTATTATAAAATTTATCATATTGCTATTATTATAAATAATAATTTTGTTGTTTATTATTAATTATTTATATTACAGAAACGGCTGACTGACTTTGGGGGGACACACCCCGCAGTGCTCAGGGCTTATTCTGCACTCAGGGATCACTCCTAGAGGTGCTCCGTGGCCACAGCAGTGCCAGGGATGGAACCCCTGCCAGGCCAGTGCTGCTCTACCTCTCCAGCCCGGCCCCCAGAAGTTCTCCTAGGTCAAGAGAACAAGGGTGGAGGGACCCCCTAGCCACGTGGAGACCCAGGGGCGGCCGTCCCAGGGCAGGGTACTCACTCCAGAAGAGACCATAAATGGTGGCAGCTGCAATGAAGGACCCGAGGAACTGGCCCAGCACATAGATGGGAAACTTCTTCCAGGACATGCGGCCTAGAGCGCACTGAGTGAAGGTCACAGCTGAGTTCATGTGGGCCCCTGTGCAAGGGGAAACAGGGACTGTTACTATTGCCAGGAACTGGGGGGGAGGTCCCCACTTCATCTGCACCAGCATCCCCCAGTGGGGAGCACGTGCACAGCACTCCCACTCAGGCAAGGGACGGCCTGAGCTGTGAAGTCTGAGCTTGGCTCAGCTCAGTTGACTTATAAGCACGGGTCTGTCCCCAGTGGGTCTGAAAACAAGCATACAATCAGGCCCGACTGCCCGTGAGAGGAGCAGAGGAACTTGCGGGGTTAGCGGCACTGGGACGACTTGTCTGAGAGCTGCTGTGGTCATAAGGGTCTGGCTGTGACGGCTGAGAGCTTTACTGTGATGGAACACATTTCATTAAGAAACCAGTTTTAGGGCCGGAGCAATAGCACAGCAGGTAGGGCATTTGCCTTGCACGCGGCCGACCTGGGTTCGATTCCCAGCATCCCATATGGTCCCCTGAGCACCGCCAGGAGTAATTCCTAAGTGCAGAGCCAGGAATAACCCCTGAGCATCACCAGGTGTGACCCAAAAAGCAAAAAAAAAAAAAAAAAAGAAAAGAAACCAGTTTTACCTTCTCCACCTCTGTCCTGAGCTCAGTTATAAAGAGGCCGAACCTCCACCGGGGGAAGGAAAAGGAAGAGAAAAAAGTGTGGTGGACTCAGGATTCGGGGGGAGCTCAGTGGGCGGGAGCGCACACTCCAGCCTGCGGGGCCCCAGATAGCAAGGACTCTGGCAGGAGACAGTGGGCAGCACTGTCAGGTACATTGCTGTTCGCCTCTCACAGCCCGGGAGGGGACCCCAGAATCCAGAGCATCCCTGGAGAGGCCACCACTAAAATCATGTTTTATCAATTTCTGCAAATGGCTGGAGAAATAGCCAGAGAGCTCACATGTCCTGAGCTGCATCCCTGGCACAACGATCACACTCTGCCTGATGGAGGCCCAGTGTGGTCCCCAGCACTGCTGGAAGCAACCTCAAGCATGGAGGTTGCTGAATTATGAATAATTAGGTATAAATTGATGAGGTTACGGAGCCAGGAAAAACTCCTGAGAACTGCCTGTTCTGACTTTGCCCCCTCCCTCCCAAAAATAAAATGTTAGAAATGAGGGGAAGGCTCCTGCAGCATCTAGGCAGAGATCGTTCAAGGAAAGGGGCAGAGCGGATCCTCCCTCTGGGGCCAGCTGGCGCAGGGGAGGAAGTGGGAGGGACATGTGGTCACTCAGGGCACTGCCAGGCAGGGTCTGGACACACTCACCAGAGACACCGCCGGCTATGTAGATCCCCATGGTGACTCCGAAGCCAAACCCCAAGTTGACGCCGAGGTAGCTTCCCATAGAACCTCCTAGGACCATCTGGGCAACACTCCCAAGGCCAAACACCTGCAAGGAGGGGTCTCTGATGGGGCCTCGGCCAGAGCCCCCCACAGGGCTGGCCCTATGCTGAGCTCAGGCCCCTCAGCCCCTGCTGGGGGCCTCCTATCCCCCTCCCACTGCCCCGACCCTTCCAGAGACTTTTCTCCTTACGATCCCACCCCACTCCCACCCCCAAGGGGGGCTCTCAGAAGGGAGAGTATTTATAAGGATCTGGGGAGCCGAATCCACCCCAGTTTAGCGGAGAGAACGGGGCTTCTGGTGACAACAGAACCTGTCTCAAGGGTCGGCAAGCCTGAAGGATATTTCTTCAAGGGACTGCCTAAGGTCCTGCTTGTATCCCACTAGGAAGACTCCCGAACCATGCCTCCCTGTTCCTCCCACCCCGCACCATCCACAGCAGTCCTAGAAGCAGGGATAGGGTGGGGGGAACCTCCTACCTCTTGCCCCCCAACAAAACCCACCCTCAGAGCTCCCATTCGAGCCAGCTATACCACTTCTATACATCTAGCCCAAGCACAAAAACATTCACATAGAAGGACACACACACACACACACACACACACACACACACACACACACCTATGCTCACTACCGCTCCAAGTACAACAGTCGGGATAGGGAACCAACCCAGACATACAACAGCACTTGAATGCAACAAGAAGCTGTGGTGGGAATACGCAACCGAACGCAGCCCTGCTACTAGGCAGTCACGCAGTTTGCAAAGCTTAGATGGAACTGCAAGTATGGGGCTGAGTGTAACAAGCCAGACGCAGGAGGGCAACAGAGAGGAAGCTCACTCATGGATGTAAAGAGAAACTAATCAAGGGTGTGGATGATATCAGTCATCATAAACCTTGGACACTGAAATACAGATCTGAGAATGTCCGGTTGTGGCAGGGAGGGAGCTGATAGGCTGATGGGGACAACACGGGAACATGGACAGGGGTCTGGGCCCTTGCCACTAGAAGGTCACAGTATGAATACAACCGTGTCTCCAACAAATAAAGGAAAGAGAAGGGGAGGGAAGGAAAGTGGGACTGGGAGTGACATTGGGACGGGAGGTGGAGGGCCAGGGGTCTGCGTCAATACCATCAGGGTAAACACTGTCATAACCCCCATACTGTCACTGTCACTGTCCTCCCATTGTTCATCGATTTGCTCGAGCGGGCCCAGTAACGTCTCCATTGGAGACTTTGTTGTTACTGTGTCTGGCATATCGAATACGTCACGGGGAGCTTGCCAGGCTCTGCCGTGCGGGCGAGATACTCTCGGTAGCTTGCCGGGCTCTCTGAGAGGGGCGGAGGAATCAAACTCGGGTCGGCCATGTTGGCTGCATGCAAGACAAACGCCCTACCCGCTGTGCTATCACTCCAACCCACATACACAAAACATAATTAAAAAAAAAAAGTTTTTAAACATTTCCATTCTTCTCAGGCGTTATTCCCGAACTTCTGCCTCTGGCTGATCCCTAACTGCTGCATCTCCTTAGATGCAGTGACTCCCTAACTCCCCTCAGTGATCTCCCTTTTCACCAGGGGTTAGTGATCGGCATGAACTCAGCACCCGTCAGCAACAGCACCTCCACCTGTGTCCCCCAGCCTCTGCGTCCCAGTCTCCCCAGCCCCCTCTGGAGTCACACAGCTCTGGGGGAGAAGCCCTGGCTGGCCCCTGCCCCCGTCCCTCAATCTCCAACCTCAGCCTGGCTGCTGCTCCTAGTCTGACAGACACAGACATTTCCAAGGTGTGTGGTCTCCCTACCTGGGCAAACTTGGACCCTCCTCCCTGTGCTGCCTCTCCAGCATATCTGTCTCCTGGGCTCCTGCTTCCCCCTCACAGCCTCCTCTGCTCTGGAGAGCCCACCCACAATCTTCTTTTTTTTTTTTTTTTTTGCTTTTTTGGGTCACCCCTGGCGATGCACTCAGGAATTACTCCTGGCGGTGCTCAGGGGACCATATGGGATGCTGGGAATCGAACCCGGGTTGGCTGCGTGCAAGGCAAACTCCCTACCCGCTGTGCTATTGCTCCAGCCCCCCACAATCTCTTTATCAGTCTCAGGAACACAGATGCTCACCAGACTCTGGTCTAGCACCCTTTGAGGCTCATTCCCAAGGGCCACTCCTTGGTCTTTTTATGCCTTTGGTTTTAAATCCCTCCCAGTGTGTGAAAATTCCCAAACCCTCTGTCTGGGAGCCAGATCTCTATTTCCAAAGTCCCCTGGGCTTCCACAGGCTGTGTCAAAAGCTCCCCATCTCCTGGAAACTGTAGCCCTCATCTTTGGTTCCCCATCTTAATTGGCCCAGCTAGAAACTTGGAAGTCCCACACAGAAACTGTTCTTTCTCCTCCGCGTCCCCTGCGCAGCCAGTTCTGCTTACAATCTCCCCAGCCATGACTCAGCCTCCTCCTCACCGCACAAATGACCTACACCTCAAAGTCATTGTATCTGCCTTTTGTTCAAACATTCGCCGGCCTCCCTCCTTTCCAGGATAAAGTTCAAGTTCAGAAGGTCATTCTTTAAGACCGTCCATAACTCCAAACTGACTCTCAGTTTCATATCTGCCCCATGACTGTATTTTTTTCTTTTTTCATTTCATATATTTTATGGCTCCCCCGCATGTTTTCTATGTTCAGCAATACTGTTACCTCAAAATAGTGATAAGCTCTTACTACGTGCTGGGCTCTGGTAAACAAGCCACCTCCTTTAATCAGCTTATGCTACCGTCCACCCCTCTGGACAGCTCCAGGTCTGGAGAACCGAATGACTTGTTCAATGGTGGTGGTAGTATAGCAGTATTTGAAAGCCGCTGGCCACCTCTGCCAGACCACCGCAAATTGTGAGTTTCAAGGAAAAAACGCCTGGGCACACGAGAGACTCTAGCATTCAGTGGCTGAGAACCATTCTCCTGGCCAGCCCATGGTGATGGAAGAATGAAGGATCAGGGAAAAGGAGAAACAGGGCCCTGGGCTGGTTGTAGATGGTTTATTTCTCTCTCCTCCCCAGCATTATCTGATCTCTCTCCCTTACAGCACAATCGTAGTCATGGTTTTGGTCATAGTCCCAGTCATCATAGTTGCATCATCCTACTCTCCTCATAGACCTCAAAGTCTCTACTTCTCTAGTCTTTCTAGCCCCCACTTTCCCCTTACAGCATAGTTATATAGAAATCATGAAGGCTGGGGGTATACACAGGTGGGGTTGAACATTGTCATAACAACAGACGTAAAGCTGCATCTTCAGGGGAAGTTCTAGGGGATTAACTCAAGGACAAAATCTCATCTGAGGGTTCAGCACTCCAGATTCCTAGATCTGCTCAAGGGGGGCAGGGGCGGGATTCTATCCAGGGTGTATTGCTTTCTCCTTTCCTCAGATATTAACCCATTTAAACAATCACAGTAAATTTACTTCTTATAATATTTCTAGTCATTTTTGCATGAACACAGTAAGAGATATATTAAGCTTGGCTCCTCCTGGGGACATCTCGCTATGTATCCCAGACTACAGTCCACAGACCAGGTTACTCTTTCCTGACCCAGCAGGGTCCTTATTCAGTAACTTGTTTTGGGGTCATAGCAGAGTTTGTTCCATGACCATGCTCTTAACTTATTATACTTTTGGTGCTTAGCTTGTCCTCTTACAGCTTGCCCTAGGTCCATCCAGTCCCTTCATCAGAACCCTCCTTTTGGGTCCTCCTTTTGAGGGTATCAGGAAGTAAGGGCAACTGAGGTTTAAGTTGAGTAAACATGATGGATGCCCAGGAGTAAATATTATTTCAGAGTCAATTAACGCTCATGTTACAAAAGCATAGCATCAACTGTCTTCCTGTGTCTATACAAAAAGGACATTGCTAAGCCATGCAAGTGACATAAAGGAAAGAGAAAAGCAATATAGGATTATTAGTGCTTGGTGGAATTGGGTGTGTCTCAGAGGCACTGTTGTGGGAGTAACTCGATAAACCTAAATTTCCTGTGAGAGGAGCAAGGACAACCCAATGTTATCCAAGAGCAAACCACCAAACTAAGTTCCCTGTGGACTGGGATTTCTCAGGTTTCTGGAACGTTGTCCTCACTGAAATACCTGCTTGCAGATGCCCCCCTGAATGACTGGTAGTCTTCAGTTCATGCTCAGCTGGTACCTCCTTTGAAACATCCATGTGCTCCAACATGTCACTGTGGGACTGCCACATGTCCAGGCTGCTAGGAATTCATCTAGATTTGCATCACCTAACATGATAGCCATCATCTACGTGACTTTTGTACCCTTGATATGTGGCTAGTCCAAGTTGAGAACTGCTGTAAGTGGACAGGTCAGCCCAGATTCCAAAGGAAATCTTTGTAGGAAAAGGGGCACACAGAATATCTCACTGAGATGTTTATGTTGGAGCCAGAGAGACAACAGGCTCAGCACATGTTTTTCATGTGGAGGGCCTGGACTCCAGCCCCAACATGTCCCTGCTTCCTCAGGGGCCACTGGAGTGACCCTCCCTCCCCCAAGCACAGAGCCCAGAGTAGACCCTGAGCACTGTCAGGTGAGACCCAAAAGACAATATCAGACTACCGAAAAGAAACTGATGTTGATTTCATGCTGGTACTGTTTCAGCAATGTGGGTTAATTATAATAAGGATGATGAAAAATTAACTTCACCATTACTTTTTTTTTCATTTGTAAATATATTTCTTTATAGCATTATGGAAGTTTCAGTGAACCTGTATGATGATTCAGTAACTGTGTGGATCCCATTTTGATCAACACTAAAAGCTTAATTTCCATAACCTCTTTAATGTGATTGCTAGGTGTGGTTCAAAGATATATACCCACAGGTACTTGGATACTCTCTGCTCAGTGCTTGGTGAGGTAGGGGAGGCCCTCCTAGCAGTGCTGAGGACCTGAAGCTACCAGGGATCAAACTGGGCCTCCTGGGCTAGAGAGATAGCACAGCGGGGAGGGCATTTGCCTTGCATGCGGCCAACCCGTGTTCGATTCCCAGCATCCCATATGGTCCCCCAAACA